TTGACTGTATCACCATGATTCCAAAAATACAATACACAACATAGCATTGACTAACAATAAAACAGTATGCAATAAAATAAAGTCATGACAAGGAACATAGCCGAAAATGGCGCCGATTCCCATCAACCAACGCGCGGTCTCTACAATGTAACATGCTGCATTGATACTCCCCAGCTGGGACCGTCCGGAATAGCAGCTCTAGTGCAAGCACCAGAGCCGCTAAAATGCGTATCTGCGATCGCAACTTTGTTAATTGTCGCCCATGCTTTCGCTTTTCAGGCAAATTGAAAAGATCCGTTCTTGGAATCTTCTGATTTTCCTCACTCGTATATATTGAAAAGGGTGAAAGTCCTACAAACCAATTTTTTAAGGACAAAAAAATTTCCCATGAGCCCTTGAAGGGGATGTGAGCCAGTATTTTAGGGTTGCATCGAGGAGGGAGCACTCTTTATAAGTCTTTAAACATTTGTAAGAAAAATCGTATTTTTGTATTGAAGTGTATTGCAGGTTAACGTGATTTTGAAATAATCTTGTACCCCTTTCCTCGATTTTGCAATCCCCTTTTGAGGAGCTGCTGACCTAATGACAGCTGTAGAACCGAATAAAGGGCGGCGCAGTTCAGGACCTCGGCCTTCTACTTTCTCCGCTTTCATGCCGTTCTGTCTGATCGACTTTCGCCATTTTACACAATATTGCTTGCGCGAAAGGAGTCCAAACATGAAATAAAAACAATTCCGGAAAACTTGGATTTCCGCCCATCTTAAAAAAGTGAGTTCAATTAACTGAATGGTTTTGTAACGTAAAGATAATATTGAATTAAATGAATACATTAATCGCTGGATTTCTAAAATTAAGAACCTAACAGAATGAGTGCCTAAAAATAGAGGAACTGAACCGAACGCTTGTAAATAGCACCTATGGAGCCATCCGCACTGGGCCTTTTTAAGAAGAACCTATCCATTTTAAGGAACGATATAATGACTTTAAAAAAATGACTTCACATTACTGTCGTGCTAAGAAAGAACGCCGTATAAGTCATCAAGCGTTGCCAAATTTCCTTCCACAAATCGCAAATTTTCAGGAAAATCTGTGAAATTTTCTCCTCCAATGTTTCACAGGATTTCGTTCGTAGTTTGATCTAAAAAGTCTGAAAATCGCAAGGAAAAATATTCATGACTTTCTTCAAAAGTGAATATTTTCGAAGAAGAAATTTGGCAACTCTCGAATGTTCACACGGCGTTCTTCCTTAGCACAGATTATTCGCCGTACTTCTAATGGACTCAATTAAGGGGGGGCCGGGCTCCCCCCCCCCCCCCGGGCCTACCCAGGCGTGAGAGCCGATTTTAGACAAAAATGCGTAGCATCATCGTGTTCCTCGAAATTAATTTGGCAAAAAATACAAAAGATGGGGTGCCAAAGACCACCTGTGGTAGGCTTTTTCTCCTTATTTTAAGTCGGTTGATGTCTGAAATTGGTCGGTTAAGTAGGGACTGGACCCGTGAATTCCAAGGAGGGCCGTGGGACTTCAAAACCAAGAGATTCCGATTCTGGGGTCCTCAGTCCCTTTTTGACTCCCCTGTTCCACACATCAACCGACCTAAAATAACCAAGATCCCCTGTGTGCCCATGCTGCATTATCGGGGGTATCTAAAGCCCTAGGCATACCTTTTTTGAGCGTCCCTGGAACAAAGACAGAGCGGAGTTAGAAAATACAATAGGAAATAAGATAAACCAAAAAAACATCGTAAATATTATGCTAGAAAATAAATTTAATTGGAAATGTACTTATTATTATATCGGAAATATCCTAGAAAGAAAAAACAAAATTATGAACATAACAGTACCACCAATCCAAACCTAATCCCCCGAAGTAAGTCTAAGACTCAGGCCTAGTAACGGGGCTAGCAATAGAAATATTATAGTTTAATCAATTTATTAAGTAGTGCTAATGTAATACAAATAGTTTATGATACAGCATAAAAGGAATAAATTAAATAAGATAAGTTAAGTAATAACTGTGGAACTATCACACGTACCTATCTACTCATGTAAAATGCACTTCTTCTCTTTTTCGGGTATAACCATGACTGTCCAGTTATATTCCAAAATGTTAGACACCAATAAAATTGCTAATTTTCAATAAAAAATAAAAAAATAACCTAGAAAAAAGCCTGGCTTGGGCTGTCCATGGGGTACCGCACATTGTATAAACTTTGCAACGCTGCATCATGACTGACCGCTAGATCATGGTGTCAATAACAGTATTAATCCCCACGAATAACATTAACTGATGGAACTGTGCCTTGTGAATTAAAAATAGATTGATGAAACTACGGGACTGCCAAGCTCTTTGAGTGCCTCAGAAAACTGATGCAACAATGCATCAGGGGTGACGAGGTACCAAGGGAGTGGAAGGAGTCTTGGATCAAGGCCATCTACAAAAAGAAGGGAAGGAAGGACGACTGTAACAACTACCGGGGGCTCTCAGTGACCGGGACAATAAGCAAAGTGTACGGGAAGATACTGAAAGCGAANCAAAATATTATCATTCTTTGACGGGTAAATTTCTCAATTTTTAATTTTTTAAAGGACACTTAGGTAGTATAAAATGGGACGGGGCTGCTCACGTAAAAATCTCAATGTGCTCGTATTTACCCCTTGATACAACTATTCGTACTCTGAGGACACGCGGGTTGCATATGAAAAAATGGAAGGCACTACGGTCCCCTGGTCCATGAAGCAGGCCGTGGTTGTATTTTTTTCTTATCTATCTTCTTATTCTATCATTTTCTTTATTGACACCGTGTAACAACGAGTACAGGTTGGCTGCTCTTTTAGGCCCTAACTTCATTTGCGGAGGCATCGGTGAAGGCCAAGTACGAACCCATTACTAGAGCACCTATGTAGGGAAAGTACATATTGTCGAAACATGGAGCTCTAAAGGCCTAAAAGAAAAACTAATCTTTGAAAACGGAAAATATCAGTGGCCAAGAATGATTATATATGAGCGCTCCTCTGCAAAATGAGTAAATTTATGCAAAAACTATGTCAAATTCGTGCTTTCCCATCGACGGATCGCGAAAAATATAGTAAATCACTATAGATAATTTGGATTCATAGATTGGTTCCTTTTTTGGGCCCTAAAAGCTGCATCGCCTATTCTCAAAATTACCTGCATGTCCGCACTCTCCCTATACCATAGGTACTGGTACTCTGTACCCGTTACGAGAAACCGAAACGGAGATACAGGTAGAATGAATGCGGGCCTACTCATTTATATATTAAGACATCTGAACGTAAAAAAAATACGCATAAACTCACCTTTCCAAACATATTGTTAGGCCACATCATTATAGAGTTTGGATCAAAAGGCCGTCCCAAAAAATTGAATTTTCCCGTTGCGATCCTATCAAATTTTTTCTGTAATTCTTTCTGCGAAAAACATAATAAGACGAGTAAGGAAACAACTTTTGTCATACGACCACTTTAAATTGATGCTGGAAATGAATTCGAGTATGACACACTTGGCGTATCGAGAGGGGTACACGACACTTTCAACATCCTTTAAGCAAATTCTCCGAGACACATTTTCTGGCTTCTCTGCGCTCATTGCAGAAGCAAGTTTTCAACAAAGCAAATAATCCTTCAATTAGACTGCATTTTGCAATTTGGAACTATAAATTCTGGCTCTTCTGGAAAAAAACTTATGTGCATAGAGAAACGAAAGGCACATACGTTGTATTTAAACCGGGCTAGTATTTATAGTTCCAAATTGCAAAATGTAGTCCAGTTCTTATAGGCGCCTACGCGCCATTTCTTAAAACGCAGTCAATTCAAAGCCAGACCAGACATTCCTTCAAACACCTCCCGTGCTGAGGAAAACCGAAGTATGAGCCTTCAGACATTGCCAAATCTCCTCTGATAAAATATTTATTTTTAAGAGAACAGAATATGCATATGTTCCCTTGTAATTTTCGGATATTTTAGATTAAATGGACCGCCGCGCCGGACGAGGTACGAATTTAGGTATTCTCATACGTGATTTCTTTTAAAATTTTACGTAGAACAAGAACTGCGCAACGAAAATAACTGGTTTTAACGCCAAACCAAAAAATAACGTTTTCTTTAGCATTGCTTACGAAAAATTTGAATATCTCTCCCACAAGATGATTTTTGAGACAGACTTCTTCAGTACAATATACTAGGGAAAATAGGGAAATAGGGGTACTAAGTTCGCAAAATCATAAACATTTACTGAAATTTTGATTGGATAAAACAGGCATGCATTTTCGGATGAACTAAATTATAATGCTAATTCGAAAAAAACGGGGGCAAAGAAAAACAAGTTAGTAATTGCAACACATAGTGTTGCATGATCGTGCCCATAAAAAAGATTCTTTGCGAAAAGTGGCCTCTTATAATTTTTTGCAAAAAAGTAGGACTAGAAATAAATTAATAGTTAAAATAATAAACGTATAAAATCAACCAGGAAACCAGGTTTGTAAAATGAGAATATAATATACACTTCTTATAACAATTTGTTTTTAAAAAGCTACGCACAGTTTTTTGAGAGTTTCCGAGAAGTCCGGAATGATTTAAAATAAAATCACAGGAAATTTCGACGCAACATTTTCGTTCATTCAATTTTCTTTTTTTGAAACCAAAATTAATTGTACGCTAATTATGTTTCAGAATTGCTGCATTGTTTGAACGTTGATAAAAAGCATCTAAGTTTCTGAATCGTTATAGTTAGTATACATATTTACCCTTAAATCGTGGTAAAAACCGGGCAGAATGCGACGACTTTAGCGTCGCGCAAGCCGATGTGCTGGTTATACGCTCAAATTCCCATCAATTTCCGATCAAATGGTGACTGGTGCGCACCATCTACCATCAAATTTCTGCGGCCTGCAAAAATTTGATGGTAGATGATGGAACTGCGGGGCTCATCCTTCATCTGATTCCCACACAACCGTGCTTATTTCATGCTTATTTCAATCAACACGTTGTTTTAATTAATTTTAGTCATCAATCTAGATAACTCTCGACCGCCATCTTGGTCATCATTTTGATCGGAATTTGACGGTTTGAGCGTGTAACCAGGCCACAAGAAAGGGAGCGCGGTCGAGTCATCTTCACGATCATGGTCGAATAGTTATCTCTTACGCCTGCCACGAATGAAATAAAATATCAACACCTACGGATCACTTCCAACTCACGGACTTGACGCCGCTCGATGCGCCGCGCGGAGGGGCAGCGAGAGACATGCCCAAGCCTTACACTGGACGTCCACGATTTACGCTTTACACACGGATTCTCCATGACCGAAAACATCAAAATTTCGAGACGACGACGCACGACAGAACGAGCCACTGGGCAAAGCCGGACATGAACTTTGCAATTAAAACTGGCAAATTTTGATGTTCGATTCTTCTGAAGGACCAATAGATGAAGTGCAATGAGGGATGAGGGATATTTAATGAAGAGAAAATTAACAAAAAGTAGGAAAATTTCCACGATCCTTCGATGTATTCACGATATGCCACCGAGAAATCACAACGATTAAAGCCCGCACCGTGCTACGCGCTTTAATCGTTTGCACTGCGTTTGGCGCAATGCGAGAAGTATTCATGCAGGCTCGTAGGCGCTGATATACGTGTCGCGCCGACCGCACTGTTTGACGCAATGCGTGAAGTATTCCTTAAGTCTTGCAGGCGCTCATATGCGTGTAACGCCGGCCGCAGTGTGTTTGGCTCGCGTTGTGTGTGAACTCGCGGTAGAATAATCGCGGCATTAAAATGTAGCTTAAAAGGCCTATGCTGCGTTTCGAAGCCGTATAAGCATTCCAACGTTGCCTTGTTTCTCCCGATAAAATATTTCTACCGAGAAAAGTTAGGAGAGTTCTCTATAAATTAATAATAAATTATTCTTCAACAACCATATTTTGCGTGTTTCGGTTTACTTTTTCCTCATCTTTATCATAACAGCACGCGAGATTCGTTTTTCCAGTTAAAGTTCTCTATGTTTGCTTTATTAGATTGAATGGACCATGGAACAAAGTATACGAATTTAAGCACTCTAGTACACGATTCTTCGCCAGAATTTCACGTAGAACACGATTTGCGCAACAAAAACTACTGAAATCAACTCCTAGCTAAGATATCAACGTTTTTATCGTGCATTGATGACGGGAAATTTAAATTGCCTGGTCACAATAAATCCAATTCCCAACGCGAGCCAAATCGTGCACTACCACGGCTGTAGCAGACTACTCAATCAAGCATTGTTTCTTTCTTTCCCACACTGCGTTGTTCAAAAAATGCACAGCTTGCTATGGCTGAGCCAAAGCGTCAATATTGAGGTTGCCATATTTTCATATAGCTGAGACTGCCATAAATTAACATCTTGTCTACTACTTCATTGCGAGGAAAATCGTCTAAAAAATATGAGGGAAAATATTCCCAATTTTTCCAGTAAATTAGTTTTCATTGGGGAAATATGATAACTGGCAACGTCTGAAGGCCGTCGTTTCTTGAATCTTTTCCACTGAGTGCGACTGAAAATGGTTTACGTTGTGGTTTAGGAAGTAGCCTTTTACAAAGCACCATGAAGCGAAAAAATGTATGTGAACCTCCAGTAAAATGTAGCAGTATGACTTTGAAATGGATCCTCACGAAGGATTGCAATGAAACCTGACTGAAGAATGTTCAAAATAAGAGCGAAGAAACGTCATGATTTTGACAGTCATTCAGCTGGGCACGGACCTACCTTCCAATGTGCAAAAAACTCTTGATAAATTTTGTCTCATCTTTTTTCATTTTTTTTTTACGGCAAATAATTTGCACCCATAACAGGGATCTGTTTCCAAGGTTATTCACGGCTAAATATCAGAAACCCGTAAAAATTTTAAACTTAAGATAATATGTTTAAGGTTTCCCATGTGAAGGAGCTGTTAAGGGGTCGTTCAAGTATTATGTAATGCACTTTTTCCGACTTTTGGCCCCTCTCTTCCTCGTAACGCACCCGTAACGTAGCCCTACACCCCCTTCTGAATTACGTAACGTCTAACGTTGACCTGATCCCTCATCCAATTTTCAAAAAATCTTCAACAACTTTCAATTTTTTGCACTTTGCACTCTTGCACTTTTGCACTCCGGCTGTGAGAAATCTACTTTTACGTTTCAGCAATTTTGACACGGACTTCAAATTGCGAAGTTCCACGAATCTTCCAATCAACGCGGGACCCTTTACACCTCTAGAACATTTCAACACGCACACCATCAGACCATCACCTATTTGCAAGGTAATGTCTTTTTTTTTACTCTCATTTATAATTGCTGCGACGTTGCCGATTTGTCTTCTTTTTCTCACAGTCGGGAGGGAATCGGGCAGTAGCCGGTATAACACACCGTAAAACTAGCTCAACTCCCCCTCCCACCAAAGTGTGTTACATAATAATTGAACGACCCCATGAGGAATGACTATGAATACGATTCTCAGAGGTCAAATATTAACTTGAATCTTCAGTTTAAAGCTACTCACACTGTATATATTTTTTTGTGCGACTGAAATAGATGCGTCTCTGTCCGGGCGTAGGGCTTCGTCCTGTAGACCTAGGACATGGCCCAGTTCGTGCAGGATCACTCCGGTTTGCCAATAATCCTGGTGGATCTCAAGTCTTTGCTCCTGGCGTGTACGCCGAACAAATGAACAGGAAGTGGGTCGCGGGGCAGGAAGTGGGCTGTGAAGAAGAAAAGAGTTTTTGAATAAGACCTTGAATTTAGAGTGAAAGTTACTGCTACAGCACACTGGAAAAAAAACCGACCGTACTCGATATAGACCGTTGTTCTGAACAATTTTGCTCCTGTTGTCTTGGGTCTCTTAATTTTTCAGGGATAGTCATATCTTCCCCTCCTGTCCCCTGGAAAAAAAACCATTGGATCTAGAGTCCAGACTCTTAAAAACATTGACAAGAAAAAGGAGTCTTGATTCAATCAGATTTAAGCTTAAATCAAAAGGAAATCCGTTCAAATTAAGAGGCTTGGTCCTTGATTTAAACTTAAATTTGATTGAATCAAGAGTATTTTTTCTTGTCGATGTTTTGAAAAGTCTGGACTCTAGATCCAATGTGTTTTTTCCAGTGCATACCAAAATGCTGCCATGCTTAGAACGCCGTAAATCCATCAAGAATTTCTCGCGGTTTTTGGAACTTACCACTTTATGAAATAAAAACTGTTCTACCCATGCACCCTAAATTTTCAGGTCAAGTTCTTGATAGTATTTGCGAAGGAATTTTGTAGAAACACTGTCCCAAGGTACACATAAAGTTTTCTGCTATGATGCATTGTTTCCAAAAAATTTAAAATGGCGTTTACGGAGTTACGGCGTTGCGTATTTGCGTTTTGCGTTGCACGGCAGAATGAGTCTCTCGTAAACTGCTGACAGAGCGTGAAGATTAGCGGTTTCTTACTGCGTATCATTTAAATATAAAAATGAATGTATCGGGGAGGTGTTGTCTACCACTATGGAAAACTGTCCGCCAACGCGTTGAATCAGAAAAGGAGAGTTACAAACTACGTCAGAATATCTTTTCCGCACGAAGTACATTCGTGGTAATTTTCCGATTATCGTTGCCGCGCGAAATCCTTTTCGCACAAATCAGATCTCAAACATCTGGCAACATCGCACAGCAGCTGAGCAGGACAACCATGCTCCCATTTACTGTTCGACTGCTGAGTGAGGTGAAAAAAATTTTCAATCTTTGTTCGCTCATTTTTTTTAAAAATATTCCTCATATATTTCTCGACCTTGCCACATACTACAGTAAATTATTCAAAGGTTAAATGATTTTGTGCGGCAACGATAATCGGAAAAATTGTCGCAAATGTACTCTGTGCGGAAAAGATAGTCAGCCCGAACTACGCAGGTTATGCAGGTTGGAGTGGATTTCAGACTTTTTTTTATGTGCTCAACGTGATTTTCGTGTAATGGGTCTGTTACACGAAAAAGACTCAGCCAATTTTATTCACTCTCTGCAAGTAAATTCTCTCGAAAATCACGTTTGAATCGCAAAAAAGTCTGAAATCCACTCATTAGCACGCAACGCTAGTGTAAAATGTTCTTTCACTTTACCGCGTACGTGGGCAATTTTTTTTGGCGGCTGGCAGTCAAGTTCACCCGGAGAGAGACCTAAATTTAATAAACCAGCAATCTCAGGAATTGTCATAAACTTTCGTTGTGTAATATTCCAGTTGATCCAAAGCTTTTGTTTTTGTACAATACAGGAAAAAAAGGAAGGAAACGCTTGAAAACAGTTGAAATCATAGAATAGAAACAAGACGACGGTTCCAACGTTAAGTCGTTGGAGAGCGTTCATTGTAGCACCTCGTCAATATGTGAAAGTGGTTTTGCGCGGACGGAAGAGAGCGCTGCAAAACGCTGTTGAACTAAACGTGAAGCGTAACCTAGGAAACATACATTTATCTAAGAAATGACTTTGTTTTCATAGAGTAAAATATAGGGGGTCATTAGAGAAGGGGTACTTTGTACCCAACAATTTTTTTAGATCTCCGACGACTAAAAATTTGAACGATCCTTGAAAGAGTCATTAAATAATAGTACGTTGCAGAGTTTTAAAACGTAAAGATATTAATTGAAGATTTAAAGAATCGATTGTTAAGGTGTTCACTGCGAACACCCTGTTTATCGATAATTTTCCATAAGTTTAAATGGCATAACAATCGATTTACATGCAGCAAGTTTATTCCTTTGGCTGTATCTATTATTACTTGCATCAGGCCCATTGTGTGAGTACGAAAGCATTGTTCACTAAGAGTGAATGAAAGTGAAACAAAATGACTAAAAAACAGGACTCACGTAGCTTTTGCCAGCACAAAACGCACATAGTCTGTTTCTCCACTCCGTTCTTTGAATCGAACACAAGTTTCCTCCATGATGCGCCTCATGGCGTCTATTACGATTTTGCAGTTGTCGGAGGAAGGATTCGGACATCCTGGAATCGGAGAGTAAAAAAAACTAACCATTAAAATGCAGTTCCTTTCCCCCCCCCCCCTTTCTTTTCCTCTTTCAAATGCTCTGATGACTTTTTCTGATGCTGGTTGGTGTGTTCTTTCGAGCAATCCTAGGCGAAACTAAACTTTCTCTAAAGCTGGAGCTTAATTTAACGCGACAAGCGTCACCTGAGGCCCATTGTGTATAATTCACAAATTCCGATTTTTTCGATGGCGAAATCACGTTTGCCCATTGCGGAGTTACAAAACGGCTCCTAATTATTCTTTTCGCAGAAAAACAAACCAACTTTATGGCTTGAAATCCATACGGGATATTCTACTAACAGAGAGGAAAAATCAAGATGGTTTTCAAGGATTTACGTTGCCAAGCCTTTCGAAGAAAGATAAGATTAGAAGGGAAGTCTGTAACGTCACAAATGGAGGTACGAGGTTTCGCACGATAATCATCAATATCTTGTATTTTAGCGCTAAATTCCAGCGGGCCGATTATTGAAATTGATAGACAAAGCTATAGACAAAGACGACAAAAGGGATTTGGAGGGATCCTCTTGGTGGAAGCAGGTGATGACAATGGACATAGGAGGTAGGTAATGGACTAACTAACGGCAACCCACTAAAGACCCGACAGTTAGTCCATCATTTTCTTCCTTAGTCTATAAGAACCAACCATGTCAACCAATAAGATCGCTACATACTCCCTATGTCTTCTTTGTCTATCGCCTTGTCCATCAATTTCAATAATTGCCGCGCAGCAGGACTCATTATCGACAGTGAGACTGCAAGGACAGTGGACACGGCGCACAGTGGAGCGAGTCAATGGAAGAGGTCGGACAAAATTTGGAAACTTTGAAAGCTTAAAACTCCATTTATACAAAACTTTGAGGTTCTGAAAGTGATTCTATTGGTTTTTTTTGAAGTTTTCTTCAAGAATCATCCTCCAAAGTTTAAAATGTGACAAAGTAAATATACAAAACTGCAGTTTTAGTAAACAATTTCATGTCCGACCTCTCTAATTGACTCGATCCACCGTGCGGCGTATCTCAGTTTGCGCCGTTGCAGATTTCCCGTCATAATTTATTTTTAATTTTAAAGAAAAAAATAAAATTAACACAATCTCTTGAAAACTTTTTCTCTCTCTCTCTGCGAGAAATATGCTCTGAAAAAAAAAGATTGGTAGAAATGACCATTCCTTCACGCTGTATTTCACACAGCGTGAATTCAAAGTCGATTCTGTCAGAGGAATGGTTACCTATACCAGTAGTAACGTTTACCTTTCTTCTGGCAGGATTGACTCTGAATTGACGCTGCGTGAAATACAGCGTGAAGGAATGGGAAATTCTAACAATTTTTTTTTTTCAGTGTTCGATATAGAATAAAATTAAGAGTGAAGATTGTAAAAGCACTGCAAACGAGCTATGCGTTTTTGTAACTTCGCCGTCGAACTGCAGAAATGTTCTTTTGGGCTCTACGAACCATACGCTTAAATTTTACCTATCACGGGAACTGGCGCAGGAAGAGCGCACCCCATCTTTCTCCCTGCACATAGTTCTGTTTGGAAGAAATGCGTCCAATTGAGTCATCAAATTGGGCCTCTCATTGGTCGCATCCTCACCTCAGATCTTTTCCCACCGATCAGAGCTTCAGTTCGATGGCTCAATGGGCCTGTTGCAAACTTTTGCTAGAGCAAAACTAAGAGTTGTCTCTTACAGATAATGCCTCAAAAATCACGATGAGCGCATCGGCAAAGTCTGAAATGCACTCATAACTTCACAATCTGCGTAAGAAATTTGCGGTTTTTTGAGCTTCCCGCTTCGAAAACGATACTCCCATGTAGCAAAATTTGAAAGATGATTGCCAATATATTGATCATTTATTTCCAATTTTATTCCAATTTGATTTCCATCGATTGGTCATTTATTGGTCATTTATTGCCAATAATCGACCAATCCGGGAATCATCCGTCGACCAATTATTTGTCCATTTTATTGCCAATCGAATTGCAATGAAATTGGAATATTTTGGTGATAAAACAGCAATAAACCATCAACATCTCAACTTTTTTTTTTGACCTCAGGATCAGGTTGAAAACAATTTTTCCCTGAAAAACCTGCACAGAATACTGAGAATTGAGGTTTATTACTTAGAGTTGAAAAATGGAAGTAAAATAACTCTCTGAAAAGATAATGTCATGCAGTTACATAATAGCACAAATGTTTAAAATAATCGTTTTCCCTGATCCTTTCTACTCTCCCCTAAGAAGTAGTATTTAAAGATTTTGATTAGCGTATTTTTATTTTTAAACATTTCATTTCAGTAGCTTATCTTGAGGTTATTTCTGCGCCCCATTAAGGGGAGGGGATACCTTCCGCACAGGAAATTTGACAGAGAAAACGCATTCTTTGTTCGCTGTTCAAAAATAGAAATGAAAATTTAAAATTGGATGCTGCTTGTCCTTTGTCAATGTAATGATGGACACTTCAGTTTTTAAAGATAGAAATAGGTTATAGAAAAAATAATTAAATGTGCCACCATACACTTAGATGAATTTTTCAATGGTTCTCACAATTTTTAAAAATACAATTTTGCCATTAGACAAGAGCTCCATTACAGCACTCCATTAAGATAGACATAAACCTGACAAATTTACACAAATAATTACAACAAAAATTCACATGGATCTTAAGTCTGAATGAGTTTCATTCAAACGCTGCCAACATTAGGTAAAATAACATTTAAGATTTCACACCAATTTAAAATAATTCTAATTAGTGTTCAGTTGAAACTTGCTGAAAAAGATATGATAGTGGATATACTCACTGCTAACTTCCAGTGTTTTCTTCATAATTTGGTGTACTGTTCAACTGCGAATAAAGATTAACAACATTTGATTGCTTGGCAATTTTATCATCAATCAAAAGTCGTTAAAATTCTTATACGAACAGCTGTCTGACCTGTAGAACTTTTGTATACTCACTCCCTGCATCCTCATAATATTTTCACGCGAAGTGGTGAATACGAAAGTGCTTACACATCTCATTTCAATGTGGTTGAGTTGTGTAGCTTCAGGATGGATTTTAACAGTGTGCAAAATGATATGTTTCTGGAATCTCTGTGCTTTTCCCAATATACACTTACAGACACATTAGACTATTGCGTTATGACTCTTTTCATTTTGCTTTTTGTTAGCGGGTCAGTCAGCGGCAATGGATGTTTGATTAAGCTTGGTCTTATCAATTCGACAACCACACGAGCGGAGCCAACAAAGAAGGCTTTGTTGATCCTTCAACTCACAGTTTTTTTAGTTTACGCGGTGAATTCAACATGAATTGTGAACGATAAAAAACAATCAATCGCCAAGTTTTCATGCTGATTTCACAGTACGACAAAAATCACACGACTTTAAAACTACGGATTGGTTATTTTTTCTATTCATTCAGTGAGTAAGAAGTTGATTGATAAGTTGGCCATTATGTGAACTTCAGTTTGTGAGCGCCGTCGAAGAATTTACGCCTCTGCGCAAAGCGGTGTTCGCTACTATCCACCTTAAAAATATCAGGCTCATGATTGTATCGTAAAAAAACTACGTATCAGTTATGATCCGCAACATTTATGTGGTTGTGATCTATGTGCGGCTAAAAATTTAATTTTTACAAGGCTTGGAAGTATTAAAATACCTATTTAAGCTTGCGTTTTGGCTTCTGCTAGATTCAAATGGTTTCATGTGGATACGCTTGCAAACCGAAAGAAAGTAAACAATGGCCAACTTATACGACTACACCTCTAAGTGGTTGACTGGTTGTCGGACCAAGAAAATAACCAGTGGAAGTTCTGTTACTTGTTTACAAGGAATGTTAAACAAAGTACCTCGTATAACGTGAACTGAAGTCCATAACTATTGATGGGTTGATTTTAAGTGGTCTTTCATCTGCTTATTTGAGACGAGATGCATATGAAGGCATTTCTAACCTCATTTGTGGCCTTGCAATATTCACAGGCGATTTTGGGAAAAGCATAAAGAAAGAGAAATGAGTTCATTCTAAGTAACTTACAGCTTACGGCTTAAAACAGAATAAAACGGCCACTGCGCTGAGCTTACTAGTGGACAACGTTAACATGAGGCACATTAGGATGTTATTGACGACGACCACAATAAGCGAGCGATAAATCACCAACTGGGATAATGTGCATGCACGTGCACAGTAAGATACTTGGTGTTTTTCATTTCTGAATCTTAGATACACTCAACCGAAAAAGTGCCGTAACTAACACACAAATGACCAATTCACATCATCATCTATTACGTTGGTTTTGTAACCGACTAACCGACTCAAAAACACAACATCGACAACCGAGGTAGGAGGTACGACCGTGCAGACAGGCACCTTCGAACGCTATTAAAGATGGCCGTCCATAATGACGTGTTTACTGTCCCGCGCGAAAAGTCAAAATAATTTTTACATAAATAATATAATGAAACAATAATAATGATAATAATAAAAAAATTGATGTACTGCAACTTTCCGAAAAAGTTAAATATTTTGAAGTTTCAGTCTCAAATTACTAATTGTAAGTAACAGGCAATTCATCCATGAGCAGCCAATTAATCGTCAATCTTGAAAAATTGTATTTTTTACATAAAAGTATTAGGTATAAGTTCATAACTTATCGCCGTAAAAAATGACATTAAAATAGCAATATACCTTCAACATTAAAATTAGCACAAATAAAATTGCAATTGAATGACAATTTTATTCCAAAAATATGTCCATTATTTGTCAATATTATCGGTTTCCAATAAATGGGTGATAAATCGGCAATTTATCACCCATCAAGATCTCAGTCCTGCTACATGGGCTACGGTACAGGTGAACATTTTGTTAGAGGAGTCGTTCCATTGGCGGCAATACTCATCATGGCCGACGCCAGTCCGCCAAACACGTGTGATGGGACGAGATAACACCTGAACTAGAGTCCCTTTATACCCAGAGTTACGACAACTCACTTTTGGTTGGGCCAGGATTGGGCTGAAAGTGGCCTAAAAAAAAAATCCAATTCTGATTGGTTCTCGCTCATGGAGGCCGAAACGAGTGCACTAAGATGGCGGTACCTCGAATGTGAACAAGAATAATGAAAATATTACCTAATTGTGGTTTATCAAGAGTGAATTGTTATTTCCATCGGTCCAAAATGAAAATAGATTAAGAAATTATTCACAAACCAATCTCATTTTCTTTTTAATTGATCACTTTGTTGATGTTGTTGTTTTTGTGTGACAGACATCGCAGGATTCCTGATCCTTATCCCTCAATATCGTTCGTTTGGGTGCACTCGTTTCGGCTTCCATGGCCAGCCAAGGACGGCTGCCAGTCAGCTGATAATCGAGTTGTCGTAACTCTGGGTATAAAGGGACTCTAACCTGAACAGGATTAGACCAGATAACAATCGGCGTGTTTACGTTCATATTTTCCTCGCCCGCCTTAATTGACCTTGAACTCTCCTCGAATTACTCGAGGAACTGCGCAAGCGTCGGCCATGATGAATATTGCCGACGGTGGAGCGACTCCTCTAACAAAATGTTCACCTGTGCAGTGGTATCGTTTTTGAAGCGGGAAGCTCAAAATAACGCAATTTTCTAACGCAGATTGTGAATTTATGAGTGCATTTCAGACTTTGCCGATGCGCTCATCGTGATTTTTGAGGCATTATCTGTAGGAAACAACTCTTCATTCTGCTCTAGCAAAAGTTTGCAATAGGCCCATTTGATCGTGTAACTGGACCTTAATAGTAAAATATATTCACTTAAAACTTACCCGTCGAGTGGTCCCACTGGTAGACGACACCTCCTCCCTTCCATATATCTTCCCAATTTTTCAGTCGTTTTTTAGTTCGTAACTTTGGAACAGATCAAAATAGAACGACTAAAATAACATGTTATTTTGGAGAAATTTTAACCTATGTACATTTACATGGCTTTCGACCGTACTCGACATAAACCGTTGTTCTGAACAATTTTGCTCCTGTTGTCTCTTATTTTTCCAGGGATAGTCATATCTCCCCCTTCTGTTCCTCTTTCTATCTCGCCCTCTCTCTCACTACGAAACTTAATTTAAACAATACTTTTCATAAAGCCTCAATTGCAATTCGTATCTAGGGCGAGGTCCTTAATAAGTTGCGCGTGGCTTCTTCACTGGAAAAAAGAAAAAAAAAAAAAAAAAAAAAAAAAAAACACACACATTGGATCTAGAGTCCAGACTCTTGAAAACATTGACGAGAAAAAGGACTCTTGATTCAATCAGATTTAAGCTTAAATCAAAAAGAAATCCGCTCAAATTAAGAGGCTTAGTTCTTGATTTAAGCTTAAATCTGATTGAATCAAGAGTATTTATTCTTGTCGATGTTTTTCAGAGTCTGGACTCTAGATCCAATGTGTTTTTTTCCAGTATTAGGTAGTGTTCAAAAGATAGCTCTGAATGTTTGAGCATGTCTTGGACCTTAGGGGACATTTCCTTTCTTCTGTTTCATAGTTCTCCCGGAGCTAGATTCCATTTTGTAGTAATTATTTTTTTATTCCTGTATACATAAAAGCACAAATGTAATAATTATTATCATACCTTTGGATTGGAGCGGAATTCCGCGAATTCATCGGGGGTGCCACCTTTAATACTGAAGACCTCCTCGGCTGCGAGAGCCAGGAGCAAAGTTTTAAAAATCAACATCGAACGACTGAGATTCACCGACTTAAGTTACAAACTGAATAAAACGCAAACAGTTCTTCTGACTGAAAAACTGCTTCTATCCAGTTACATCCGTTTTATTTTTTTACTATTTTATGATGTGCATCGCCTATGTCGTGCTGTAATTATACTTTCGTAGATGAGTCCTGTATTGCCAGATTTAATCTTGAGAGATTGTGTTAAATGTTCAACAAGTTAATGGGAGGATACCGGCTCAATTTCACTACAAAGTGAGTGCCATGATTTTTTTCCTTTGAATCCAACTAGTGGCGGATCGAGGGTGTAATTGAGGAAAATATTCCAAGAACCACTCTAAAAGCACTTAAAATTTTATTCGTTCATATCCCAGACCGAGACAAATGTGGTAAATGCACATTTTATTTTGCGTCATGATCACTAAGTTTCGCAAAATCTGTGGCAGAGTCTAGACTGAAACTTTCAGTGGAGAAATTCGGGAAACGAAAGTGGGCTCGAAAATTTTTGAATAGCAGTTACTCCTGGACCGCAAGTTTTGGTTGTTTTCACCCTAAGATGCCCAATTCAGGTCAAACTGATCCGAATCGCCAAGGGATTTTCCACAATTCGATGCAATATTGATGCCCACGAAAATAATGGAATGTGTCCACTTTAGAGTATAACGCTTTCAACTCATCGCTCTTGACATTTGGATGTAATAACTTGAAGTCTCATAACGTTCTGGTGCGTCGTTTCAAAGCGAGTCATATCAAGATGGCCCACCCTCTTTTTGATACCAATGAAATATGCAATAACCGGAGCACAATGCCGACTCATAGCTTAAGAGACAGGAGACACGTACCAAATCATCCCTTGACCATTTTTAGTATCGATATATTCCTTGTAGTCGATCTAAAGATAATGTAGAGGTTTTTAGTTTAGATGTTTTAAAGATGCAAAATACAAAATAAGCTGAGATCTAGTAACGCTTTACGCCTTAGACATGCAGCGCTCCTGGGGATTGGACGACGAATCGATCAGGGGGTGTAACCTCTCATATTAAAGTAAGCTTTGGGAGCAGGATTTTGAATTTCGGTGAACTTTAGGTCTGATTTTCATAAAGTTGGAATTTTCTCCTTTTTTTTTAAAAAAAAAAACACTTATTTTTTATGATTTTCTAGGTTATACAAAAAATATACATTCTTGCAAGGCTATCATCCTGGTTCCACAAATGGCGCTTGCTTTGCTGGGTCATTTAAAAAAAATTCACTGTCGATGTTTTTAAGAGTCTGGACTCTAGATCCAATGTGTTTTTTTTCCTCTGAACCAAAAACATTAGCTTGCGTTGATGTTACTGTAGAATGCAGCAAAATCACCGACTCGTTTCCGCCAAAATTGTCAGTTCAACTGTACTCTGTTTCTTAGCCTGATTGTTTTCTGCAGAAAAAAAATGTAAACATTTCTTTGTTTTGTGTTTTATTTTTTTTATTTTCGACGGAAGCAACATAATAGCACAAATTTTCTCGATGTCAGCTTAAACCAGCTTCTCAAACCACTCTTTCCCCTCTGTCGTCGACACGTTGCTCGTCACTTTGGGGAACCAAGTGAAGCCGTGGTGAGGATACGGCGTATCCGTTGTCGTTGGAGGTCGGCTTGGGGGCTTGGTCGTCCAGAATTCCGAGTCGTCCGACCATTCTGATTCGAAAAAGTTCATAGCGTAAGGGGTGCCCAGCTTGTACTCCTTGATGAACTTGCGTGTGTTGAAACGGATCCGACTGGGATCGTGCCTGAAAAGCGACAAAATCCAATCAAAATCCAAAAGCGGTCAAAAGACGACAACTTGTGCGAGTCCTTCATGAGTCGATGGTCGATTGAATCAGTGAGTTCGAAAACACACCAACTCGGGTTTTTTTCAATTTTCTTTTTTTGCGGTTTAGTAACACTTATGGATAGAAGCATCTGCACGCAAAAGGAAATTTCGAAATAGCAATCGGAAGTGCTCGAAATAGCGACGGGGAAAAGGAAAAATCGCAGTATTTCATTGGAAATACCATTTTTTGGCCATTTCAAGGGAAACGGGTGACCATCCGACTTTGCGGTTTTCTTTTTTTTGGTTCAATATACCTTGTACCAACAATTTATATAAATATTCAAGCGTTATTCAGGTGGAAAAATATACATTTTTCAGGGCAGACTATGAAAAATCAGTATCTGAAAGTCGGTGAGAACGGAAACACACCAACTCAGAAATTTTTAAACGCTTAATTCTCTGTCATCAAACATGGTGTATCGATTTCAACTTGGTGCTTTACAAAGTCTCTAAGTACTTGTCCTTTGGCACCAAAAAGGTTTTTCTTAAACTAACTTCTTCGCCCGCTGCGCAGTTTTAGGTGTTTCCTGAGCAAGTTTTTTTTTTTTCTGAGTTGGTGTGTTTTCGAACTCACTGATTCAATTGGATCGCATTTGGCAAAAAGAAACCAGCGCGGTTACTGTGCTGCATCCTCATAATTATTTAAAAAATCTCCTAGAATAGCAAATAGTTTTGGCTTTCCACCAAAAAATGTTTAATTTTGGGGAAAACTAATTTTTAGGACGAAGCGGGAAAATGTGTTGCTCTGACATTATTGGAAATGGTTTTTCACCCTTAGATGCCAAAGTCCTTACGCAATGTCCAAAGTCGGGTCAAATTGACCTATAATTTAATAAGTTGTTTTTCCTAGTTATTGAAGTATTATTCATGTTAGTTCTATGTTTTTGAAGGTTAAAAATGGTTTTTTTTAAAGTGTTCACCTTTTTGGTAACATACTGGCGCTTTCCCAACCCTACCTTTCGGTCACCATCAGGCACTTCCCCAAAAAACACGGTCCGGTCAATTCAACCCAACTTGGGACTTCTAGTGGTAGTCGTCAAAAAAGAGAAGGAAACTAATCTCCAACACGACACAATTCTCGCCAAAATACTAATTTTTAGACATAACACACATGAGTAGAACAAGGGAAAAGACGCGCGTTGATGACGGCGCAGAGATACAATCATTCGTGCTTGGTGGACGTCCGTGTTGCGTCAGCAATATTGAAGGCGCCATGGGGAGAGGCCTTAACTACTCGTAATCACGCAGATTCGGGAGGCAAGTTAAGAAACGAGGTCCGCATGCGTCTCATCTAACTTTGGCTGTGTTGAAACTCGATTTTCTTTTTTAAATTGACGTCTGATTCTTTTTTTATGATGTACATGTAGACGTACATCTAATGCTCGCACATATATATCGGCCCCTTACACAACCCAAGGAGCATGTGTTCATAGCACGTCTCGGGTCAATCTGGCCAAGCTCGAGTATCTAAGGGTGAAGGTATATTTTTTCCATTATATTGATATGGGCGTTGTTCAAGAGGTATGAAAGGTAAAAAAGTCCCTCCATTGTGAAGTTTCCTTTAAAGTTCAAGTTCCGCACTCTTTCTAGGCGTTCAAGCTACAAAAAGTGTACTTCAATATCCGGAGGGAAATTTATCAGAATTTCAATACTTTACCCGCTAGAATGAAGTCTGTGCACTCGTAACTCGTCTTTTTGCTTAAAAATTAGAACAACATATCGATGGTAACCTGCAAGATGTCAGAGATATCAATTTTAACTAGAAGTTCATGAACAAGGTTTTTTGCTGATGTTAATACAATATTTAGCTGCCGTGATAGAACTCAAGCTAAATAAAGGGTGGCAGACCTGATCTCATTATTCAAAGGAAGCAACTATTTTAATTTCAGAATATTTAATTACCAGGGACAACAAATATTGCACGGGCAGTGTTGATTGTATGCCATCATCATCATCATTTATCATCATCAACTTATCTACTTTGAAATGTTGGGCAGCCGAAGCCATAAAGTCTGAACTTTTTGAACCACAATGTTGCTAAACACTTTTCAACAACATTTCTTTTTTGTATTTGCAATAATCTTTACTTTCATTCGCAATTTAGCTGTGTCAAAGTGATGAAGGTTATTTAATTAAAACCTGATGCTCGCAAAAATTTTAAGTGACGATGGCAACATTTTGATTCCCTTATATCACCTTACTAGCATACACCTGATCTGCTTATTTTGATTCTGTGACAGGACTTTCATCTCGTATAAAAATATCTGTTACGTTACGTTACCTGTGTGCGGCTCGGGTATCGTGCTGACATAGTCCGCTAGTATGTTTCCAGAAGTAACGAAAGACTCAGGTATATTTATAACCATCCAATGTAAATACTCCTTTTCAGTTTGGTTCTGCCTCGATGGATAATCCGGACCTGGAAAAAAGGAGGCATCGGAGGATCTCATAAAATCGAGAGTAAAGTTTTCATGTGCCTACTTGGTTGCATGCAAGTTTTTCTAGGTTGTTTCAAACTGTAGAAATGCAATTTTTTACCAGAATTTATGGAAATAGAATAAAATCCTACAAGTTTTCTTATAAAAGCAATTTTATTCAAAAGTCAATCAATAACAAATCGACGTTTCTATTATAAATTAGAAAGAACGTTCTTGCCAAACGTTGACCATTTTGTCTGTACAAAATTAACGGGCATGGAAAAGAGGAAGATATTTTAGAATGTAACCTTCCTTCTTGTTGTTGTTTTTTTGTTTTTTTTCTTCGAAAATTACCAAAGTTAAAACGAGTCTAGAGAAACCGATGTAAGTAAAGCGTTTTCCTTATCTTTCCGATGGTATATACTGATTTTTTTTTTTTTTTTTTTTTTTTTTTTTTTTAGCAATTAGTTCCTCGGTACTTGCATTTTGTCGTAACTGCCCTGAATAATTTATCGTCACCTTTTTTCAATGGTTGCATACATGGTTCAAAATAAATAGAACAACCATACTATTGGATAATGGACAAGCCATCGTCTATCGGACATTTTCAGTCACAGAATGGATAGGATCTTAGATATGATAGATGCTCCGCAGCCCTTGACAAGATATACAATAAAAAACAATTTTAAAAGCGGGTAACAAGGCAAAAAATTCACAAACAAGACCGAATTTTTAGCCGAAACGTTTTGGTCTTGTTTGTGAATTTTTAGCCTTGTTACATGCCCGCTTTTTACATTGTTTTTTATTTTACAAGATATTAGTTTTCGTTTTTCAAAGTTACTCGGAATTTATCACTTTCAAACTTGTGACATTAGAACATTCCTTCGCGTGACTTCGGTCTTACGTAACTTCACCAAGGTTTGAAATAAAACAATCCCGTCCCTCTTTTTCAAAAAAATTTAAAATTTTTTATTCACTACTTTACAGAAGCCCTAGAGCCTCATTCGTGTCTTCTACCGAGCTTTTTTCATATTTCTGCCCCTGTAATCAAATGCTGCCCTGATTATTTTTGTATCACTTAAAAATATTAAGAAATTCGACTCACTGATCAATAGTAAAGTGTATCGCTCTCCCCATTTGGTGGGCCATTCGACGTAAAATGGTTCATATCTAACAATAGCTGTCTCCATTTTTGTTCCAAATACTGCATGTTTTCCTTTTACCTTGGGTTCCATTTTAGAATACAGCAACTAGAATAAAATAATTAAAAAGTAAGCATTATTATTTACGGAATAAAGAAGCTATCAATATTATGCAGGAGAAGAAAATCTACCAGAACAAAGGTTTAAATTTTTAGAATGTCTGTAGAAGGGAAAATAATGATTTAGAGTATATATTAATGCGAGACATACTCCCCATAAAGATTCAATAATTCCTGTGACTCTTTTTATTCAACTTGCATTTTATTTTCGTCCTCAGGAAAAGGGATCCTTGTCCAAATATACTCAAAATCACATTAATTTAACCAGATCATGGCAGCAGACTCTACAAATTGTTTTGGAAAAATAATGAACAAGCAAGTGGAGATCAACCAAAACTATATGGTGATTTAAAAATATCTTTTTACATTCTAATGTCACATTCCGAGCGCGAAACGCCAGAGCATATTGCAAATTTACAACCTGTCTCGGCACAAAATTGCAATCACTTGCAATTAAGGTTTTAGGACACTATGCCAAGTCTCTGGTAATAAATTCAAAAACCGAAGTTTCGACTCAACTCGACAAAAATCTATATTGAAAAAAAATTTCACTCCGCGAACTAAGATCTCTTTTCCCGCAGATAATCACAAATACCGCTATGCCAGGGGAAAATCCCATTAAAAAATTCTGTAGGTTGACAAAATCCTTCCCCAAAAGTATTGATTTTTGCAAAAAAAATTATGCCTACTCATTGACATTTTTATACTTATTTAAGTAAAATAAGACTTTACTATTATAGATTAAGACAAACATTCAATACAAATTTCAAAAAATAATAAAGTCACAGAATTTCCAAAATATGTGTGTTTCACCGGACAAACTTTAGCAACTTCCTCATGCCCTAACGACGATTTTTATTGAACACGGCATCAGTATTTATAGAGGAAGACGATTTCACATGGCTAATTTTACATTTCTGCGTATTGTAATCAAATTCACGGTACAAATGAAGACATCTTACACTATGCTTAACCTACCTCACAGGGTATTTTTGGAGACTGCGACTCGTCAATAACGTCCGGGATAATTTTGTACTCCTTGAGCTTCCTTTTTATCTCACTCGGTGAGAACATTCTAGACCTGAAGGGAAACCCATGCTCATCCCTCATTATAGATGTCGTAGTCATCCTAGGGAAGGTAAATAAAGTCGTTTCATCGGAGATCAGGTGCCCCTTCTCCTCTTCAAAACCTCCATCTGGTATCACCCAGTCCTCCGGGCGTTTTGAGTCCTCCGGGAACTCTTTATGGTCTTGCCATGGGAGGTAAAAAGGATCCTTATCTTTTGCTTTTGCCCCCCTTATCTCCGCTGTCGTGGCGTGATCACCGAATGGGTCGAAAAAAGTGAAAACTTCGTCACTGTCTGGCTCTTTCGTTGTCGTGCGAGTTGGTTTTTTCATATTTTTCGCACTTTTTCCACCTTTTTCTTTCTTTGAATTTTTTGTCGTTGTTTCATGATCGCCGAATGGGTCAAAAAATGTAAACACTTCATCACTGTCTGGTTCTTTCGTCGTTGTGCGAGTTGGTTTTTTCATATTTTTCGCGCTTTTTTCTCGTTTTGTTTTCTTCGGAACTTTCGCCGTCGTTTCATGATCGCCAAATGGATCGTTAAAAGTGAATATTTCATCACTATCTGGTTCATATTCAGTGGTGCGAAGCGTCACCGGTGGTGCAAACTCGATCAATATCGCTAAAAGTAGAATTTTCGGCACGATGACTTCCGAAGTCTGGAAACTATGAACTGTCGCCAACATTTTCCACACAGTTTTTTTTTTTTTTTTTTTTTTTTTTTAAAAGTTGATGGACCACACTGCACAAACCAATAAGGTTATAATGGAGGAGTTAATTTAAAATCATGCCGCAAATGAATCGCCTTGGTTTCGAGAATGGAACACGTTCTGTTAGAGAATATTTGGCAAAAGATTTGAGAAAAATTATACGTACTGTTACTGTACAGTTTTTTTTCTAACGGAAGATATGCATTTTCCCGAAGAGATGGCGTCATTTTGCTCCCCCAGTTCATATTTCTCGCAAAACACAAAGCATAACCAACTAAGTTCTTTCATATATCATTGCATTACAATTTATGTCTAGAAAGGAATTATAAAACAGGAAAACAACATAACAAACAAGTTTTCGATTACTCTTGCTCAGATTAACTGATAAATAGTCTCATTGTGATCATGAAATTAAATACGAACTAAATCGATCCTAAAGACTGACAATGAGTAAATCTATAATCTTTGATGTTTAAAATTTTGCAGAGAAAATTTAAACTGCTTGTCATCGTCTAATGTCTCAAAGAGTAAGTTTTATCATCAATGGCTTCATCACGTGTTCTAGGAGTTGATGGGATGTGATAAGCTTTAATTTATTCTTCTCTGATTAAATGTGACATTTATATAGCTGGGCGCATGTATTTTAGTTTCAGCCAAAATTTCGTAAGTTTACAACCGTAACAGCAGCTAGTTGATCAGAGCATTTAAAGTTTTGTGTTTTTCCCAAAATTCCGGTCTATCTAAGGTTAGGGGAAAATATAGAGTGTCCGAGAGTGAATCCACCGTACTTTACAGGAACCGTGTTTTAGGATATAAACATGACACTCTAGTTTCTCTCTGATTTTTATCCCATGAAAGTCTCTTTGAAAACGTTTTTTTCACGCTTAAGCTCGTCAAAACTGTGCATTCCCTCCCCTAACCGGAAATTTGTCCGTAATTCTTCCTTAAAGCGTTAAATGTTAGTCAAACTTGCGTTTGGTGGGTAATTTTTAGTGCAGTTTTAATTTTTCTGGAGTTCCAAACTTTAAATCCATATAAAAAGATGGTAGGTGAGACCTCTGCAATGAATTTTCAAACCTATCCTGCTTAGTGATACAGATTTAAGATGGCTGTACGAAGGTAGCATAATCAACGGGTCAGTTGCGCTAGTCACACAAACGTATTTTGATGCTTGATGCCTGTAGATCAGCTGAAAATTATAAGATCTAAAAAGAAAGGGACAGCAATGTCTCAATGTAGATTTTACAACACAAAAATGCTACTTTAACCACCCCCGTGGTTAAATTAGCTTACAATAGTGGGTAAAGTAGCATTTTTTTGTTGTTAAAGCTACGATGAAACGTTGGAGTCAATTTTGTTAGCAACTGAATTGTTAAATCAGCAATTTAATTTTTTCCATGTTGCTTTCATTCAAGTTTCACGAAGAGTAACTAGTGAAAATGTGTGTCTCTCTAACAAATGAAAGCAAGGTGGTAGAAACCAGGGGTGTCACTACTGCGGTGGATGACGTCCTTAACTAATTTTTCAGAGCTCAATATCTCGGTTCATATTGAGCGTAAAAAGTTGCCGTTTAGACGGATCCAGGGCCGGATTACGGGGGTGGCCACATGGGCCGGGGCCCAGGGCGGCAAATTTTGCAATTTGTTTTTTAAATGTAGGTATAAAAATAAAATTTCAAACGGGAAAAGGCGACAAAATCTTGCATTTCCTGTGAGTATCGTAATTTCTAATTTTGTCGTTTTGCGTGATACGAAAGACAGCAATTTTAATTAGTCGAGTTATGAGAGAAACCAAACACGCAATTTGGCCAAAACGCTCATTTATGAACATTCTTGGCTGTTTTGGTCTGACATTGAAATCTGAAGTTCGTCAGTGACATTTTTGTGTCAGAAGGTTGGCTGCCCTTTCATTAGTCTAGTTGAGAGAGAAACCAAACACGCAATTTGGCCTAAAGCGGCGCGGCGCAAAGCGCAATGATGACGAGGACTTGAGATGAAAAGGAGAGGCCCTCGGCGAGGCGGTCGGCAAGTAACACATATTAGCGCCTACAAGACTGCATAATACTTCACGCATAGCGTCAAACACAGTGCGGTGTGCGGTCAGCAGCGGTCGCCGTGTAACGCATAGCGCCTCCAAGATTGCATGAATACTTCACGCATTGCGCCAAACACAGTGCGTTCAGCAGCGGTCGGCGTGAAAGGCGTAGCGCCTACAAGAGTGTAGGGATACTTCACGCATTGCGCCAAACGGCACGGCGCGGCGGTGGAAGTTAAAATTATAGAACCACATTTATGGTTGTTCTTTCATAATTTTTTCGTTCATTTCTTATTAATGGAAGGCATTGTCCACACAGAGACAGGTTTACGGAACTTAACTTTCGCGCCAAGTTCCATGAATTTTTGCTAGTAGTGTTGACAGGGCTTCCGCAAAAAATGTATCCAACACGAGTAAACGCGTCTTATGCATCCCTGTCCACCCGGCACGTTCACTTGAAGGTTTTTATTGATGTTTCAAAACGAATGAGATGGGGGCGGCAAAACACAGGCGGCCCATGGACGGCAAGTAGGTAAATCCGGCCCTGGACGGATCTTATTATTCTTAGCTGATCCACAAGAATCAAACATCAAAACACGATTTTGTGACCAGCGCAACCGATTCATTACTTTGTAATTTAGAGATAAAATGAAATGAGAAAAGAAGAATCGACTATTTTAAGAGTGAGATGCCAGAATAACAGCTCGAAGAGTTTTAAAATTCTTCACCGAAACACCGTTTACTCCCGCCTCCTGCGGCGAGAATTCGCCCTTTTCTCGTAGACTGATGGGCCAAAATCATCATCCTCCAAAGGGTCTGGCTCTGAGTGGAAGTAATTTGCCGCATATAAGTCTCCAAGGTTGTACTTCCTTGAAAATTTCTGGTTTGAGAATTTCACTCGATGTCCGTCATTGCTAAAAAGAATAAAGGAAATGAAAAAAGCAATTATACATCGTTCGGTGAGGACAGTATACATATCCAACTAATAAAGACTGGTGTAATTCTGAAGAGGGAAACTTGGGAGCAGTAGACTTTGACGGCATGAAAAGTAAAGTAAAGCCATCCTTCAGTCATGGGCGGAACTAGGAATTTTCTCTGGGGGGGCACGAGAAGATATAGAACTTGGGCTAAGGGGGGTCTGGGGGGACTCCCCTAACTGCAGAAGGGGCGGTCCGGAAATTTTTTGAAAATTGGAATGTCTCGAGAGCAATTTTAAGCCATTTTCACTGAAAAATTAAATGGAATTGAACACTACAGATGACAGAAATTTTGATGACTTGTTTTTAAAAATATCTTATCTTACTGTGGGTTTTAATTTAGTTCATGTTAATTTTGCTTTCATAAAAACAAGCTTTGCGCGAAAATACGCTAAAAACCACAACCGGATACAGTCAAACTACATTCCTTCTTCCTTAATCGAAGCAGGCTGCTCCTTTGCAAGACATTTTCATCTTCTGACATCATTCTGTGATCGATTATATTATAGGATTAAGCTCCTATTTATTACATTCCCTATGCCTTTTTCCTCAAAGCTAATTAGTAGCTTGGGTGCTTGACAAATTTTGGAGGGGCCGAGTAGAAATGTGGGAGCCCCCCTCCCCCGGTACCCCTGTTTCTACCCGTTCCTTCAGTCCGATTCATCATGTTACGTTTAAGGGGGTTCTTCTCCATACTTTTAAATGTTATTTTTCTGATAAACACCGAGTTAGTTTGAAAGCTTCTTACTTTTTGATTATTTGTGCACCCTGTCGCGTTCTAACGTAGACCAACGTATTAGAGACAGTATATCACATTAGACTGACTGAAAAAATCTAATGGATCTATTTGAAAAAGTATTCGAAATAGCAATGAGTCATATTACTGTGGGAGAGCAAAAAGTTGAAATTAATTTCTAGGAAAGCGCTTTTGGAAGAACAACACCGAATTCTCTTGGATGAACACAATATGCACTTTATTTACGACACTAGATTACAATGGATGGAAATTCTGCACGTGGTAAAATATGTTAAAAGGACTTGTGAGAGCTTAAGAGAGGACATGAAGTCATAGCTGAGATGGTAAACGCGAAGTAAGTTTTCTCGTTCACATTTTGGGCACTAAGGGCCAGAAAAACAACTTTTAGGCTGTATCTCATCAGCCAACCTATAAAAAAGATTTTAAAGAAATAAGATGGTTCGTCCGATTGTATGCAATAAGCATTGATTCTAGGCCTTAAAATGCTTGTCATGGAGAAACAAAAAGAGAAACAGAAGAAATGAGAGAGATGAGGATAGACGAAAAATCTGTCTCGGGGCAAATTTAGAAGAAGACGTTGCGTAACAGTGCGTAACAGTGCGCAGCTGAGGAAGCGGACCCAAGACAAGCTCAAGGCGACAGAGATGGATTTCTGGAGAAGATCGGCTGGAATCTCGAGGAGAGGACGTATCAGGAGGGTTACAGGACATTTTTTCAACGATATTTTGTCCGCGCACCTGTTTTTCCCAGTAATTTACGTCCACGCGTTTTTTCGGCACGGGAGTTTTGGGCCACGTGCCAGTTGAGACCCAAAGTTAATTGGCCCACGTGTAAATACAAACGACAATTGCTCACGACGTTTTTGGATGAAAATGTATAATGTCTTGGAAGAATAAGGGTTTGCTTGTTTTTTTGTTTTGTCTTATTTGGTCCAACGGAGAATAATATATAGTTGAGAGTTTTGGTAAAAATAGGGGAGCGTCAATTCCATGAGAAAAAATTCACTAAAACTCTCTACACCCCTTTGGTGTAACAGGACTTAATTATCTTTCAAGAAATTCCCACCTTGTTATACCTGAACCGAATAAACCTCTATATTTGCCTCAGCTGAAGGCTCTTAGACTTTTCCTGTGTACAATAAGTATCTTGATTTATTTTGCGAGGAAAGATCTGTACTTTTAAAGGATGCCTGTCATTCTTAATGCGTTCAATTTCGTATAATACTGTGCAACACCTCTGTTGTGAAATAGTTGCTTTAGGCGTCGCCACACGGCGGGCGGGCGGCTAGCGCAAAATGCGCATTGGCGCCTACAAACCTAAGTGGATACCTCAAGCATTGCGCAATGCGTGAAGTATCCACTTAGGTTTGTAGGCGCCAGTGAGCCTCTCGCGCAGGCAGCACGCCGCGCCGCGCCGCTCCGCTCTGTTGGGCTTTAATATTTATACTCGCATGGTCAGCGTTTTTTAACTCATGATTTTGAAATGTTTGCAAACTCTGCATTGTTCTCTGCATTATTCTCATTTAAATTGATGGGGGAAAAATATGTATCAATCTATCAAAGGAGAATAATAATATAATGTGCGATTTTTAAATATTGGTGGTTCCGTGTCAACTTTAATGATTTCGAAAGCACTTAATTTTTTCTTTTAAATTTTGTGTTTTTATTGTGCTACAGGGAGGTGTACGCGCAACCAAACGCTCCAAATTTGACGTATTTGACTCTAAAAGGTCGATGTACAAATGGGTTAAAACTAAAGATTGCGTGCTTCTCGGTGCTTTTTCCTCTTTTATTCATTTTTGCAGTTTCTGTCGGCACAACTGCGGCTCATTGAGATTAATGTCGCTTTTTCCAAATATTTGCCACGTTTTAAATATATAAATGTTTTCAAAATGAAGTAATAATTTCGTAAAGAAAAAATTAAAAAAAAATAAAAAAAGTACCTAAACATATATAAGGTATATCGTACATCGAATATTTTAAGGATGGAAATAAAACGAAATATTCACCAATGACAATTTAAAAAGATGATTCAAAAGGAGAAAGTAATTACATTTCATTTAGAAAAAGAGCAACCATAACAACACCTCTTTCTCTCTCAATTTCTCATTTCCATATTGTCAATATAATTTTACATACCGACTAAAATATGTTGCTTATTTTACGTGTGGGTGTAAACTACTGGACAAAAAAGGTGTGCGGACAAAATGCCCTACAACCACCAGGAATGAACGTGTCCGAGAGATAATGGGTGTTGAGGGGACAATTTTGCACGATATTATGACCAAGCAATTGGTATGGTATGGGCACGTGCAGAGGATGGCTGATACCAGGTTGCCGAAGAAGGTGTCGGAGTGGGTCCCTCCAGGTAGGCGACGGAGAGGGCGTCCAAGCAAACTGTGGGTAGAGGGCATCCGTGAAGAGATGGAGAGATGCCAGCTTCCGGAGGATCTCTACCATGACATATTCCTGTGGCGGGTAGGCGTCGCAGAGCGCCCCAGCGCGCCGTAAAAGCTACTTATACATACAAAGAAACAATTTAAATTGGTACTACGGCTGCAAATAATGAAAAGAACACATAAAATAAAATAAAAAGCCAGGGCCGTTTCGCAGGTATAACACCCGCATTTTTAAGTGGCAAAAACAAAGAAAATTAGAAAGAAGGACACTATGAGCCTCACCGCTGTTATTGTGAGGCTCAAAATTACAGCGGTGAGGCTCATAGTGTCCTTCTTTCTAATTGTCATGAGAACGGAGTTCCCCATGATATTAGAATCGTTCCGTTGCTTTAGCTATGGGATTCCCTATACCTCTGCGACCTTGAGCGTTTTGCCCAGTCTCCGATTTTTGGTTGATTTTCCGATGTATCAAAAACCGTTGTATTTTTTAGCCAATCATGTCTCTACGTCAAGTTGTGTTGATTGCTAAAATTCGCTTTCAGCGAGTTTTTTTCCACTTTGAGATGTCGTGTCTGACTGGTAAATCTGCGCAGAACCACGAAGTTCCGTTTTTAGGCAAATTCTTTTTTTTTGGGAGGTTCTGATTGGTTATTTTTCGCCATCAGTTTTCTGTTCGTTGGTGCAAAAGATCGCCTACCTCGGTGTTCTTGAGAAGCCGCCAATATCCCACCTCAAATTTTAAACATAGATATAAAGAAATAATAACCATCGTACAAGGTGGAAAATTGCTCTGGAGGACCCGTTACGGATATATGAGCCAAAATCAGAACTCGATTGATGGATTTAATCCATGAATACAGAAATATTGCCTCAGCTTACTGCCGCGATCGCAAATCCATACTGAGATGAACCTTGTGACACATGACAGCAAAGGTAAACAATGTCTCACAGAGTAATGCGCTTGATCCATTTGTCTCTTATCACGCCAGTGGCCGAACCGTTGAAATCTCAAGGACGTCTTTTGTGAAGCCCCGCTCAGCGTCCGAGATCACTTAACTGTTCTATTTTCTCTCTAAGCTCTCATACGGCGAGATGGCTCAGTCAGCAGAGTTACCATTCTAACGTCGGGTAAATGTCACTTTTTGTGCGAGCGGGGGTTCGAATCTCGCAGGAGACAGTTAATTTTTACTGGTTGTATTGAATGTTTTAGACCAATCATCAAACAATAATTAATACTTGGCAACTTAGGAAGCACATAGGTCCCTTATGATGCGTATTCAGGCATATGTGTAGAGTAAAAATATCATACGTAGGGTGTCCCAAAAGTACCGGGACTGGTTCTGTAACTTCAAAAGTAAGATAGATACAGACATGATGTTGGTCTCATTTTAAAGATCAACTCAATACCTATCGATTAAAACCAAGACCAGCTCAATCGAATAAAAATTGACCGAGTTATGACAATTTGAAATTAGTGAGGAAAGTTTACCCCTACGGTTTTTAGGAAGATTTTTCGCTTACCAGGATTCAAAAAGTTAATATTCGTATCCACTTTCCTCCGAATCTTCCATAACTTCCTTTTGCTTTTCAAAGTACCGTCCATCAAACCGGATGCACTTTTTCATGCGCTCTTGCCACTTATCCAACATTGTTTTCCTGAATTCTTCCTCTGGGATGGCGTTGAAAAAGTTTTGAATTGCATTCTGGATTTCGGTCTTCGATTCGAATCTTCGTCCACGAAGCTCCTTTTTAAGTGTAGGAAACATCCAAAAATCACATGGAGCCAAGTCAGGGCTGTAAGGGGGATGAGGGATTGTTTCAACTCCATTTTTACTCATAAATTCACGTGTTAAGCTCGATGTGTGAGGCCGCGCTTGTCTTGATGGAGTATCCACGAAGCTTTCAAGTCCGACCGTTTCCGGGAAATGTGCATTCTCAACTCCTTTAGCACTTTGCAATAATACGCACTGTCAACTGTTGTGTTTGGTGGTACAAAATGTTGATAAATGACACCTCGAAAATGAAAAAAACACAATAAGCATCACTTTATAGGCCGACTTTTCGATTTACGGCGATGAAGAATCTTCCTTAAAAACCGTAGGCGTAAACTTTCCTCGCTGATTTCAAATTGCCATAACTTGGTCAATTTTTATCCGATTGAGCTGATATTGGTTTTAATCGATAGGTATTGAGTTGATCTTTAAAATTAAATCAAGATCATGTCTGTATCCATCTTACTTTTGAAGTTACAGAACAAGTCCCGGTGCTTTTGGGACACCTTTTGTATACTTTACGCCGAATAAGCGAACCTGAAACTTAAATGCGGTAACTTCCGAAAACCATAAATAATCCAACGAAAATAAATAATTGGTACATAACAGCTTTCTTGTATGCAAAGAAAATAATTAAAAATGTTAAAAAAGAGATGTCAACACAAAATTACATAGCCCCTTCAATTCAGAAGATACTACAAACGAACTGTACCTTAACATTTTCATATCCCAGAAGCTAACGTTCCCATGACGAATATTGCTATCGCTAGCGATTGCAAAATCCAACTTGTATTCTTTGTTTTTGCTACTTAAAAATGCGGGTGTGATCCCTGCGAAACGTCCCGGGCTTTTTATTTCATTTTATATGTCCTTTTTATTATTTGCAGCCGTAGTCCCAATTTAAGTTGTTTCTTTGTCAGGGTTTCGAGCCGATTAAGTTGTTTCTTATACATACATACACGTTGCGTAACACACGACACACCCTCTTTACACATTTTTTTTTAAAAAAAGAAAAAGTATGCACTCACAAATCATGGATTGGTGGTTCGTGCCACTTCGGCCTCACTTTCGGTTGCTCGTACACGATAAAAACGTAACGATGAAGACCTGAGGAAAAGAGAGAATACTCCACATGAGTGTTGTAATAATGATACGCGAATAAATAAAAACTAAAATTAAAAAAAATATAATAAATCAGGTCCGATATTACTTCGGGTACCAACTTCTCGGCTCGCGATTAAACCCCTAACATAGACAAATTCCCCCTCGGGGGTGGTTTATAATCATAAGGACTAGTTTAAGTGTTATACAGGGTGATCCAAAAGTCCCTTCCACCCCCTCTAACTTTTTACCTAATTGAGGTAAAGATTTGAAACTTGGGGGATATTCCTAGGTCAAAGGGAGCTACTTTTTGGCCCCCCTAAAATTTTCAGGGGGGCCCCCCTTGGGGGGGCAACGGCCCCCAACTTTTAATTTTCAAATAGGAAGACCCCCTTTGTGATAGCTCGTTCGAAAGAACATAAAAAAAGAAAACTTTTCGCGCAAACTCGAAGTCAATATCTTAAACCGTTTCAAAATGGCGGCCGGTCAAAGTTCAAAATGGCCGAAAATTCACACCGGTTATTTGTCGATAGATTTGCGCGAAAATCGGTATGTGGGGGTATTTTGACACGAGAAAAACGAATTTAACGTTAGATTTTCAAACAAACCGAAATTTTCAAAATGGCCGCCGGTTAGAGTTTAAAATGGCCGAAAATTGTCACCTCGGTTTTTTGCTGATGGATTTGCCTAAAACTTGGAATTTGAGAGTATTTTGGCATAAGATAAACAAATTTGAACTTAGATTTCTAAAAAAATCAATTTTTGGTCATTTTGAACATTGACCGGCGGCCATTTTGGAAATTTCGGTTTTTTTGAAAATCTAACGTTAAATTCGTTTTTCTCGTGTCAAAATACCCCTACATACCGATTTTCGCGCAAATCCATCGACAAATAACCGGTGTGAATTTTCGGCCATTTTGAACTTTAACCGGCCGCTATTTTGAAACGGTTTGAGATATTGACTTCGGGTTTGCGCGAAAAGTTTTCTTTTTTTATGCTCTTTCGAACGAGCTATCACAAAGGGGGTCTTCCCATTTGAAAATTAAAAGTTGGGGTCCGTAGCCCCCCAAGGGGGGCCCCCCTGAAAATTTTAGGGGGGCCATAAAGTAGCTCCCTTTGACCTAGGAATATTCCCCAAGTTTCAAATCTTTACCTCAATTAGGTAAAAAGTTAGAGGGGGTGGAAGGGACTTTTGGATCACCCTGTATATGTATGTATATAGATTTAGATAACCACTAATAAAGTTAGGGTTTACCCCCATCTTTGTGTGGTGAGTGTATACTAGGTCGGCTGCCAGGGGTGGACACCGTGGAGACCGGGAACTGTACCGTTCCTGATGGGCTCCGTGGTGTTCGTCCCCGGACATCCAAGCTAGATAAAATACTTAATAATTGTGTATATTTATATTTGAAAACTGCTATTTACTCTATAAGTTACAACAATATTCTTATTTCTGTAAAAGAAGTTGATATGAGAGTAAATAATTAAAAAAAAAATTAAAAAATATAATAAATTAGATACGATATTACTTCTGGTAGCAACTTCTCGGCGCGCGGGTACAAAACTTAGAAGTGTAAAGAAGATTAAAATAACCGAACTCCGGGAAAGAAAGAAAGTAGTATAGTAGGAGTGCAATAGTATTGTTTTGTCTCGTGCTTTGATTTCTTTGGCTATTCTTACCTCAAGTAGGAAAAGAAAGGATTAATTAACTCACTCACATTTCTATATTTACACTTATTTATATTTATTTTATACAATAAAGGATTAAATTATTAAGTAAAAGTATGATTTGAAAAAATAACCTGTGTCGGGCGGCATCATCACAGGAGCATACTTTGCAATTGTGGTGCCTTTAAGCACATCAGAGCCTGGTATGTCAACCACCAGCCATTGTAGAAATTCACGATTCATATAGTTTGCAACTGACGGGTCATCAGCTCCTATGAAAGATACATTTAATGCATGAAGAATAAAGTTCTCGGAAAGCACGATGTATTTCATTTTCTAGGAATTTCAATGATAATCTGTGAGGAGAATATTGACTTTCTTGGTCAAGATTTTGGTGTTTACCATCAGTGGAGTTAAACGATTTCATTTTTGATAGAGTTCTAACGAAATTCCACTTACCCGTCAACATAAGTGTGTAATTATGACCCGGTGTGACCGGCCAACCTATTTTCACGGGCTCTTTTTTCAATTCGTCGGGCTCAAGCTTATTCCCAAAATACACTGTGACGCCGGGGATGTATGTGACCTGCGTGGCAAGATACCAGAGAATAGTGATAAAACTGTGCAGAACTCCAACATTCACGAACTATAGGATCAAGATAATTACCCCGAGAAATTTAGTGATCCGCTGGAATATGAAGTTGGGTATGAGTTGAATTAAAGTAAATGCATCTGCAGAGTCGATCAAGACATTTTTTGAAGGTTTATTAGTAATATTTTTTTTTAAGTTTACCCAAATCATTATACTTCAAATTTATGCTGCAACTTTACCAAGATTCCAAATGAGGCGATGTAAAGATTTGATGGATAAAATAATTGTGAATATTTGAAAACGCCAGAAATGTACTATGAAGGGTGGAGACCAGGTTTGAGCATCTTTGAAAGACCAGGCATTCTTGACGATGCCCAAAAGTGACGGGCAATGATGGCAAAACCACAAATGCTCGGGCATTGTTAAAGATGCCCATCGGATCATGCTGGCCTTAGGTTTACGAGGGAGATGACACAGAATATGATAGTCGAGTATGGAATCTCAATTATTCAGGATCATATTCAGACTTTTTGAGCTCCAGGCGCAGTAACTGGTGCGGGCCTCCCAAATCTTTACCTCTAGGGGAAATTTCATGTGGTAAGTTTTTCGGATTGGGCCCATCCTGCGAAAAAAAATGAAAATTTAAACCCCTCCTAAGCGCAATTTTAGGCAATTTTTTAACATATCGTGCGGGAAATAAGAGGAGCAATTTAGGCACACAAAAAAATTCATTATTTTGATATGCCTTCGCAAAACGTGGATCGTCAAAAGGTAAAATCAGAAAGAAACTTGCAATACTGAAATGAGGCACCATAATTTTCACCAAATTAAGGTAAAATAGCCAGCAGCAAGATTGTGAATTGTGACTACAAGAATTGCAAAACAGGCTCTGTAGTTCTGTACCTACTCTGCATGAACACCTTTCAGTGGTTTTTTTCCGTCGGCAGTCTAATTGCGTCATTTTTTGCCCTGTAGAAAGTCTTGGACGACACGACATAACTGCCGTACTAAGGAAGAACGCCGTATGAACCTTTAGACGTTGCCAAATTTTCTTCGGTAAATCACCAATTTTCGGAAAAAATTGTGAAGATTTTTACTCCAATTTTTCCGATAATTTTGTTCTCAAGTTCACCTAAAGTTCCCGAAAGTTTCAAGGAGAAGTAATCATAACTTTCTTCAAAAGTAACTATTTTCTGAGAGGAAAATTGGCAACTCTCGAATGTTCATACGGCGTTCTTCCTTAGCACGGCAGATTACCTCTTAGTGTGTGAGTAACGCGGCACTAAGTGCTTCAGTCGCACTCGCTGTCAATCTTACTTTATACAAGATGAGTTTCCTCGTATACACCACACGATTGGCTGTAAAACTATGTAAGCGCGTCGCACTAATGCACTTGAGTAAAGGTCTCAGCGCGACATGCGACATGCAAATAAAACCACTTTTCGATCATTAAATGTTTGCAAGTGTTCACGCCGTCCGCCATTTTTGGATCTTAAAGCTCCATGATGCTCAAGACGGAGGAGCCAATCAATAATCAAATAATCAAAATTATGGCGATACAATCTCTATAATAATAGAAAAAACAACTTAATTGGCCCGAAACATTAACAGAGAAACAACTTAAAACGGGACTAAGGCCGCAAATAATAAAAAGAAACACATAAAATAAAACATAAATTAATAAATAGTCTCACAATAACAACGGTGAGGCTCATAGTGTCCTTTCTTTTTAATATTTCTTGGTTTGCTGGTTGAAAATGCGGGTGTGATCCCTGCGAAACGTCCGGGTTTCTTATTTTATTTTATGTGTTTCTTTTTATTATTTGCGGCCTTAGTCCCGTTTGAAGTTGTTTCTCTCTCTATAATCTACATTATGGTAAGTTCACCCGTTGTTCCGAATTTTTCAGAGAAAACAAAAAGCTCTCGGTGTTTAATTATGCATGATGTTTGATCTGTGAAAAATAAAAGCATTACAGCAGATTTGAAATAACATGCAGTCAATCATACCTCTGGAACATGCCACTCTGAAATCAATTAGACATTGACTTACGTTAATTACATACTTGGGACTGCGAGGTATCATATCTGGTATAATATCATCGCCTTTTAATCTCCTTTCGATTTCTTCTGGAGGCCACTCGTGAGGGAAGAGCGGACACAAAGGTTCAACATCATCCTCCGGTTTGAATTTTTGTCGAAAACCTCTTTTTCCATCCACTAAGTAGTATGATAGATAATATAATTTAATAATTACTATTATGGGATTTTTCATTGTTTCTCATTTGGTTAAGGGTATGGAGGAAACAGGAGACAGAATGAGATCACTCATAACAAGGGGATCAGGCGAGGAGGCCAGTATAGTACAAACCGGGTATAGTATAATCATTCATTTAAAAAGAAAGGAGCACAAAATTGTAACACTACTTAGTTAAGAGAGCAATCATTGATCAAAACATTTAACGTGCAAATTTTAAGTGAGAAAATTCTGGGAAGTTCACTGGGTTAAATTTAGGTGTGTCGCACTGTGAGGAGTTGAGAGTTGCGTGGTCATTTCCGTAATCATTAGTTTACGGAAGAAGAGGATGAGGTTTGCGGAGGTTTTAAACGTATTAACACATTCCTTTTATCATGTTCCTTCATTGCATTCTACAATGTACGAATTATGCGTATTTTATCAATTCATGCGTTTATCATTATATCAAATCATGCGTGGCGGAGTCAGAGGCGGATCCAGCAATTTGGCAACACCGGATTCCCTCTGTTTAATCCGATGTTAAATAATCGATTCTTGTCAGAGCACCTGGCCCGCCAAGAATGGATACATTCCCATAGGTTTAAATGGAGAAAAACATTGTTGCCAATTTGCTGGTTCCGCCAATGAGCGAAGTTTAAAAAGAAGACGGTCTCGTGCATCTCATCATTTTTTGGGACCTCTATAAATAATCGTGTTCGTCAAAATTTCTTGTTAATGTTTTCTAAGGGCCAATATCCCTCCGGGAAACTGCTCTGAGACTTGATGTGATTTATTTCCTTCATGAGCTGATCTTGCAAACATCTAATAATTGAAGTTTTTTTAAAATTTTTTCCCCGTTTGAGTTAATAGTATTCAGGAATGATGTATGTTTGGTTTTAATTGATATTTTATTTAGTACACAAAAATAGAGATGTCTTTAATAACCGGCCACTAAAGCAAGGATACAAGAAGAAAAGGAAAAAAGAAAATTATCGACGGATACATTTTTCATTGAATTTTCTTGTTACACGTAAGGGTTTTTTTCATTTTTTTTTAAATACAAGAAGGTTCAAACTTTCCAGTGTGTGGGTGTGCGTTTTATTGACTCCTTTCAATAGAAAATTTCACAATTAAAAAGGAAGCTCTATTCCGAGTAGAAAAAAGGGATTATATTTAAATATTCTCTCGAATGTAATCTCGAGTGAATTTATTTATTAATTGATGAATCACTTTAAAAACTCAGATTTGGAAAGGAATAAACGTCTACCTGCATGTTTCTTTCTTTCTTTTTCTTTCTTTTTTTTTTAAAAAAAATCCTTTTTAAACCTTTTAACCTTTTTTATCCTTTTTATTCCTTTTTAATGTTATGTGTAAAAATGTGAGGATTGAATTTGAGTCTAAGTTTTGTCGAAAATAAAGAAATTTAAAGTTTGTCAATTTTTCTCCAAGCATCAATACTTTCGATCGTCCTGTACATGAATAGGGTCCAAAATGCGGGCATCATCAAAAATATCCGGCCTCATCGCCAGATCTTGACTCTGCGATAAGTTCAAAACAAAACAATTTAATCTTATCCATCCGCTTGAGAAAACAAACTTAAAAGTTCGACTGTTATTTCTTTCTTTCTTTGATTATTTGGGGGCGCGGATTATAAATTCCCTTGAACAATTTTTGCGTAATGTCATTCTTGAAATGTTCCGCAAATCACAGCGAAAGTTCTCCATAATTTGTTCATGGATCTGCGTTTAGACCCGTCTTAGTGGCATTCAATCGATAATTCTTCTCGTAAATTTCGGGCCCTGGGCCTTTCCGGCTTGGGGGTTCAGGCTCCGAATGGAAGTAATTAGCCGCATAAAGATCACCGAGATTATACTTCATCGCAAATTTCCTGTTTGAGAACTTGACCCTGCGTTCGTCTTTACTGTAAAAAAGAAAAGCGTAGATTCAAGACATACTATTAATAAATGCAATTTTCATGATAGAAAAAGGATCAAATTCAGAGTGCGTACGAATTTGGAATGGACTACCAGACAAAGTCTTAATTTAAGCAATCTGATACATGTTTCTTAACCAAAATTTCACGTAGAACACCATTCGCACGACGAAAATTACTGAAACAAACCCTTAACGAAGATATTAACGTTTTTATTTCACATTGGTCACGAGGAATTTGAACTGCCCGCTCACAAGAAACTCAAAGCTCTACGTGAGTCAAATCGCGCACTACAACGGTTCCAGCAAGCTTCTCAATCGAGCAATGTTCATTCCCCACCATGTGTTGTTCAAACCATACGCTATTTGCTACAGCTGAGCCAAAGCGTCAAGATCGAGGTTGGCAGATTTTTATAAAGCAGAGACTGTCTTGATAACGTTTAGCGCGCTATGTGAATCACGTAGAGCATTGATTTTTCACGAGCGGATGATTTTAATTCACGCATCAAGAATCATTAAATATCTTCGCAAGGAGTTAATGTAGGCAATTTTCGTTGTGCACATTGTGCTCTACGTAAAATTTTGGTTAAGAAACATGTATCAGGAGACTGAAATTCGTACCTTGTCTAGTGGTCCATTGAAACTATTCGACATATTAGAGTCTATGTGAAAGCTCCCTGTCTGTATGACATTACAACCTTTGGGTGTTCATTTTGTTGCTTTATTCGTTGTGCATGCTGTTTTTAAATTGACTTTTTTGTAATGAGAAGTAAATTATTTTGGAAAATTACTTTTATTTTAATTTTTTTGTTGATTATGATTGCGTCTACGTAATTTTTACTTTGCTGAAAGATAACCACATGCCGGCCAGGTTGGCTTAGTGGTCAGCGCGTCTAACTCCAAGTCAATAGGTACCGAGTTCGAATTCCGGCAGTGGCGACAAATTTTATCGGAAGTGATGAGTGGATCTGTTGAAATAGACTCCACTCGACACCTTAATCCTTGAAAAATTGAAAAGCTTAGACCACGGCGACGCCTATCGCCCTGATGTTTACGGACACTAAATAACGTCTGTAAAAGGCTGTAGGTTCCAAAAGGTAAAAAACAAAAAAAAAACTAAACAAAAAAAACAAAAAACCAAATAGCCAGCAAAAGAGAGGAGGGGGGGAAGAGAAAATTGCATGCTTACTTATCATGAATTGATGTTTCATTCCAATTTGGTCTTTCTTTCGGCTGTTCGTACACAGTAAAAACGTACCTATGAAGACCTGAGAAAAATGAAGGTAATCACAACGCAATGAAAATCTTCGAAAATTATATTTGTAATTACGTATCATTGCAATATGAATGTATGCAACCAAGAGAAATGGAGTCGTGCTTCTTTTCCTTTATCACTTAGTACCATACAACAAGGCAAGAATTTAGAATATGTTAATTATTTCAACCCATCCACAAATGAGAGGCCTTGGTACAAGAAAACTCAAATTTGATTCATTGGTATTAGAGCATAGAAGAAATAAACGATGGGAAATTTCGGGATGAAAATTGCCAAAAATGTCTAGCGAAACTGGAGTTTAGCCAGTTGAAAGTTCTCAGTTAAGAAAATCGAAGTTCCTCGGAAAAACTATTACACGAATAACTCGTTCTACGGATAATTTTAACTCATTGGACTAAGGGTCTTTTTTCCGTGGATTGTCACATTATTTTTAATAATATCCAGTAATATATGTCTTTTGGAAGTAGAGGAGAAATGAGCTGACTGTTCTCTGCGTCTTGCAAGCAAAAATATTTATCGAGGCGGATCACAAATCTCGTAAACCAGCAAAAACATTGTTTACATTTTGCAGTGAGGATGAGGAACCACTATTACTGGCTCCTCCATGAAATCACCTGACTGCATGATAAAACTTATGTCACGTATGTCGTCTTCAAAATGAGCTGAAAATCGTATTCCCTTATTACAATGTATAGTCAGTGTGTGGCTTTAAATCCCCCTCTTGGTACTACAATGGCATTGCTACTTGTTGTGTGAATAGAAAATCATTTTGCCCCTTAGTAATGAAATGTGAACTTGAAATATCGTACCCGTTTTTTGTATCATTTCCACAGGAGCATATTTTACAAGTTCCACGCCTTGATGCAGGTCGCAGCCTGGTATATCAACTACCAACCATTTCAGGAGCTCCCGATTTACATGATTTGCAACCGACGGTTCATCAGCGCCTACGGGAAAAAAATGACGGGGAATCAGGTCCATTGAAATGCAATGCATCATATTTGGACTGAGTTAAGCAGAAAGGGACCAACCCACATTTTGGAAAAAATTGAGTTATGAGTAGTTTTGAGCTCAACCACTGCTCTACTATCTATCGCCAAAAATTCAAACTTTTTGTTGGAGCAAATTTTGCAGAAATTGAACTTGAAGTTTATTTTTTACATTGAGTCTCACGCAGGAGCCAAACTTTAAACCTCTTTTTCTCGGTTAGATCCCGATGTGGTTTGGTTCCTTTCTGTTTAACTCCGTCCATTTAAAAGGAGACAGATTTATTACATCGATTAGACATCATTACAGAGAAAATATCTAGAAATAGGGCAACTTTTGAGAAAACGCATATTCAAAGTATATTAATGGATCATCCTACGTTGATTTTAAATTATTTTTTTTTTCTGGAGATGGGGCCCTTTACAGTTGTGATCTTTAGAGATTAAAAACTGAAAAAACGTACATTTGTAATGATGAACATGACTCAAAGTTTTGACGGAATCGTAAAAAGGAGCAAAAAATGTTTTAAACGGCTCTACCCGGTGCCAAATTTAACCTGGACACATTTCGAGGCTTTTAAAAATGGGAAACAACGGGTAATGCGACCATGAGTATTGAGCCATGAGCTAAAATTCTTGAAAAGCGTTATTTTCTGTGGCCAGATATCTCCTTAAAATAGACTTACGAGTGTTGCTCAACACAAGAGTGCAAAATCCATCGTCTCTCATGAATCATGTTCGTCATTCTTATTTCGTCATTTCTTCGTCTTCTTGCTCTATAAGTTTAGAAAACGAATGGATAATTTAAGCAAAACTAAACCGTTAGTCTCTGTTCCACATAGATCTTGAAGGCCTCGAATTGTTTTCTCACCATGATCTCCGAGATTAATTAACTACGAGTGAACCACATTTTGCAATTTGGAATTAAAATTTCTGCCTCATCCGTAAACGCACTTATGTGCATAGGGAAACTAATGACACATACGTTGTTTCTAAACTGGGCCAGAAATCGTAGTTCCTAATTTTGTAAAATGCAGTCCAAGTGTAAGCTTTTGGTGTTATACCAGTCGAGAAAGATAGCAATTCAATTAGGGGCGCTGAAAATGTATTTTGTTTTACCTGTTAAAATAAGTGTGTAATTATGGCCCGGTGTGACCGGCCAACCGATTTTCACGGGCTGTTTTTTCAATTCGTCGGGCTCAAGCTTGTTCCCAAAATACACTGTGACGCCGGGGATATACGTGACCTGCGAGACAAGATACCAGAAAACAGAGGTAGAAATAAGTATTAATCATTAAAGAAATAATCTAGAACTCTAGAAGTCTTTGACTATACACAAAAAGGTATAACTTTTTGAGAGTGTGTAATTGCCGATAAACTCAGGAGAATATTGGCTGCATCAATAGTCTCCATTTTATTCATATATTTATTCTTTCTTTTTTTGCCTTGATTAAATACTCAAACTGTCATATCCTCGTACAACGACGCCACAGTGGATCGAGTCAATGAGAGATGTCGGACAAAATTTGGAAACTCTAAAAGCTTACAGCTCTGTTAATACACAATTTTGAGTTTTTAAAAATTGCTCCACTGGTTGCATCGTAAAATTGCCTTCTACAAGCCCCCTTTAAAATTTAAAATGTGACGAATTAAACATCAAAATTTGCAGTTTTAGCAAAAAAATTCATGTCCGACTTCACTGATTGACTCGATCCACTGTGCGGCGTATGAATGCGCTGAGTGTGACACATTTTGTTAGCACAATCGGAGACAATTGAAGGCGTTCCGGTTGTTTCAACGTCTAGATCTGGATGCAACTATTCGTGGTCTCGGGATATCCGCGTTGCATACACAAAATATTGCAGGCGCTCTAGTTTCCTTACACTCAACGCACAACGGAGGTACGGATGTTAGTTTTCAAGGGATTTCTACGTTACATCGACACTCGCGTCTACCATGACATTGTCGTAATTCGGATGAGTCTAAATTTAGTGGTCCATCGGAATGAAATTCAAAGCAAGGCTATTTAAAAAGAAAAAAACATCGCAGCCAATTATTCGCTTTCAAGACATTTTTAGAAAATATATCATTCTTATTTGTTTTCCATGATTTTTTTGGGAGGGAGGGTGTATGTGAGGGTGTGTGAGAGGGTGTGTATGTGTGTTGCAATAGGTGTTTTTAAAATTTTCAAGGAGACTCCCGTATCCGTAAAAACATTTTGCTTCGAAACGAAACTGCACAAGAAAAATTTGGAAGACATTTGGAAGAGCTTAGTGAAACCAGAAAAAATATTGAATGACACATTTCCTGTGTTGTTCACCTGTCCATTTTCAAGTATAATTATTTGTCATAATCCAACTGCTTTTAAAAGATTGTGACTGGCGTGATATAACGATTGATACATTATCGATGAATTTGAAAACGTCAATGAAATCCTTTACCATCGAAATTATTGCAGGTATTACAATACAATTTGGCTCGGAGCTGAAAAAAGTCATCACAAGCCATACTATCTTGCCAGATATTTGCTTTGGTTATACTTTTTCAGGGGGTATTCTCATTATTTACTAGGGGGCCCTGCCCCCTGACCGCTACGCGGCTCAACCCCCGGGAGGGCGCCTTGCGCCCTCAGGCCCGCTTCGCGGGCCCTATATGCATATGTATAGGCAAAAATGTTCTTCCATTTTAATACACCATTTTGTGTTCGAGCTGCATCGATTTCAAAATTTTTGACGTAACACTCAGATTTGTAAATGATGAGGAATAGCTGGATGTACACAATTTCACAGTCCACTTACTGGAGAAATTTCCATTTATTATGTTATTTTTAAATACTTAATTTTAAAAAAAAAAATCGGATTTCGACCGTTAAGAGTTAATAATATTTGGTCCGTCCCGACGCGACGCAGCGCCTGCCTTCTCACTTTGTATCTGCTGTAAATATTAATAGAACTTCAGCAATCAAGTAAATTAACCAATGCCACAAATCGAAGCCGGAAGAATGCAGGAAAAATTGAGTTAAACCTTATACCTTGGACCTTGAACCTTGAACCCCGCGCGATACACCGTTCCTCAACTCTTCGAATGAGGAGCCCTTCACGAGCTTTTCCATTGTTTTATTGTTTATTCGAGTCACTCAGGTAGAATCCCACACCTTGACGTTTCTAGCGGAAACGACATATCTCTCACGCTATTAACATTGGACTTAAGTGACATGAGCTTTAAAAGCTCTACAACATTAAAAGGGTTTCATAATTTTTTGCACATCTACATCTACTACAGATGACATACATGTAAAGATCATCCTTATCGGTCCGGCAGTTCGTCAGAAATAGTGCTTCCAAGATTTTGCTTGTAGCTGTATAATATAGATGACAGATTTTAAATTTATTGGAATAAAAAACAATCGTGGAAGATTGGAAATATCATTCAGGTAATTAGGTAAAAATAAATCGGTCTGAAATATAAATAGACCTATTTTTTACATTTATTGACTTACATTAATTACGTACTTTGGACTACACGGTATTACATCCGGTATGACATCGCTGGCTTTCAAATTCCTTTTGATTTCTTCAGGAGGCCATTCGTGAGGAAATAACGGGATGAGAGGGTCAACGTCATCCTCAGGTTTGAATCGTTGTCGAAAACCCCTTTTTCCAACCACCAAATAGTTCTTTAACTGACACAATTGAATAACACAATAATATAAGATCACAATATACGATTTTAGCATTGTTTTTTTCTTTTTGGGGAAGGAGGAGGTGAGACTAATTTGAATCGCTCAAAACAAAAAGACGTTAGAATGAAAAAGATTGGCATGAAACGGACGGATTATACTTTATTGACGAAAAAATAGAGCACAAAATTCTAACACTTCATTGAGAGATCAGACATTACTAACAGTACTTGGCACGTAAGTCTTAGAAGAAAAGCCCCGGAAAGTTCACTTTATAAAATTTAGCCGTGCAGCAGTACCGTAAGAGATTAAGAGTCGTGTAATCAGTGGTTACCATAAAAGAGAGGGGAGGCTTGCAAGAGAAATAAGCATGACGACGTATTCGTTTTATCATGTCCCTCTATCAAACGTTACTAATCTAAGGTTTATCTATCCAGGTCGAAGTTAACAATCAAATGCAAACAAACCAACTGAGCACTTGAATTCAAGTTGGTCTTTTTTTTTCCAGCAAGCGCGGCGCGCTGGCGCCTACAAACCTAAGGGGATACTTCACGTATTGCGCAATGCTTGAAGTATCCCTGTTGGGTTTGTAGGCGCCAATGCGCGTTCCGCGCTGGTCGACCGCCCGCCGCGCCGCGGCGCCGGCGCCGTGCCACGGCGTCTCAAGCAACTATTTCACAACAGAGGTGTTGCACAGTATCATACGAAATGGAAGGCGCTCCAACAGATAAGAGAGACTCTATTTAGGCAGAAACCTTCTTGAGTTTGCCGTGGTCGTTCTTAATACCATAAAAGTAAGGTTATTAATTCAGGTCATATCATAGAAACAAGAAAATATGAAAAAAGGGTAAACCTGATTCTTTATATCTTAAGCTGGCTTCAGTTTTTGGCAGATGGACGAGAGTGGCCATGAATTTCGATTAGAACACGGAAATTTTTTCTCTTTTTGTCCAATACAAAAGAATTTATCGCGTACTTTACAAGTAATTCAAGTTTTCCGTTTGACTTTGTGATACTTCCAAAACTTTCCGACGCATTTATTGACTTTTTCAAACTTCTTAAAGGTGAAACTTCAAAACGTCACATTTCAGCGCTACTCGAAACTCATTTCTGATTTTGGACAATACATTCCCTTTCCCGTAAATACGATTCCGAAAAAGGCACAACTTTCCGCCAAATGAAGTGAGAGAAAAAAACGCGGTATTGATAAAAAAAAAATCGATGAATTACTAGCAGCAAGAAAAGTGAATTAGTAACATAGTGTGAGATAAGGAACTGATAAAAACACGTTCCTGCCGAATCAGCGAGGAATTCAACAGTGGAGTGAACACAGGGCTGCTTATTTTGTTTGCAGGTGGAAATGTGTCTGGTTGGATAATTTCGAGAATGAACTTATGAGAAAACCAGTGGCGATCATAATAGCATAATATTTTTTTTTTTTCGAGGTAAGACCTTGGAGACCAAACCAACAAATTCGGAGCAAATAAATTACAATGTATTGAACTACGATATAAGCACGAAATAATTGTGCCCAATGAGAATACATTAGATTCGTGAATTTTTATTAAGCTATTTCTAATATTGATTCCGCTTTTTTTCTTAAAAAAGTGGTGTTGTATCTTTCTTTCTATAATTTCTCGGAAATTAGATTATAGAAAATTCTCAGCGATTTTCTTGTAACACACGAATTTTCTACACGACTATGGAGACAACTTTTGGCTCATCTGATATATTATTCCCTCACATCCGACTTGTCGGTAGAGGCTGCCCATACAACAGAAGAAATTACTGCAGAAACGGAGGACATTATGCCCAATCAGAGATGAAAAGTGCAATTTCACGTTTCGAAATTTCATGAAATTTCAAAAGGCTCGAATAAATTTCACAAAAGTTGAAATTTATTAATTTTTTTTTAGAATTATTGATTGAACCTTTGAAGGTCTGAAAGCGTTTCAGATGGTCTCTCTGTTGATGCTGCGGTGTTATGCTACTCTACTAAAAGTACCAGACACAAAGAGGGGGGGGGCAAAAAGGGGAGTTTAGAGAGAAAATCTCCAACCTAACCTCTAAGCTAAACGAAAACATTTGCAACGCGCGAATGTTTTAGGCTTGGGGTAAAAAATTTCAAAATTTAGAATCACCGTTTCTAGGCGTCTTTGAGCCTCCTGAATGTATCCCCAGAAGTTTCAATATATTTCATAAAATTTCGTGAAATTTCATTCGGATAAATTTCATGAAATTTTCCATCTCTGTGCCCTATGCAAGTGTCGCGTGCACCGGCCGCAACGCAGTTATTCATAGAGTTTTACATCTCCCTTTCTCCCACATTTTCGGTCTCCCTCTATGAATTCCAAAACGGAGCATCGAGCAAGCTTCACTTACTCGTTGCTGTGATCAGTCGACCGCATCTTTCTTTATCATATTTTTTATTGCGTAGCGGCAGAAGATGGATTGAGTGATAAGGCTTTTTGGACGCCGAGCTTTGGGGCTCTGCCCTAGGAGCTTCTCACTTCGGTTTTGACCATCAGCACAGGCTTCCAAGCGTGCTCCCGAATGTCTACCTTCCATGTGTAACGATTCCATCCTTCAAGTTATGCATTTTATTCAGTCCAAACGACCTTTTTTCTGTTCAGTTCTTCCACTTTATAGTTATTTCCCCATAACACCAGGAACGCCTTGTCGGAGAACGTTATCCTTAGCATGGTGCTAAACTCGACCGTGATATGGTGCCGACTTCGTGACATGGTCTCGAAACCCGTTTTCTGACTTTTCAGCTCAGACCGAACCGATTTTCAAAGGTACAGTGCTTTTTTTAGTATCAAGTGAAATTGTACCATTTCTCTTCCCACAATGGATTTTTTTTTTTTTGGCGCGTATACGTATACTACACCGCCTTTGCGATCGTTTCGAACCTGCTCGATACAATAACCGAGTCCCTTAGTTCCTTACCGAAAAGTGATTACCGCGAACTTCTGAGATTTTCCAAAGCGTGTAAAAAGTTTATTTATCCGTCAATAATTATGATTTTAAGTTGTTTCTCATTCTGGGGCTTTCTAGTTTATGTGTAATGAATAACAAGAGTCTACGTTACTTGGTTTTTTTAAAAAAAACCTGAGAATGCTCAGCGCTAATTTAAAATATGCACATATAAGCGGAAGCAAACGAACTGATTCGAGGATGGCTGACCAGTTCGGCACTCTTCGAATGAGAATTTTACTCCTGCGTTTTGTTCAAAACGTTGCTTTGACAGATCTCCACACCCCTGTTATGCTTTTCAAAATTTGGTACCACTGCTCTGATACCCAGGGCCAGCAGGGCAGTCGTAAGTGAAATCTGTGATGAGCCTTGAAACTCATTAGACCATTTGCTAAACGTGGCTCATACAGGAATCCACCTACCCCTCTCTTCCCCACGCTACTGATCACTGCGCCGGCTAGGGTGTACCTTATTTTTGAGTTTTGCGAAAATTAAGTTGGTCAACCCCTAAAAAGTTTCTATGTAGTCTCTAAATGAACCCCCTAAAAGGAAAAAANCTCAAACTTTTGACGGAATCGTAAAAAGGAGCAAAAAATGTTTTAGACGGCTCTACTCGGTGCCAAATTTATCCTGGACACATTTCGAGGCTTTTAAAAATGGGAAACAACGGGTAATGCGACTATGCATGAGTATTGAGCCATGAGCTAAAATTCTTGAAAAGCGTTACTTTCTGTGGCTAGATATCTCCTTATAATAGACTTACGAGTGCTGCTCAACACAAGAGTGCAAAATCCATCGTCTCTCATGAATGATGTTCGTCATTCTTACATACTTCTTGCTCTATACATTTAGAAAGCGAATTGATAATTTAAGGCTTCGAATTGTTTTCTCACCATGATCTCCGAGATTAATTTTAACTACGTGAACCACATTTTTCAATTTGGAATTAAAATTTCTGCCTCATCCGTAAACACACTTATGTGTAGGGAAACTAATGGCACATACGTTGTTTCTAAACTGGGCCAGAAATCGTAGTTCCTAATTTTGTAAAATGCAGTCCAAGTGTAAGCTTTTGGTGTTATGCTAGTCGAGAAAGATAGAAATTCAATTAGGGGCTGAAAATGTCTTTCGTTTCACCTGTTAAAATAAGTGTGTAATTATGACCCGGTGTGACCGGCCAACCGATTTTCACGGGCTCTTTTTTCAATTCGTCGGGCTCAAGTTTGTTCCCAAAATACACTGTGACGCCGGGGATATAGGTGACCTGCGTGGCAAGATACCAGAAAACAGAGGTAGAAATAAGTATTAATTCATTAAAGAAATAATCTAGAACTCTAGAAGTCTTTGACTATATACGAAGAGGTATAACGATTTTAAGAGTTTGTAATTGAATCAGTGAGAACGAAAACACACCAACACGGAAAAATGAAACTAATCAAGACACACACAAAACTGCACGTAGGTGAAGAAATTAGTTTAAGAAAAAGATTTTTGCTGCCGAAAGACAAGTACTTATGGACACTTTAAAGGTCCAAGCTGGAACAGATGCGCTAACTTCAATGACTAGTATGTAAGTTAACTGTCTTTAATAGAAATTGAGCATTTTCGAGTTACTGAGTTGGTGTGTTTTCGTTCTCACTGATTCAATTGCCGATAAAGACAGGAGAATATTGGCTGCAAGAATAGTCTCCATTTTATTCATATATTTATTCTTTCTTTTTTCACCTTGATTAAATACTCAAACTGTCACATCTTCGTACAAGGACGTCACAGTGGATCGAGTCAATGGGAGAGGTCAGACAAAATTTGGAAACTCTGAAAGTTTACAGCTCTGTTTATACAAAATTTTGAGATTTTAAAAGTTGTTCCACTGGTTTCATCGTAAAATGTCCTTCTAAAAGCCCCCTTTAAAATTTATAATGTGACGAATTATACATCAAAATTTGCAGTTTTAGCCAAAAATTTCATGTCCGACTTCACTGATTGACTCGATCCACTGTGCGACGCATGAATGCGCTGAGTGACACATTTTGTTATCACAAGCGGAGGCAATTGAAGGCGCTCCGGTTGTTTCAACGTCTAGATCTGGATGCAACTATTTGTGGTCTCGGGATATCCGTGTTGCATACACAAAATATTGCAGGCGCTCTGGTTTCCTTACACTCAACGCACAGTCGCACAACGGAGGTACGGATGTTAGTTTTCAAGGGATTTCTACGTTACATCGACACTCGCGTCTGCCATGAAATTTTCGTAATTCGGGTGAGTCTAAATTTAGTGGTCCATCGGAATGAAATTCAAAGCAAGGCTATTTAAAAAGAATAAAACATTGCAGCCAATTATTCGCTTTCAATACATTTTTAAAAAATATATCATTTTTATTTGTTTTCCATGATTTTTTTTTGTGTGTGAGTATGTTGCAAAAGGTGTTTTTAAAATTTTCAAGGAGACTCCCATATCCGTAAAAACATTTTGCTTAAAAACGAAACTGCATAAGAACAATTTGGAAGACATTAGGAGGAGCTTAGTGAAACCAGGAAAAATATTGAATGACACGTTCCCTGTGTTGTTCACCTGTCCATTTCAAGTCTTTTTTGTCATAATCCAACTGCTTTTAAAAGATTGTGATTGGCGTGATATAACGATTGATGCATTATCAATGAATTTGAAAAGGTCAATGAAATCCATTACCATCGAAATTGTTGCAGGTATTACAAAACAATTTGGCTCGGAGCCGAAAAAAGTCATCACAAGCCATACTATCTGCCAGATATCGACGGTGAAACTATCAAACCACGTATCTCGGTTTGCGACGTCGCAGACTTCCTGCCATACTTTATTTTTTAAATAGAAAACTACTCAACGTCAATTCGTGAAAACTTTCTTGATTTAGCCTCTTTGTGCGGAGAAAAATCTGTGAAAATTGAAAGGAATGATATTGGTTTGATCTCCTTCAAAAAAATAAAATGTGAGTGGAGATTTTTAAACACCGCAAACGAGATACGTGGTCTGGTAGTTTCACCGTCGATATATGCTTTGGTTATACTTTTAAAGGGGATATTTTCATTATTCATGACAGATTTTAAATTTATTGTAAAGAAAACAATCGTGGAAGATTGGAAATATCATTCAGGTAATTGGGTAAAAATAAACCGGTCCGGAATATAAATAGACCTATCGTTTACGTTTATTGACTTACATTAATTACGTACTTTGGACTACAAGGTATTACATCCGGTATAACATCGCTGGCTTTCAAATTCCTTTTGATTTCTTCAGGAGGCCATTCGTGAGGAAATAACGGGATGAGAGGGTCAACGTCATCCTCAGGTTTGAAACGTTGTCTAAAACCCCTTTTTCCAGCCACCAAATAGTTCTTTAACTGACACAATTGAATAACACAATAATATAAGATCACAATATAAGATTTTAGCATTGTTTTTTCTTTTTGGGGAAGGAGGAGGTGAGACTAATTTGGATCACTCAAAACAGAAAGACGTTAGAATTAAAGAGGTTGGCATAAAACGGACGGATTATACTTTATTGACGAAAAAATAGAGCACAAAATTCTAACACTTCATTGAGAGATCAGACATCACTAACAGTACTCGGCTCGTAAGTCTTAGAGGAAAAGTCCCGGAGAGTTCACTTCATAAATTTTAGCCGTACAGCAATACCAGAAGAGATTAGGAGTCGTGTAATCAGTGGTTACCATAAAAGAGAGGGGAGGGTTGCAAGAGACTTAAGCATGACGACGTATTCATTTTATCATGTCCCTCTATCAAACGTTACTAATCTAAGGTTTATCTATCCAGGTCGAAGTTAACAATCAAATGCAAACAAACCAACTGAGCACTTGAATTCAAGTTGGTCTTTTTTTTTCCAGCAAGCGCGGCGCGCTGGCGCCTACAAACCTAAGGGGATACTTCACGTATTGCGCAATGCTTGAAGTATCCCTGTTGGGTTTGTAGGCGCCAATGCGCGTTCCGCGCTGGTCGACCGCCCGCCGCGCCGCGTCGGCGCCGTGCCACGGCGTCTCAAGCAACTATTTCACAACAGAGTTGTTGCACAGTATCATACGAAATTGAAGGCGCACCAATAGATAAGAGAGACTCTATTTAGGCAAAAACATTCTTGAGTTTGCCGTGGTCGTTCTTAATACCATAAAAGTAATCAGACACCCGAGGCACTTTTTCCTCGTTCTCATAGAATATAACATTGAAAATCGAGACCATGTAGATTTTTCGGATTCAGTCAATTTCTCGGCAACAATGTATATTCATGACTGACTTTCCCAGGAGTTGGCGTTTCTATTGATGTATACTACGTTCTACTTTCTCCAAAAACCACCGAAGATCTTGATCTTAGAAATTTCAAATTTGAAGAAGAAAGGAAATTGAAATTTAAAAAATCAATATCTTTGGTGGTTTTTGAAGAAAATAGAGCGTATTATACATCAATAGAAACGCTGAATCTGTGAGAATTTAGCCGTGGACATATTTTTGCCGAAAAATTGTTTGGATCCAAAAAAACGGTTCCGATTTTCCAAGAGAGAGGAAAAATTGGTCGTCAGGTATCTGATCGGCTGAAAAAAACGCACTGGAAGATCTGGTGGTCACGCACTTTCCCTATTCAATGTGAACTTTTATTTCCTCTTTGGGACCATCCGACTTGACCTAATTACGGGCATATCTACACCGGGTCTGCACCTTCTATATCCGACGGTTCCAATACATCTGGTGGAATCAGAGTCGTTGTTGTCCGTAATTTCTTGTAGTTCCTTCCATAACCTCTCTTCTTAGAGGAGCCATCGTCATCAGGTCGTATGATGCTGTGACCCATGTAAGGATTTGCCGATGGCGGAGTCCACTCGCAGTAGAGAAAGTTTCCCGCCACAGGTCCCACGAGCTTGTATTTTTTTACAATCCTGCGTATATCCCATTTCGCACGGTGTGTGTTGTCTGGTCTGAAAATATAAAATGAAAAAAATATACGACGCTAATTAAACCTGTGACATCTAAATTAGGTTTTTTCAAGAATAGCTTCCCATTTCATTGACAAAATTCGGGTTGTATTTAATCGTATGGAGAATGAGTTCGGGTGAGATCTTATACATGTTGTAAACACTTATGCACTGGAAAAAAACACATTGGATCTAGAGTCCAGACTCTTAAAAACATCGAAAAGAAAAAATACTCTTGATTCAATCAGAATTTAGCTTAAATCAAGAACCAAGCCTCTTAATTTAAGCGGATTTCGTTTTGATTCAAGCAAAAATCCGATTGAATCAAGAGTATTTTTTCTTGTCAATGTTTTCAAGAGTCTGGACTCTAGATCCAATGTGTNGGGGGGGGGGGGTGCGAGTACTCAGTGTTTCCTTTTTTCTGTTCAATCTGACCTTGCTTCTTTTTCCGATTTCGTATAGAATTAAAAGAATAACAGTAATAAAATAATTTTTCACCAGTTTTATACTATTGCGCGTGTGTCTTTATTTGAAAACGGTAATAATATGTACGTATAAATGGTTTGCTTAACGTAATCTTACTAAGAAACAACAGTTGTTGGAACTTGGAAGGAGCACATGCAGCAAAATCAATCGGAAGGGAGCGATTCAGCCGAGAGCAAGTTAAGTTATGCAACCGAAGTTCGTGATCAAATACATGAACAATGGAACACTAGAAGGTATATCAAGACACAGGTTTCAGTTTTCAGCTGCTGCTCAATTTAATTTGCTGAACTTGTTATGTTTCTGTACGTCCGAACCATTTAATATGTTTTAATAAACGCTCGAGAATCTTCAATTATGTTTTTTCCGCAGAAAGAAAAACTCGGGAAAACTCCTCTAGCTTGTAATTTCACTTGTTAAACAATTTTTAAACTTGTTATTCTTTCTCAATCGATTTTTCTTCTGTGTTCTTTTCGAACAAAATGCTGCCACTGCGTGCAGTCCTCTCCTTTTTGAGACAAAAAATGTTAAGAGCAAGAAACGAGCATGGTAACAAGCTCGCAGTCAATACTTACAGGTGATTCAATCGTGGCTCCAGGTACAGAGTTCTGTAGAATGGTTGTTTGTATACAAGAAAAGCATACCGATGTGGCCCTGCAAAAACATAAATTCCTCCGTGACTTTTGACAGCGTATGCAAGGAAAGCTCTTTGAATACTATTCGTAAATATTAAATTAAAACCAACAATAATGAACCACTAGATAAGGTGCGAATTTCAGCATTCTGATACATGTTTCACGTAAAACACGATGCACACTACAGAAATTACCGAAATCAATTCCTCACAAATATATTTAATAATTCCTGATGCGTGAATTCAAACCACCCGCTCATTAAAACTCAATACTCTACGTGACTCACATCGCGCGCTAAACATTATCATGACAGTCTCTGCGATATAAACATCTGGCAACCTCAATCTTAACGCTTTGGCTCAGCTATAGCAAATTGCTTATAGTTTGAGCAACACATGGTGGGAAATGAACATTTCTCGATTGAGAAGCTTGCTGAAACCGTTGTGGTACGCGAGTTGACTCACGTAGAGCTTTGAGTTTCTTGTGAGCGGGCAGTTCAAATTCCTCGTAACCAATGTGAAATAAAAACGTTGATATCTTCGTTAGGAGTTGGTCTTAGTAATTTTCGTTGTGCGAATCGTGTTTTACGTGGAATTCTGGTTTCGAAACATGTAACACACATGGACCACTGTCCATTATTGAATCCTCAAGGAGGCAAAGTCTAAAACTTCATCGTCTATTAAAATATGGTCTCCTCTGATTTTCCCCCAAAAAGCAATATATTTTCATAGAAATGAGCTAGAACAATTGAAGTTTGCATTTTTTAGCATGACTACTTTTTCCGAACATAGAAATCTAATCTGTGATCTATGATTGTTTGAAAAATATTTTTACCATTATTACTTCATCATTATTTCTTCGAACTTTAGAGAGGTAGACGTTTTAAGAGATGCTAAAGAAAGTGTATTTTCGTCTTTTCGTGCACACTGGTCGAGTGCGATATCTTAGTCATCACTTTCAATTTATAATCGCCACCTTTACTTATTTATTATTTTTTTTTTTTAGCTATCCTCAAAATTATTTAAACTTCAGTGGATTTGACATTCTTATGACCCAGAGTTGGAGGCGAACAGCACGTAAAACAAAGTATTACCTGTGCCATTCTTCGGAAACGGTGCGAGGTATTTTGCCAATATTTCGGCTGTCTCAATTTCAAATCCTGGCATGTTGGCCAAACCCCAGTGATAGTATGACCTTTTAGTCGCATTTTCCCTGGAGGGCGAATCTAAATCTGAAATGGTGCATGCAAGATTACAATGATATTACAAAATTCATCTCGCATAGAGATCCTTCGTGCAGCAAATGGACAACGGTGAGAGGGGAGAAGATGCAATACGGAAACGTACAATGAATATATTACGAACATTTGAAACAGATTTTTTCCCAATAGGGGTTTCAAATAAATTGTCGTCGAAAAATTTCTTAAAACTTTACAACTGCAAATATCATTATCCTGGAATTACAAACTTTTTCATTTAACTCCTTTGTTTTTGAATTCTCTGTTTCCAAGAAAACAAGAAGAGAAGGATTGAAAATGCGTCTCCGTGTCTTCTCGCGATAAGAAGCCGCTTTACGACGACTAAAGTAAATATGTAGGTAAAAGATATTGGAGATACTCAACTCGCCGATGACAAAAAAAAACCTGTATCATCAGTCACTACCCTGCACTCTGACGTCTTATAATAAATTTGCAAATTCTTACGAAGCTGATTTTTCCATACCGAAAGAAGTCCTTGTTACCATTGCAAGGGCCCATCTTATATTCGATCTACAATGAGGATCCTTGTTATCCACACTAGACTGTATTCTTAAGAGGACAAGAGTCTTGTTACCATTACAAGACCCTAGGACGAGACTCTTGTTTCTACAGCACGGCAGTTCATGCGTTTACATAAAAAAATGGTAGATTTTACCATACTCAGACACAGTGATACAAGTATGGTAACGAACACCGGATTCTTTGGTAGAATTTACCATATTATGGTAGGTATCACTAGAACTGATATGTGCCCCAAGATTTGTGGTTTGACAGAGAGCAGTGGAGGTTAGGAGTCGTAGAGCGCTAGGAAGTGCTGCAAAGCCACCTATATGTATGTATCACTAGAATTCTGGTGTATTTTCCGTCATTCGGGTATTTTCACTAAATAGTATCATTATGTAAAAATTCAAGTAGACTGTAGTAGATTTTACCAGATTTTTTTTCAGTGTAACCAGGGAGTCTTGTGCTGTGCATAAAAGTGACAGGGGTCGTTATCTTAAGCACTGGTCTCAAAGGATAAAGTAAAATGAAAATCTTCCCCTCAATTGACTTAGAACCCTCCTCATCTTATCAGAATGAGGAACATTTGTTTTTATCTAAACTGTGGAATACAAGCAGTAAACTTCACTGTAAAACGTGTGTTAACGGTTCAATAAATCATTTCAATCTTTTGAACGTTTCGAATGTGACTTTCATTTCGATTAGGCTTACCAAACATGAACAACGAGTACAAAACATGTCGCTCTGTTGGAAATTCCAAGGCATAAGGATCATACCTCAATTCATCTACCAAGTGTTTCGTCCCAAAATCGGGTCGAACTCCTCCGACGTAATGGATCTGGAAAAAGGGCAGGAAAAGAGAATGATTTATATCACCATGATCAAAAGCATTCTGACCTACGGCAGTGAAGTGTGGCCCATGAAAGATCGTACCAAAAAGATTCTTAAGGCAACTGAGATTGATTTCTGGCGAAGATCAGCTGGAATCTCGAGGAGAGATCACGTAAGGAACGAAAGAGTCCGTGAGATCATGAACGCCGAACAGAACATCGTGCATGAAATTATGACCGAACAGCTTGTCTGGTATGGTCATGTTCAACGAATGACAGATGATAGGTTGCCTAAGAAGGTACTAGATTGGGTTCCTGGGACGTCCAGCAAAATCGTGGATAGGTAACATTCAAGATGAAATCACAAGATGCCATTGACCAGATGACCGCTGGATCGATAGGCAAGGATGGCAAGTAGGTGTCGCAGAGCACCCGGGCGCGCTGTAAAGCGACTCGAATGTATGTATGTAAAGAGAAATTGTTTAAGATGAGACTGTTTATCTTTTTGGGGACCGTATAAAAATGACGCGAGGTGCTCGGTTTGGAGGATGGTTTTCAAAGAATCCAAAAATTACCAAATGAGGGGGAGGAGGCCAAACATATAACCTCACGTCAGTATGAAATGGGCGCTAATTCCATCTAAGTCTATTTTATATCAGTCTATTTAATCCAAGTCTAGATTCTGATCGAAATTGGCGCTGTAATGGGGGGGGGGAGAGTAGCCGCTGATTCAAACTTAATATTATTATTTTAAAATTTAAAAAACTAACCCACATTTACACGTACAAGGCATGAAACCTCTTACGTTTTATATTCGAGTTTCCGATTGGTTTCCCTTGTGCATGAACATGTTTTCTTCAAATTTTCAGATACTTCAAATAAAATCTCGTGGAAAAATGTCTGAATAATTGGGAGAACTAAGATCGCATAAAATCAAGAGTATCCCTGAAAGTATGTATTTTATCCATGAAAATTTGGCGACGTCCGGAAAGCTCATAAAACGTTCCTCCTTCGAACAGTGTAGTTAACGTTTGAAAAGGCGAAATATGACAGGATCTCAGCAATGTGGAAAGTTGAGATACGCGTTTGATGCCTTTCACAAGCGATATGCATATAAAAATATTTTCTCTCACATTTGGACCGAGTTCAATAGAAGGGAACCAAGCCACATCAGCTATTGCCAAATTTAACTGGGTAATTTAATTTTTTACGAGAGAACGATTGTGCGGATTCCTTGGAAAATTTCAAGGAATTTCCTTCGTATTATGAAAGAAGATTCACTGAAATTTGCACAAAAATCCGCAAACCCGTTTTTATGTAAACAATTAAATTGCTCAATTAAATTTGGCAATAGCTAATGTGACTTGGTTCCTTTCTGTTTAACGCCGTCCATTTTTAGTTTTGACGAGAGGGAGCTCAATTTGTCGCATGAGATTCAACCACCTCAGGAATTCAAAAATAATATCGGAGGCTGCTGAATATTTGTGATTTCTTTAAAAGTTTACGTAATAAAATATGTTTCCCTTTTTCTTTTTTATGAAAAGTAAAGTAACGAAATTATTGGATTTACTCACGGTCAGTTCATACTTAGGAGCTTCGTCTATTAAATCGGGTATGATTCCGTGTTTCATAAATATTTTTTCTATCTGTTTTTCATTTCGACCAGTGTATACGTATTTTGGAGTAGTGGTAATATTGTCTGATGTTACGGTGTCATGTTCTGTTGGAGGAACATCGGTGGCTCCTGTTTCCGGTGCAAATATGCAAGTGTACGCAAGATGAACTAAAAGTTGAATTCCAAGACCATTTTTGGGCCATTTGTTTAAAATCAGTACCTAAATAGTTGAGCATTTTCATCCATCCAAAATTAGAGATTTATTTAAAAGGCAACCGCAAATATCCGCGCAGTACCTGGAAAAACGAAAAACAATCTTGAAAAGCACCAATCGTTAACTTAAAATTTATAACCGGAAAAACCTTTAACCCATATTTAGAATGATTTCTTAAAGCACTTTAGACAACTTTTCACTTTTTATATAAATTTCTAAACTACGATCCATCTCGTCTCGCGGTTTCAGGACATTCCGTCAACAATTTTTTGTCCGCGCACCTGTCTACGCGTAAAATAAGCAACAGTGACTTGGTCCGAGGGTTATATTTTAGTCCGTATGTAGAATTATATTGACAATATCGAAATGAGAAAATTGAGAGAGAAGGAGGTAAGCATGGTTATGGTAACTCATTTTTTAAACGGGATGTTACTTTCTTTTTCTGATTCACCTTTTCAAGTTGTCATTGGTGAATATTTGGTTTTATTTTTGTCCTTAAATTTTTTTTACATAGAATTTGTCTCTGTATAAAATAAACCTTATTTATTCTTCTTTTAATAAAAATATTACTCCACTAAAAGATATTTACATTTTTAAAACGTGGGAAGTATCTGTAAACCCTTTTCCAAGCGATGGCTCCGATATTAATCTTAACGCGCCGTAGTCGTATTAAAAGTAACCATACAAAAATGAATAAATGAGGAGAAAATCTAGAAGTACGCAATGTTTGGTTTGAGCCCATTTGTACATCGATCTTATAGAGTTAAATACGTCAAATTTTGAGCGTTTAGTTGCGCATACACCAAGCTGCAGTAAAGTAAGAGCACAACATATAAAAGAAAAAATTTCAGTGCTTTTGAAATCATTAAATTTGACACTGAACTACCTTAATATTTACAAAACACACATTATAATTTCCTTTAAAACATATGTTTTTACCAATTTGAGTAAAAATAATCAAAGCAGACTGTGCAAACATTTCAAAATCATGAGTTGAAAAACGCTGACTCCGCGAGTTTAAATATTAGAGCCTAACACATAGTGGAGCGGCGTGCTGCCAGCGCGCAAAGCGCACAGGCGCCTACAAACCTAAGGGGATACTTCACGCAATGCGCAATGCTTGAAGTATCCACTTAGGTTTGCAGGCGTCAATGCGCATTTCGCGCTAGTCGGCCGCCCGCTGCACCGCAGCGTACCACGGCGCCTTAAACAACTATTTCACAACAGAGGTATTGCACAGTTTCATACGAAAATGATACTGCACCACAAGAATAGAACGGTAGTCCAAAAACTCACTTTAAGTCCTAGCATTCGTCACATTTCAGCGCTACTCGAAACTCATTTCTGATTTTGGGCAGTATATTCCCATTCCCGTAAATACGGTCCCGAAAAAGGCACAAGTTTCCGTCAAAAGAAGTGAGAGAAGAAAACGTGGTATTTATATAAAAAATCAATGAATCACTAGCAGCAAGAGAAATGAGTTAGTAACATAGTGTGAGATAAGCAACTGATAAAAGCACGCTCCTACCGACTCAGTGAGGGATTCAGTGAGCACAGGGCTGCTTATTTTGTTTGAATGTGGACATGTGTCTGGTCGGATATGTCCGGGAATCAACTCATAAGAATATTAGAGGAGACCGTAATAGCATAATAATTTCCTTTTTTTAGGCAATTTGACTTTGGAGACCAAACTGACAAATTCGGAACAAATTAATTACAATGGATTGAACTACGATACAAGCACGAAAGAACTTTCCCCATTGAGAATACATCAGATTCGTGAATTTTTAAAGCTATTTCCGATATAGATTCCGTTTTTTTCTAAAAACAGTAGTGTTTTATCTTCTTTTTTTTTTAAATTTTCTCACAAATTAGATTGAAGAAAATGCTCAGTAATTTCCTTGTATTACACGAATTTTCCACACGACTATGGAGACAACTTATGGCTCATCTCATATATTATTTCCTCACATCCGTCTTGTCGATAGAGGCTGCCCACACAACAGAAGAAATTACCGCAGAAACGGAGGAGATTATGCCCAATGTAAGTTACACGTGTCGAGATCAGAAGCAAATAGAAGAAATATTTCAGAGGCATGGAATCATACCGGATTTAATAGACGATGCTCCACAATATGAGATAGCTGTAAGTAAATCTGGTAGTTTTTCTCTATTCCAGATTATTATACGAGGTATGTTAGATTAGAAACCGGATTTTGGTCATAACTAGCCCACAATGCGTCCAAATTACGTTTTCTTGAGCTTTTCTGATAGCTGGAAATATACTTAAGAACGCTACTTTCACAGATTTTGTTTATTTTGATCAGTGTTTATTCTGTGTCATCTTGAATACGAGTAAGTCAGGTGCGTTTTGCGATTTTCATCATGCGATCACTGATAGAACAAAGATTCAACATTAAATTTTGTTTTAAACTCGGTATACCTTGTACCAAAACATTTGGTATACGCTAAGTAAAGTTTACCATGATCATTGTATGAGATGTTCCCACTGTTTTGAATGAGTTAAACAATTCAAAACTGGTCAGGAGTTCGTCAAAGATGAGGAGCATGGGAATCGACCCTCAACGGCAACTGACATTTGTCACGTGGAAGAAATGCGGGCAAAAGTGCTCGAAAACGGTCGTTTCGAGCTTGTTGAACAGAGTAATATTACTGAAGGCTCTGTACATACAATTTTGATAGAATATGTAGACACGCATCGAGTTTCAGGTACACTTGCCCCTTGATTGTTGTCCGTTGAACGAAAATCCAACCAAATGTCAATTTCCCTTTAGCTGCTTGAACGTTCAAATCCTACATTTTTGGATAGGATAATTATCGGTGACAATATTTTAGTGTACGGCTACGATATGGAGACAAAACTCCAATCGTCCTTGTGGGTTGAAAAATGTAGTGCAAGACCGAAAAAAGAGAGACAAGTTCGGTGAAACATAAAAACCGCAAAACACCCTTGAAGTTGCCTTACTTCAAGCCACATACCAACGAAGCTCATTAGGATTTTTCAAACTTGCGAACGTAGCGTTCTTACGTATATTTCCAGCTATCAGAAAAGCTCAAGGAAACGTAATTTGGACGCATTGTGGGCTAGTTATGACCAAAATCCGGTTTCTAATCTAACAGACCTCGTATAAAATATTGACGGTGAAACTACCAGACTACGTATCTCGGTTTGCGACGTTGCAGACTTCCATGCCATACTTTATTTATTAGTCGAAAAATGACTCAAATTCAATTCTTGAAAACTTCCGTGATTCTTCTTCTCTATTTAAAAAAAGTCTGTGAAAACTTGAAGGAATGATTTGATTTGTACTTCATTAAAAAAATAAAATTGAAGTGCTGATTTTAAGCATAGCAACTGAGATACGTGGTTTGGCAGTTTCACTGTCGATATTCTTAGATGGACCAGCTTGGCAGACAAGAATCAAATACATCGTAATTATTTTGCAATTTTATGTATTTTTAAGTGAAAAAAAAAAACACTAAGAAGTGGCCCGAACTGTATGTAACAAGGTGGAAAAATGGTGCTGGGGCTGGGTCCACACCATTTCGCGGGGAAAGCAGGTATTCTATTTTTAAGTAGGTATGGACGTAAGTATTTGGAAACTTTGGAAGTTTCATTTTAAAAAAACGCACGATATTTTCATAGTAAAAAAAAAAAATCTTGAAATTGTTAACACATTGCAAAATTCCCTTTGGTTCCTTTCTCTATAACTCTGACTTCATCCGGAGGGTCTGGAAAAAGGATTAAGGGATCTTAAGGGCTTTAATTCCATTTCATATTCTAAGACCGAATATAAAATCCCAAAAAATTTGCAAGGCTAGACACGCTTAAGTATGTTCATGGGCGTTACATGACCTCTCCCCGCCCTCCTATATGGTGTTTGGATCAACACAAAGGTAGGGAGATCCCCGGAAGTCTTCCCGTACAACTGTACCCGTCTTCGACGAATTTTGAGGGTGAAACTCTGTCAATAATCGTGGTAAAACATCTCGCATAACTTTGTTCTTTTTCCATCGCATTGTGCACTGAAGCAAGAGATCGTGCGTACTGAAATGTTCTTTTTTATCGTCTTGATTTTGCAGGAAGGATTAGGAAACCAGAGGCAGAGAGCACGGGTGGGCCTCCCTGAAGCAGCGCTAGCGTGACATTTTTTTCGGCAAAGGGGTCCGTAATAATAAAAGAGAAAAACTCCGTAACTAAAATAGCTGATTTTTGCGTATTTTGATAGCTTCTGTCACTTTTTTCAAACAGATCCGATATGCTGGGGCAATTTCGCCTGATTTTGGCACGAAACATCCGCCACAGGATCTACAATTTCCTCCGTTTGCACTGCGATTTCCAACCGTACCACACGTAATGTACTCGCTTTTCATGTTTGGTAAGTGCAATTTAGAAATGCGCCTCCTAAAATAATATAAAATGTTTAAACTTAACATCATTATTCTCAAAAAGGTTAAATCATCAACATCTAAACGCATCCACCTGAATAAAGCTACCAAACGCAAGACAAAAATAGAAACGTTTGAATGGATTCGAAAATGAATTTTGAACTTTATAAAAGGGTATTTTTAAATTTTATTTTGATTTGTAAAATGAACAATTAATCTTTTTAAGAATTTTATGGCTCAATCCCTACAGTCGTACCGAGCTTCAGTAATAATTTAAGAACAAAATTCACTGATTTGTTCCTAAACATTTACAACCGGGAAACTTAGATCCTTGACATTACAAAAAGTACGATGATTCTGCACATAGGAAGGTAAAAGTAGAGTTTAAATTTGTTGGACTGCGGGTCTTTTATACCCGATGCTTTACAATGGCAGTGCATCAATGGAAAAAATAATGGTTCATCCGAGGGAGGCAAAACTAGAAAAAAGACGAAAATCTTACATGAGAGCCTTAAAAACTAGTGACTTTATATTTTATTCAACGTAAATTGCTACCGCTTTTTGTAGGCATTGTTGTGATTATGTCTACATATTTTCTGAGGGTGTTGTATTTTTGCATCTCTTTCAGATTTAGATTCTCCCTCGAGGAAAAATGCAACGAAGAGACCGTACATTCATTGGGGCATAGCTAACATACCAAATCATGGTATTTTATATGCTGAAACATTGGTTAAATACCTCGGCCCTTTCCCGGAAAACGGAACAGGTTCACATCATTCCCCATCTTTCTTCTATTTATTTTAAGCTACATCAACACTTGCAATGGATCCTAAATAAAATTGTGTGCGCACTGAAATGGCGTATTAAAAACACTTGTAGTTTAATGTTTTAAAATAGGTAGGCTTAAAGTCTTCTCAATTAAACAAAAAAAAAAAAAAAAACACACGCACACACACACACAAACAAAAACACAAAAAGATGGCCGCCCTAAAAATGCGCGCAGGAGATTAAAAAGTACGATGTAAATTACATCCTTCGGATATTTGAGAAAGTGATATACACTATTGAGGTGATAAAGTACATCATGAAATATGCCGACGATGAAACTCCCAGACAACGTGTCTTGGTTTGCGGTGTCTCAGATATCTCTCTATACTTTATCATTAAATGAGAAACTAGTGAATGGAAATTCTTAGACTTCCGTGATTTTCCTTCTCTGTTCGAAGAAATCTCAGTGAAAACTTCAAAGAATGATATCGATTTGTTCTCATCCAAAAAAATAAAATGAGAATTGAGATTTTGAAACATCGCAAATGAGATGCGTGGTCTGGTTATGTCACAGTCGATGTTTAGAATCCATCACATGTATTATCATTTGCTCTACAAAGGGGAAAAGGAAAGAAAAAAGTACGATCGCAAATAGCATGTATATATAGTTTAAAATATCTGGTTCAAAAATTGAGATTCGTAATGCGCGTTAAATGCACAAGATATTTTGCAGAGTATACACGTGGAGACATTCGTATTTTAAAACACTGTCGTTTAAGTTCCTTGCTCTTATTAAGTTACGTTCCAGTATTAACGTAATTTAAAAGCCACGCTCTTTTAAAATACATTTTTCTCTTTTTTAAAACGAAGGAATTTCAACGATTTGAAAAATTACAACTTCATTCGTTTTTTATCTTTCTTACCGCACGAATTCTTAATTTTTGTAGGGCTACATCGATATGTATTCTTAATTTACGAGCAGCCATTTTCATCGCACTTCAACTACACAGTATCTTACACTGAACCACGTTTGCTAACGTCGTAAGTAGCCGTTGCAAGATAACTTTACTTTATGATAGATATTCCTACAACTTTGCATGCCACTTATCCGACGTTAAACGCAAAAAGTTAAAATGCTCACTAAAGATGAAATGTTACCAAAAATACAAACACAGAACAAATTATGTAAGCGGGGGAAAAGCTGATTTAAAAAAAAAATAAATATTTTATCAGTTTTGTCCCTACAATTAAATTTGCGTTTTGTTTTTATTTGTCGTAGGGAATTAGCAACCGCCAGCGATATATGCGATCATCTAACGTTTTATGTAGAGTAAACGTAGAATTCCAAAATTAGAGAACAAGGAGAGAGTGTACTGATCATGTTTGCCTTGATTCGAATAGACGCCTTTTTCTTTTTAAATGCATGGTAGCAACTGCCATACTCGCGTGCATGTAAGTGAATAGTGAAATATCATCAACTCCCTCAGGAGTTAGTTTGGCACTGGTCGGATAGGCAACTAAATTAACTGCGCCACGGAGCGTAAGGTATCGCGGTGATGTGAAGGCGCTCCGAGCCGATTCGAGTTTGTGCTTTCGGAGACCCTTACACGTAAAACCTTCATTGTTCCGATGCGAATCATTGTGGTTTGCCGAGCTAATGCGTAAACTGATTGCGAATCGCTGACTACCTGCGACTTATTCTAATTATTTCAGATTATATGTATACTTATTTTTATAATTTTCATAAGACTAGGTAACAGTTAGAAAACACCAAAACAATGACTTTGGGAGAGAATTAACCCCTTTAGAATCCCTACAATGAGACAATCTCTATGCTTACACGTCCCTCCCTATTTCTTTCCTCTTTTAGGCTCCCCTTAAGAGCTCAGCTGAAAACAAGTTAGCTTTTATTCAGCCCGCTGTTCTGCCGTGCTAAGGAAAAACGCCGCATGAACATTCGAGAGTTGCCAAATTCCCTTCGATAAAATGTTCATTTTTGAGGAAGGTTGTGAATATTTTTCCGAGAAATTTTCTAGAACTTTAGGTAAAATAGCGAACAAAATTACCTGAAAAATTGGAAGAAAAATATTTACATATTTTCCTGAAAATTATCGATTTACCAACGGAAATTTGGCAACGCCTGAAGGCTCATAAGTCGTTTTTCCTTAACACGGCAGTATTAGTATCGAGTCAGTATCAAGCTATATCCTTCACAAAAAGCGACTGAACAATTTGCTCTTAAATCAACTATACTTCGTTGTCCCTCTGAATGCACTACTTGACACGGTGCGGAATTAAGCCATCATACGTGGTTTCTCATCGAAAGAGGTTGTTCCAAAAACTGATCAAATGGCAAAAATACAAGTAACACCATTTTTAATTACTCACAAAAAATACTGTTAGTAATACTCATGGTATGAACAAGTATTAAAAGTATAAAAGTTTAAAAGTACTAATATCAAAAATACTTTTAATTTCGTTCAGGAATTGATATTTAGAACTTCTCGTCGTAAAATTCGGCTTTCACGTAAGATATTGAAGAAATAGCATGCGACGTTTTCGTCTAGATTAGACCTTGACCAGGCACCTATTTCTTACTCTGTTTAATGGTTCATTATCATTCAGATCCTAATGTAACTAATTTTTCTTCTGGGAAAAGCCGTAGCCAAATATCATCTGAGGCTGGTTTATGAATAAATTCCTACTGTTGCTAGTTTAGAGGAACTGAAGCAAAAGCCTGTAGCGCTGTTTCAGACTTTATAGACATAAAAATAAATTATATCTGATCTCAGCTTGAAGAAAGTACTGGTTGATCACATAATTATTCAATTAGAATCTAAGGACTTCATCCTCTTCGCTCCTGCTACAGTTTCTTGTCAGAATAAAATATTTTATTTCAATTACAGGATAGATGACCCACAACGTGCAAACTGGGATATACGCAAGATCGTTAGAAAGTATAAGCTCGAAGGTCCAATAGCCGGTAATTTTCTATACTGCGAATGGACACCACCATTAGAAGTTGCTGATTAAATCACGATTGGACACGACAATGAATGCTCTGAATGCGCGATTGATACTCTACATGTAGCAGGAAACTTTATTTCTATGATTCACAGTTTTTCCTTTTCATTTTCTTCACATTTTTTGTCATTTAATGATAGCTAGGAAATAGGAGAAACTCTTGCTTAACATGTTCAGGCTTTGTCTGCTATAAAAATTCCTCAAAGGAACAAGAAGAATCTACAATGTCTTTAAAGTCCCTTATTTTTATTTTTAGAGACAGGTGGGAAAGAAGGGGTGTGCTCGTTAGTACAGAGCCGTAAGAATGAATGGGAATTATGAATCGCCAGTGACGTCAGCGGCGACGACCGGGCCCGACGCACTCAACGATGCCGCATAACTCATGAGCTCTGTCCACAACGTATTTTTCTCATGCCCACGGTTCATGAGTGCCGCAAGCAGATATGACGCTTATTTCCGTTTGGTATAATGTAAAATCCCGCTTTTCCATTTCCCTAAAGGAAATTTTGCCAACTTTTGCATTGTCTCTCATCCAGCTTTCTAGAGCATACCAAATCTTTCCCAGTCGTCTATAGTTGCGTTTAGCAGAAATAGTGCATTTCACAAATTAACAACATGAGCACAAAAGTAAAAATACAAAAAAGTCTCAAATTGAATAAAACCTAAAACGCTCGAGTTGCGTCAACAACACTGAACAAAAAACAGCTGATGAGTAGAAGCACGAATAGTTGTATGACCCGCAAAAAAAGGTACCTAAGACAATGTTCGGAGATAAGCGTTTTTTGAACTAGGAGGAAGATAAAAGTCAACATTTTTCGTCGTTTTCAGCAACTTCCGACACTCATCGGTCGTAATCTCTTGATTCAGATAAAATTCGTCCCCTGAATACGTTTCATTTATGTAGTTGTCTCGAAATAAAAAAAAAAAGGAAGGACGTATTTGTTTTCTGCCATCTGCATGCGTATTTTAGTATATACTCTTTATAAACGATCTTAAAGAACACGAATGAGTTTCAGTAAGTTATGAGGAAGAACAGCAAATTCTGCCATCCGCTGTTTTTAGATATGAGGTAATTCTTTTTATGTCTTACTGGAAAATCATGCTAAAAGTCTGAAACGTAGTCACAAACAAACGGACCCACGTAACAAACGTAGTCACATGCGTGAATAGTTACAGATTCTAACAAAAAAGAACGTCATCCTTAAAAATGGCGGATGTCGACATCCGCTGTTCATACAGATATGTGATTTTATCTGCACTCCTATCTCGCATTTCACTCACTCTCTGACTAATTAGTGATTACGTATGGCTGTGCGTTTCTCCCTAGCTTTTCTCCCACACCTCATAAATCTTGTAGATTACAACTAATTAAATTGATTTATAAATAAATGTCGTGCTTATCAGCACATTGGGTTGAAGTTCACTGGATTCCCTGATTGCAAGGGCATTCACATCAGGTGCAAAATTGCGAAAGAGCTGACTTTAGTTCACTCTGATCTCTCATGACAGAAAGTAGATAGTGTTGACCTATTAGCAGTAGTGTGCAAAAATATCTAACATTGAAAGTAAGTATTTAACCTTCACTTTTAATGGAATAGTCAAGTGCACGCACGCAAACCGAGAATATTGAGAGATCGTTGTTTTTCCGGACACAAGATCCAACGGCCAACAAAAAACTTCTATTTTATTTTTTGACACCGGCAATTATTTCCGCTTTTACAAGTTTGCCAATAATTAGGTCTCTCACATTTGCCGGCAGATCTTATCTATTATACTTATGTTATCAAATGAAACGAAAGGTGAAAATTTTCTTTGCGATGAAATATTTATTTTTCACTTCTGAATTCTAACTATTTTTAGGATATGTATCTGATCTGTCATCATGATTATTGCGATGGTTATTATTATCAAATTAATGTCATTTGAAATTAGCTGTGAGATTGTTCGAATCATATCAATAAATGCGTAATTATGTTAAATTAATGTCTTGAATTATGTTCTGTTAGTGGCGTAATATAAAATAGCTTATGCCCTGTAAGTGGTGAAGAAATAAAACAGCTAATCTCAATTTTAGAGGAACAAATTAGAATCTATGCAGAATATACCGTCAATGGGGAAGAAAAATCAAGGAGATTTTCAAGAAATTATGCGTCAACCGCTTTTTCAATGAGAAAATAAAACATTTCAGAAATTTTGCAGCGTCGCAAACGCAGACACTTGGTTTCGAATTCAGGCTATTGTTATTTTTAAATAATTTAATTAAAATTCGTTTTATAGGGAACAAAAATCTGGCTCACTTTTTTTTGTTTGTTGTTTTTTTGGCGAATATAGCAATTATCAACTCCATTATTATTCCTCTGTTTTAGCCAGATCTTCACTAAAATGAACTACCATTTCAGAATGAATGAACCATTCCCAAATTGCGAGCTTCCTTTTTTCTTGCATCTAAACCTATCATTACTCACTAATATGTTGGCATGTTATCGAAAAATACTTATGCATAAAACATTAAAATGGTAAAAATGTATTCCTTCCTTATCTTTATAATTATATTTTTCAGATGAGTTGGTTGATGATACTTATCACCACACCGCTTATTTTTGCGCATTTCATAGAGGCGGCTAATATTTTAGTGTTGGCCGCGGTCTCTTCCGGTAGCCATACAATTTATGCAAACGCCATCACCAGCGCGCTTGCTAGCAGAGGACATAAGGTGAGTCCTTTTGGGAACAGTGTTAAAAAACTAAGCCGGTAATATTGAGCGTAGGAGTTACCGATAATTTAAATAGTTACATCCTGTTCAGTAAGTATTGCTAAATAAATCCTAAGTGACCCATGGGTACTCCACGCAAAATTTATCCTGATGTAACTATTTCAAATCCAGCACTTGAGACCTTTTTTCAACACTATGCCAGACATACTTTAACCATGCATCGATTCCCACACTCACCGACACACACCCTCACAAGTGCACACAGCACGACCTGCGGGCCGATTATTGAAACTGATGGACAAAGCTATAGACAAAGAAGACATAGGGAGTATGGAGGGATCCTATTGGTTGACATGGTTGGTTCTTATAGACTAAGGAAGAAAATGATGGACTAACTGTCGGGTCTTTAGTGGGTTGCTGTTTGTTAGTCCATTACCTACTTCCTATGTCTATTGCCACCACTTGCCTCCACCAATAGGATCCCTCCAAATCCCTTTTGTCGTCTTTGTCTATAGCTTTGTCTATAAGTTTCAATAATCGGCCCGCAGGGGCGATTTTTCAAGTTTGCAACACTGTTTTCCCTCCATTTAAACCTATTAAACAGCTTTAGCTTCAGCCGATTATTGCTTTCAAACTTGTTTCGGCAATGTCCGGTTCTTCGACTACTTTCGGCCAATTCCGGCTATTTTTGGCTATTTCCGAATATTTTAGGTCGATGATGTCATCGGGACTCACGTTACACCTGTTGATTCCGTCATCGGGACATTTCTTGATGACGTCATGATGGAATACGTTGATGCTGTTTCCATATCTTAAGGATCATGATGGTTAGATTTAAATCAACATTTTAGTGAAATAATATATCATAAACTTCAGAGGATATATAGTGTCGATTTCCTTTTTTAAGCTGGTTGTTTTGTCGCCGGACAAGGAAAAGGAATCAAACCCGAATATAACTACGATTTATCTCGAGGGTGGATATGCAGATGAGCCTCTCTTTGAAGCCACTTTGGAGGATATACAACCATCGGAGAGTTTCGTGGGAAGTTTTTCCCTCCTGAATGATTACTCCTCGTCTCAATGTCAAATTCTTCTGAACTCCCCAGGAAACAAGAAATTCCGTCGCGATTACAAGGACCATAAGTTCGATCTTATACTAGTTGACTATGGTGAGTGTCAGTCACTTTAAAAAGCTTTGCAATACGGTAAGATGACCGTCAAATGTTCCAAAATTGCTATGAGAAATACTCTTAAATATTCTGAATACTTTCACAAGCCCTGAGAGCTTTTACGTTGTGGGATCCTCTTTACCCCATCAGCGTGGCTCTGAGGGACTTTCAGATTGTCAGATTCCGATTTCTTGCGGTCTACTACAAATAAGACTGTCTTTTCCCCAGATCTCTTCTTCAATTTAGCGACCTAGCCTTTTTAATTAGGGGGCTTCGCCCTCCAACTTCACTAAGTAAGTTATCAAACGTAAATTTTTTACTTGGATAATTACTGGGGAAGGGTTTTCCTGTAAGTTAGTTTTCACGAATGAAGACTTTTTGAAAAGCGTATTTTAACGCTCACTGGCACACGGGATACTATAAACGTAACTTAATAAATACAAGGTGTGAAATGGTGCTAGGTCCACACCATTTCACGGGGGAAACAAAGCCAAGAAGTTCCAAAAATTATAATAAGAGACAAAAATTATACAAATTATAATTTTGTAGTGGTACTCATTATGAGTTAAAAAAAAATTATTTTTGACTCTAATTATAATTTTTGGAACTTCTTGGCTTTATTTTCCCCGCAAAATGGTGTGGACTCAGCACCATTTCTCCACCTTGTTACATACAGTTCGGGCCTCTTCTTGTTTTTTTCTCATTTAATAAATACTTAAGGTGATTCGATGGACGCCATATTTTGTGTCAGAACGGCATGCGATATATCGCATCAATTGATTCCGTTTTTCCGCTACTCGTCATTTTTCTCGAATTTTGAGATCGCAATTCTGTTGCCAGAAGACTGTAAAGCACTAACTCACCAATTTTAACAAAGAAATTCAACGTAATAAAGGCGTGTTTTTTTTTTAGAGAGAAAACATAGCATTCGATACTGATATCGACTCTGCATTCGAATGCGATATTTTCTCTCTAAAAGACCACGCCTTTATTACGTTGAATTTCTTTGTTAAAATTGGTAAGTAAGTGCTTTAGTCTCCTGACAACAGAATTGCGATCTCAAATTTTTAGAAAAATGACGAGTAGCTGAAAAAATGGAACCAATTGATGCGATATATCGCATGCCGTTCGGACACAAAATATGGCGTCCATCGAATCACCTTAACACTTATTCTCAATAAATACTCAATATTTGATTTCACAGGTGTGGTGGAGTGTTTCATAAAGTACGTTCATGTGTTCGGACACCCGCCGACGGTGGGTTTCACCGCTTTCTTCGCCGTTTCAGCTTACCAATTGGGCAATCACCACAATCCCGCCTACGTGCCCCATTTCCAGAACACTGTTAGCAATCGGATGAGCTTCCCAGAGCGCTTCATGAACTGGATCATCAGCGAGTACTATCTATTGTGGCGGAACTACATACATCTACCGTCTTTGAACAAAGTGTCGGAAGAGTTTTTCGGATTCTCCAAGCCCAGCATCGGGGACCTCGAGGGGGAAATGAGCCTCATGCTCACCAATGAGCACTTCAGTTACTCTTACCCGAGACCGAATGTCCCTGCAGTGGTTGATGTGGCTGGACTGCAGATCAAGCCGCCAAAACCCTTGCCCAAGGTACATTGTACGAAGGAGTATCTTAAATCGGCTGTGTATATGCTTTAGTTTGTATTGCACACTGGAAAAAAAAAAAAAAAAATTGGATCTAGAGTCCAGACTCTTGAAAACATTGACAAGAAAAAGGACTCATCAAGGTGGACTCATGATTCAATCAAATTTAAGCTTAAATCAAAAGGAAATCCACTCAGATTAAGAGGCTTGGTTCTTGACTTAAGATTAAATCTGATGGAATCAAGAGTATTTTTTCTTGTCGATGTTTTTAAGAGTCTGGACTCTAAATCCAATGTGTTTTTTTTTCCAGTGCACCGGAGGAAAACACTTCGGCAGTAGCATGTAACCGGTTCGGCTCAATGTCTTTTTAGATTAAAGACATGAGGGCTGATTGTTGGAATTGATAGACATATTGGATAGACAAAGAAGAAAAACAGAAATGGGAGGAGTCTGATTGGTGGAAAGGGATAGTTGCAATGAAAATGTTACATGTACGGATAGTTGCAAAAGCCATGTTTTTGCTCGCTGCCAGTTCTTGCACCGAAAAAAGTCTTAATTGTTTACGTTGTGCGAAATTCCGATTTCAACCTCAATTTGATGTTAAGTAAAGCTTCCATGATACAATTTTCATAGTGGAAAACCTTTACGAAGATAAAAACAAAAATTCTCAAAATTTGAATTCCAAGACTTACCATTATTTCATCGCGTTCTATTAAATTTTGCAGGATTTAGAAGAATTTTTTAACGGTGCAAAACATGGTGTCATCTACTTCAGTTTAGGCTCCAATTTTTTGAGCAAGCACATGTCCAACGAAAGAAAGCAGCTGTTTCTGAAAGCGTTCAGCCAACTGCCGCAAAGAGTTCTTTGGAAGTTCGAAGGCGAGACGTTACAGAACGTACCGAAAAATGTCATTGTAAGAAAGTGGTGCCCGCAGACTGACATTTTAGGTAAGAAGTAAGTTTGAAATGCATGTTATGTATTGTATACCAAACCAATTTCCACGTCAGCAATAAAAATAACCGATCATGCCTACTGTCTTCAAATTTCGAGTAATACGGCTATCCTCTCATACACAGGCCGCGAAGCTTCTTCAGAAGTTGCCCTGCATAGTGAACAGGAGCAGGACTGCGCATGATTGAATTTGATTGATTGATTGATTCTTTTTTTAAAGAAAATCGGGAAAAGAATTTAAAATTGAAAAACCGTAAGCCTTGCTTATTCATCAAAATTTCACAAATAACACGGAAATAGGTTTGAAAATATTCGAAAATAAAAAATCACGTCAGAAGCGAGAGGTCAATACGTTAAAAGACTGTAAGCATTTGATGAAAATGTATTGGTTTATTAAGAATGCGATTTGATCCAAGAAAACGTAAGTGGTTCGTTCAAATGGGTCGTTTCAATTGACATTACGTTTCTTACTAACGATTTAGTTTTAGAGAATTTAAATATTTTTGAAGGTTTCTAGGTTCATTTATCATTTTTTGTTTGTGCGTGTACCAAGGAAAAAAAAATTCAGTTCATATGGCACAGTTTTTGTCAAGGGAAACTGAACTTCGGTTAAGATGACCAGTAGTACTTCTTAGCCATACTAAAATTCTTATTTTTTAACGACCAGTTACGTTATCTTAACTAAAATTCAGTCTCTATCACCGAAAACGTTGGCTATCAACGCTGAGAACAATCAGGTGCCTTGTATCGTTGTTTCCCTAACCAAAGAACGTAGCTACATTTCAAGGCTTCAAAATGCCCCTCTCGGCTTGCATTTTTATCAGGAGAATCTTGGAAATTTCCAACTGTGAATTTCATCAATTTTTCCTCAAAACAAAAAAAAATTGTTTTGAGTCAATTTGCAACCTTAGAATGAAGTTACATTCCCTCGTCGATGCGTACTGCATTTTCCCTCTTCGTATGACCCTTGTTTCGTCTTTAGATAAGGCTCATATAATATGTGATTATTGCTAATCAAAATATTTTAGGATGCTCATGTAGACATAAAACTAATGACACATAAAACTAATGGCACACAAAACTATAATGACACATTGATGGGCTTGGAGGACAATGCGCAGAAGTGCAGTTTTTGAAAAAAATTGAGAAATTTATGAACTCAACTGAAACTAGTTTGAAAGTGTAATCTGTAAAATATTCGCAATTAAAATTCAACTTTAAAGCATCAAAAAGTGAGTGTAAACTTCCTTTCTGCCATAAAGCTCCAAGTAAATTTGAAAATTTAAATACGTATTTCTTGAAATGGCAAAAACTGCACGTAGGTATGCGCCTTGTTCTCCAAACCCCTCAATTGGATTTCTTCCCATACGTTGCAGGTCATAACAATACGGTCTTGTTCATAACGCATAATGGTTATTTGAGCACACAAGAGTCAATTTATAACGGAGTCCCAATGCTGGGTGTGCCCGTGGTTGCAGATCAATTCGCAAATAATGAAAAGTTGACCAAAGCTGGACTGGCTCTCGGATTGGAACTCAAGCAGCTCAAAACGGCGGATCAAATAAAGGAGAAAATAACGACGATATTGAACAATCCAAGGTAGGTTTTCTATTACAAAACAACATGGGCGGATCCAGAAATCTCGAATGGGGAGAAGGGTACCATACAACGAAGTTAAGCCAGCATGAACCGTTAGGAGTGCCTGCAACATCGTATGAATACTTCAAGCATTACATCATCGAACGCGAAGATGCGCCGATTGTTTCACCGACGAGGTTATATGTCAGCTTTCAGCATGGGCAGTTTAGAGCGCCTGCAACATCGTATGAATACTTCAAGCATTGCATCAATAGCCGAAGTCAGTGACTGCACCGGGTAATCCTCCGAGCTCTCCGCTCGACGATCCTGGAGAGCGGACTGGAGAGTTTAGCATCTCACCCATTGAGCGTAGAAAGTGGCTATTTGGACGGACTTACTTATTTTTAGCTGATCTACAAGAGGCAAGCATCGAAACACGATTCTGAGACCAGTGCAACTGATCCATTTCAACTTGTGTCCTGTTCTTTGAGTAATGTAGCATTGTGTCCATGATATTGGACTCTACGCTCACCTATATAGTGCTTGGTTGCTCATCACGTCCAAGATCTTGAACTCCACGCTCACTTTAACCCTAGTCTGCCTGAGCCTCTGAACCAACAAGAAAGCCTGAGCGGGGTCAATTTGACCCCAGCTGAAAATCAATTAGTTAACTATGTTTTTTTCATGTTTTTATTTAATATCAGTGCACTAACCTTACAGGCCTTAACCATAAAGCATATCTAAGTTTTAAAAAACACGGCGCAGGGTATGCAACCATTTTATCATACACATGTTGCCATGTTGTTCTCAGCATGAGAAAAAAAAATCATAGGGCTACTAAATACTGAAAACGAGAAAAATCTGAAAAATTTTGCTTGTTTTATAAGTTTCTGAAAAAAATTAAAAAGGGAAAAATGAATACACCTTCAAAGTGAGCTTCTGTGATGCTAAATGGTAAAATATATGTTATAAGGATATCTGATCCCGCTCAGGCTTTCTAGGGGCACTCGTGAATTTTTTGATCTCTCATGCACATTTGTTTTTTTTTTTCCCCCTTCAAAATCGTGTTCCTAGATATTATTGTATAATTTATTGTGAAGGACAAAAAATTTCGTGCATACCACAAGAAATGGCAAAGAGTTGAAACTCTCGTGGGGTCAATCTGACCCCACTCAGGCAGACTAGGGTTAATGAGGAACAATTTTTCCCGAAAATCAAAGTGAGCGTAGCGTCCGAAATTGTGGGATGCGGATATTCTCAGAGCGTAGGGTCAAAACAAAAACCGTGTTCTCGTAGGAAATTGTACATTGGTTAGGTTTGGTTAGGTGGAAGTCGGGTTAGCTACAGTGGCGTGGCGTGAATTGCGATACATCGATTGTTATTCCATTTAAACCTATGGTAAAGAATCGGTTATTAAGGTGTTCGCTGCGAACGCCCTGTTTTTCGATCCTTTTCCATAAGTTTAAATGGCATAACAATCGATATATCCCAAAGCACGCCACGCCACTGGTTAGCTGAAATAGGATTGGATAAAAGTATGCAATTTTCAATGGACATTAAAACTTAGGGAGGCCTCATTGATATCGGACTCCATGCTCAAGCGAAACAGGAAAATTTAGAGATGAGCATGGAGTCCAAGATCTTGGACAAGATGAGCAAGCGAGTATATAAAGAGTGAGCATGGAGTCCAAAATCTTGGACACGATGCTGCATAATCACTCTCCGTATGATTCTATGCTTCTTGGGGCTCACGAGGAAATAAAGATACGCCCGTGCATCAGAGGAGCGACAACATAATCATCGCTATCAAATCAATACAATGAAAATACAAGTACATACAAAATACAATGAAATTTAATCAGTAAGAACGAAAACACAACAACTCGGAAAAATTAAATGAATCAAGACACAGAAAATGAAGAAATTAGTCTAAGACAGAGATTTTTGGTGCCGAAATACAAACACTTAAGGTCATTTTAAAGGTCCAAGTTGGAGCAGATGCGCTAACTTCAATGACTTTTATAAAAGTTGACCGTTCCTAATGAAAATTGAGCAATTCCGAGTTACCGAGTTGTTGTGTTTTCGAACTCACTGATTCAATTATATTCACCGTTTCTCAATCGTCGTTTTCTTTGCTTTTCCGCAGCTTCCGGGAAAATGTGAGACGGTTGTCGGTGCTTTTCCGGGATCGACCGATGACCCCCCTGGACACGGCAATCTACTGGATCGAGTACGTGTTGCGGCACAAGGGAGCCGATCATCTGAGGGTGGCCAGTCTGGACTTGGCCTGGTACCAGTACTACCTTCTCGACATCTATTTCGTCATCGCAGTCCCGTTGTTTGCGCTCTACTATGTTCTGAAAAAATTGCTCCGAATGGTGTTTAGTGAAGGAACAAAGGAGAAAAAAGCATAACCCTTCATGGTGTGTCTGTCGCAGGCGAATAGTCAAATCAGGCATTCTATCGAATGGAAACACTTATGAAGCCAGCACAAGTTCGATATTTAAAAAATAATAATGTATACACGGAAAGAAATTAAATGTTGATTTGCATTTATACTGTTAAAAAGATGTCCGACAAGTTTCAAATGCTGATTTTACATTTTAACAAATGCTAACGTAACCACGCCCACTGCAAAACGTACAAATTAAAATGTTATGTCAGCATTTTTGTATTACACACGGATTAAACACGTTTCGAAGGATCTGCCGTGAGGATGAGACTGCCTCGCTAAGGATGATGGCTGAGCCCTCGAAACGCGTTCAATTTTGATCAATAAAAAGTGTAAGTGAGTCCTGCACATTATTATTTTATACATTTTATCAAATGTTAGGTAAATAGTCAAATTATGGTCTACAAAATTTGGTAAATTTTTGACGAGGAGCTGACAAGTTTTCAATATTGGGGGGGGGGGCATCAAATCCACGAATTTTCCTTTTTTCTTCCTTTTCAAATTATTCTCATGTATTCAAATGTTAAAACTTGGAAAATTTTGTAATTTATGACGTGCTGAAGATTACAAGATAAATGTTCCTTCAAGGAGCCTAAAATTGTTTCGAATACTATTTCGCATTATTACACAGAATTCTCTCTTACAGTTATAGCAATGCCTTATTTTTGCTAAAATATTGAAGTTCAGATTCATCTCCAAATATTTGGAGAAGAATCTGAACTTCAATGTAAGTAAGAAAACTTGACTAGTTGCATTGTTAACTGCCAAACATCCAAAAATTTCCTGATCCTGTGGAGGAGCTGACTTCAACCCAACCCGCGACTCTTCCTTTTCAGATTAGATTTTCTACCATGATTTCTTCTCGGTTCAATATAGCTCGTGGAGTCCGAAGAAACCGATTTATACCCGTCAGTCATGTTGGTGTCTTGCTGCTACGGAAAAACTTGTCCATCACATTCTCAACCCATATCCGTATGATTTTCCTCATTACTTCGTGAGTGTTTTGCGAGGCTCGAAAGTCTGTAGATACGTGTCAGGAAAATAGAACACGTATGTATAATTTAAATTAACAGAAAGTTACAAGGACACTGCGCATAAACTGAGAGATTCATTCGTGTGATGGTCTTTCGATTGTATTTTAGTCTATAATTCGTGCACTTCACAGCGGTAGGGTCGAATTTGCTTTTCTCTTATTCACGCTCAAATTCAATTCTATTCATTTTTCTTGACCCCCCACCCCATTTTTAGTTTAGTGATGCTTTTTTGAGCATTCAAGTTCATCGTTCATTAAATTATTTGAAGTTAAATCAACTGCGGCGTCAAGTGAGTTTTGTTTCACCACGTAAGATGTGCAAATATTTCAATTTGATTTTTATTTTACCGATACCGGCAGTATTTAATTTGCAAGGGTCGTTACGGCTGAATTCGATTTTGTGTCAAGATTCAGAGCCTCAGCTTTCACTAGAATTTGATATACTGCATAAAATAGTTAAACATTCAAATCTTAGATTGGTTTATATCATGAATTCCAACTCAAATCCTCAAATGTCCCAGTTACTTCAGCAAATCCATCATTCCTCGATTCAGACTTGTCTAATAGCACACCACTCCAAATCCGTCAATGAAGTAAAAAATCGCAACCCTAAAATCATCAATTTCTTTCTGGACAGTTTGGATGAATTGCTGAATTTGTTTTTTCACTCAATTCTGCGAAATGGATATCCAGTTACAGATGTATCAGCGTCGGGTCCTCCTTTTAACTTATCAGTGTTTCACGGTTATGGCAATAAGTTTGCAGGGAATTCGACAAATTATTGCGTCATGGTCGATGGTCGTTTGCTTTTTCCTCAGATAGGGAGATCATGCGATGAGGAATTAAAAATAACATCAGCTGAACTTAATAGTGCCGCACTTTTAACGGACACAGTAACAAATCTAACCCGTGGTGTGCATCTGAACGACATTTGGAACTCACAAAACTACCTTATATTTATCTTAAAAAATTCTAATCTAAGTATGCTTGAGCCCAGAACTAAAATTATACCGGGGAATTTTGACACCAATACCTATGGGTTGACCAACGAGTCCCACTACATCAGAATAAAAAGTACCTGGGACGACCGAATTTTCTGCTTCAAATTATTTTGGCGCTTGTTCAAAGGGCGGAAAACCGTCATTTGCCACCCCGAACACTGTGAAAGATACGACCCATTCACGGAAAGTATTCTTTCGTACGAAAGCGACGCCGATGTAGGATTTTTTGATTTTTCTCTAAAAAATATGCATCAAAAACCTGTAAGATTTTTCGCAAATGTCCACAGCTCAAACAGAATAAAGACTGCAGTTATTCCTGGATGGGATCAGTGGATTATGCTATTGAAGCCTTTCCTCCTACAGTTGGGGAAATCTTTAAATTGCACTTTCGAACAAGTGAATATGGAGGTGTCTGATTACATGGTGGCTACTGGTGCAGACCACCCAGACGGAATTGAAGATATTATCAACATAAAATTTGATGTAGCCCTCTACTCTTTTGAATTCGGACTTGCTTTTGAAGGGAACGATCTCTCACAACTTGATTTCTCTCCCGGCTTTGGCTCAGGTGCTGTCTGTATTGTCACTCCGCACAGTGCATTTATTCCTCAAAGTTTGGTCATTTTCAGAAGTTTCACGCCTCTAATCTGGGCTCTCGTTCTCATCACTATAATTCTATTTGTTGCAGTTCAATACGCATTCCAATATTTTCAGTGCGAAGTGTTCCGCCGTCTCTATTCAGAGACAGAAACCGATCATTATAGAGATACCTCTTCGCTGTTGACCGTTTACGCGTAATTCGTATGCGGCAGCCCACCGACCCTACGTCTGGGCCGATTGCACACGGGAAAAATCCTTTTCACCCTCTTCAGTTTTTCAGCCATCATCATCTCCACCGTATTTTTAAGTCGCATGACGACCTTACTGAGCCGCACAGAGAAGTATCCAGAGATTGACAGTTTAGGGGACTTGGAACAAACAAATTTGTTTATCCAAACATGGGACATCCGAGCTGTCTATAATTTGTTTGACCAACTGAGGTTATCCAACAATTTGAGGGCAAGACTCACTGACAGTTTGGAGTACAGCGATGCTGTATTAGTTTTGGACTTTTTAGAACGTAACTCATCACTCACTGAGGGTGGGAATTCGTCAAATCTGACCTTTGGAACCGCTGAGTACGCCTCGAGAGAGGTGCGGAAAAATGAATTGATCATTGCGGAGGTGGATGTTTTTCTGCTGCATATTCCTTTTTTCCTCGTGTCGAAGCAGAGTGTTATTTTACCTCGCGCGTTGCGATCACGCGAAACGGAGTATCATCTGATGAAAGAGTGCCTGACAAATTTCCCATTCATTTTTCCGATGCTGAAATTCTCATTTCTTCGTGATGAATTTAATCTATTGATACATCGATTATATGAAACAGGACTCAGTGGGCGATTGCTTGATGAATTATACGACGCGGATCCGCTATATGCTTCTCTGATTGAAAAAGATAACAAGGGGCCTCGAGCTTATAGTTTGAACGATTTGCAATCGGCATTCATCTTTCTCAGTGTGGGGTTGTTTGCAAGTTGTCTCGTTTTCATCGGAGAGATTCTAAAAAATTGACGTAGATCAGCGGCCGGTCTCCTTCAGATTTCGCCGAACCTTTGAACATACATTTTCAATGAAAAAAACTAAGACATAGTTAGAAAAATACTAGTTAGATTACTTAAGTAACTACTTTAAAATACAATTTCACATCTTTAATTTTTTAAACCTCCGGTAGGAAAGATGGACGTAGAGTAAGCCAACAATTCCACCGACTACCTTGCAAATGTCTTGCAGTGAAATCCTCGCGAAAGTCTCGAAAAAGAAAGGTGATCGGGAGATGATGTTGGATTCCTCCCAGATCAAAAATCTGAAAAAGCGCAAGTTTACCGGGCGTCGACCGTAGTAAAATAAGTTAATTATCTGAAGGGTGCTCCGTTAAATATAGAAACATCAATTTGGACCTCATTTGTAACATTTGAGGGACTTGGAGGACGAGGCGCATAAGTGTAGTACTTGCTATCTCGAGAAATACGTGTTTGAAGTTTCGAAATCACATAGATCCTTGTGGGAAAAAGAATGTTCATACTGATTTTTTGATGCTTAAAAATTGGAATTTCGTAGCGCATTTTTTACAAAACATTCACGACGACTAGTTTTACTGGAAATAATAAATATCCCAATGTTTTCAAAAATTACACTTATGCGCCTCGTCCTACATGCCCCTTATTTATCGTCGCGTTCGACATTCTGCGATATTGATTTAAATGTGGAGAGTTAAAACTCAAAACGTAGACGCAAAAAACAATAAGTGGACGAAAATACATCAACTGAAGGGTATATATACATATTCCCATCTATTCCTGTCCATAGATTCCTGTCAACGTATTTTTCTCAAAATGCTGGTGTTTTCGTCAGCGTCCGGTGTTCTTTAACGTCCGGACATTTAAAGCTCGTGGAACGTCAAACACCTTGATAAATGTTGATTTTTTTTTCCTGTGCGGCGTCCATTTAACAAGGCGCCCCCCCCCCTCCGTCCAAACATCCGAAACTCGCGGTTCGTAATCGGCTGGGTAATGGGTTATAGTACATTTCGTCAACTATTTTTTGCCGACTTCAAGCATTGTGCAATGCGTGAAGTATCCACTTAGGTTTGTAGGCGCCAGTGAGCCTCTCGCGCAGGCAGCACGCCGCGCCGCGCCGCTCCGCTCTGTTGGGCTATAATATTTATACTCGCATGGTCAGCGTTTTTTAACTCATAGTTTGAAATGTTTGCACACTCTGCATCGATTATTCTCATTTAAATTGATGGGGGAAAAATATGTATCAATTTATCAAAATAGAATAATAATATAATGAGTGTTTTTTAAATATTGGTGGTTCCGTGTCAAATTTAATGTATTCCAAAGCACTTTAATTTTTTTTTTACATTTTGTGTTTTTATTGTGCTGCAGCGAGGTGCACGCGCAACCAAACGCTCAAAATTTGACGTTTTTGACTCTAAAAGATCGATGTACAAATGGGTTAAAACTAAAGATTGCGTGCTTCTTGGTTTTTTTTTCCTCTTTTCTTCATTTTTGCAGTTTCTGTCGGCACATCTGCGGCTCATTGAGACTAATGTCGCATGGAAAAGGTTTTACAAAAATTTGTCAAATTTTAAAAATATAAATGTTTTCAAAATGAGGTAATAATTTCGTAAAGAAGAAATTAAAATAATAAAAAAAGTACCTATACATATATAAGGTATATTGTACATCAAATATTTTAAGGATAGAAATAAAACGAAAGATTCACCAATAACAATTTAAAAAGATGATTGAAAAGGAGAAAGTAACAACATTTCCTTTAGAAAATGAGCAACCATAACAACACGTCAACACGTCCTTCTCTCTCAATTTCTCATTTCGATATTGTCAATGTAATTTTACATACGAACTAAAATATATGACGCTTTGGAACAAGTCACTGTTGCTTATTTTACGTGTGGGCGTAAACTACTAGACAAAAAAGGTTGCGCTAAAAATGAATACCTACCGAGCCCTATATGCGGACAAAACAATACGCTGCGTAAAAATCAAATCTAGAAAAGATAAAAGATTAGACTTATAGTGTTACGAAATGTACCCTAATTGCCAGATGTGATTGGTCAAATACTTAAAGTACCTTAAGTACATGACGTAGTAACGAGAATAATGCATCGCGATGATGTCGACACGATCATGATTATAAAAAAAGTATAATTTTTTAAGTATCACAAATATATTTATCAATGAGAAAGGGTCTTTTGATTAACACGGAAGGACAAAAATTGCTCAAGACTGTTACGCAGCGGAATTATTACAGACAATCAAGCAGTACAGCGTACCTCAAACGCGTTGCTGTTGATGCAAATGTTATTCGACAGCTCGAACCTATGTGTATTGGGGCGAAGGAGACTTAGTGGTGAAGAAATTAACAGCATAAGGCCCTGCATATCCGTACTTGTCTGCAAATATCCGGTTTGAAAAATTGTACCTAGGCACAATGTCTCTGCAAGAAAAACGGACATGTATAAGTGTAATATCTTACGGACAAAATCAATAAAACTTCAGAATCTCAAGAGAAAGACAGAAATTTGAATACAGATAATATATTAATTGAATGTTTTACGTGAACGTTTTTAATTTTCTATCATTTTATCATAAACTTAACTTTAAATAAAGTGTATTCATATTATTTTCGATTGTTGTAAGTCGATTTTCACTGCAAACATCCTAATAACATTATCTCACTTATTTCTTCATTCAAAAAAACTTGTTCCAAAAATGTAATCGTAAATCAAGACTTTGATCAATATTAGCCTATCGTTTTTTGGCACATCAAGCACATATTAATGGCAATTTGATCCCAGGAATTAATTAATGCCAACTCTTGTGTCAAAAAAAGGAGAACTTCAAAATTAGAGAATACGCAAAACGATACTGCAAAATCTTGTGGGAGGTGTAAGAAATGTATAAATCTAAATGTATTAAATTAGTGACATATAATCATAATTAAATTAAAATTATAATTACCCCACATCAATGTGTTTTTCTTTGTAGATCATCTTCCCACATGGTTGACGGTAAACTATGTACACATACCGATGCAAACCTATAAAAAAGACGTGTGTATCTAAATTACTTAAAATTACCAAATATTCATTCAATGTGAGATCATTTATGATTTGGATTCCAATACGGTGAAACCAACAAATATTTTTCGTTTCTGTACCATTTGACAGCATCTAGTTTTATACATTGTAAATGTTACCAAAATGTCACAGAGATTTAGACTTCCTGGTACTGCTTCCTCTCAAAACACGGCATGTATACCTTCGTCGTTGCGTTCAAAACTCAGAGAATAATTTTTGAAACATTTTGGATTTGCTTTATTGTGACTTTAATGAAAATGCACCACAATATCGTAGCATATGCTGCTTCCTCATTTGATAGTCCTACCCGAATCACTACTTTCTATGCTTTGGGAAAATATTTCTTCTTGATCACATAAAATTGACATATCAGCGATTTCCATTCAAATTATAATATGGTGAAAACGTGGTGTCTTGGCCAGAATAAATTGAGGAAAAAAAAATTAGAAAAGTTAGACAAATTAAATTAAAGTTTCAAAAAGCACGGGAAAGGCATCATAGTGTTCAGAAATGCAAAAATTGAAAATCGATACTTTTGCTTACAGAAGTGGTTTTCAAACAGTCAGGTGAGACAAATGCATAGCCCAGAATGCCAAACCGAAATGAAATATCTGGTATGACTGTTTTAAGTGTTAAGGTCAAAAAGCGTAGTTTCAGAGTTTGCATCCACTCCTAGTAATGGAGATGTTGCATGTGTGAGAGATTTGCGATTTGACCATTGATTCTTATGTAGAAGTTTGCGAGGAACACGATGGTGCCACTGGTTTTCTCTGAAATCACCTTCCAAGCTCAAAAAAAGCCCTCAAAGTAAGGCCAAAATGGAGAGGATATCCCATCCTACCCTGAGAGTCCATCTCTACATCAAAACAAACTCTCCATGCAAAGATAGGGAGCAACTACATTGACAGGGTTGCCACTTTATTTGGAGACTCCAAAACTGAAAACACGGCAGCCCTGTCAATATATTTGCTCCCTATCTTTGCACGGTGAGATTGTTTTGGTGTAGAGGTGGACTCTCAGGATAGCGTGGGATATCCCATCCATTTTGGCCTCACTTTGAGAGCTTTTTTGAGCTTGGGAGACGATTTCAGAGAAAACCAGTGGCACCATTGTGTTTCTCGCAAACTTTTATACAAGAATCACCAGTCAAATTGCAAATTCCTCACACATGCAACATCTCCATTGCCGATAATTGCCGATAAACATTGTTTAAATATTGAAAATTTTTAAAAAGTTTATAGAATGCAGACGTGAAATCATGGGCGTCGAAAAGAACCTAATACATTTAATTTTCACGAAACAGCTTGTCTAGGGCCGAATTTCGTCGGTCCTTCCTCCGTCTATCTATATCTATACTATAAGCTCTCAAGCCTCCTAATTTTGCGAAACTGGTAACGCTTAGTTCCAGCGTTCTACCGGGCCGATTTTCATGATTTTTGCGGCTATCAACGGGCAATTGTCTCTAGATAAGCCAACTCTTTTCAGATTTTCAAAATATGGCCTAGGTTTTTTTATATTAAGTGGTAAAGTTGCGAATTCTCCCATTTAAACAATGTAAATATATATTTTTTGTCATAGTTCGTTTGAGCGTTCTACCGGGCCGATTTCTAAGTTTTTTGCGGTAATCGACGGGTAATTGGCCCTAGATGAGCCCGCTTTATTCAGATTTTGGAAATAGGACCCAGGTTTTTTTACAATCACGTTATAAAAGTGAGTGAATTTTCAGAATGTTCCGAGACTGCTACCGCTATGCGAGTAGCTGTGTAGCCTGCGCATCAGCTCTACACTTATCTACACAAGATTCGCCCCGTCTGCCTCAGATAGAGCGGTGGCCGAGTCGTCAAAGACGTCGGAAGCGTCCACTATATTCATTGTGTGGGTTCGATTCCCGTCTCCTGAAGTTCTTTATTATTACCTGATAATCAATGTTCGTTGTTTTGCTGCAATATTTCTTCAAGTAGTCATTACAAAACGCGTCCTTTAGACTTCAAAAAAAAATGTTGTTTCTTTATTCATCAAAACCAAAAATTATTTCATTCTAAAAGTAAAGTATACCTCATATCGTAATTTTTTAGGGGAAAAATAAAACTAACACCAATAGGAGGGTAAAAATAGGGCCGCGAAGCGGCCCATTGATGGCGCGGAGCGCCTTCAGGGGGTTGGGCCGCGTAGCGGCCAGGGGGCGTAGCCCCCTAGTACTCAAATATACTTAGGACGAGTCTCTGATGCACTTAAGTCCTGCTTAGCGCTTCTCATTGGCCGGTGGTGTGATTTGGACTCATCGATTGATGTTGCATTTCTATGTGGAAGGGCCGACAAAATTCGGCCGTTGATGTGGGCATGCGAAAGGATGCCAGATAATAGGTCGACTAAAAAGGTTCTGGATTGGGTCCTTCCAAGCAGAAAACTTAGAGGAAACCTGTCAAATCGTGGATTGATGAGAAGGCAGGAAATGAGATGTGATTTGCCGTAGGAGTTTTGGCAGGACCGCTATCAGTGTCGGTTGGGTGTCGCAGAGCGCACGGAAGCACTATAATGGCGGCATGTTAATATAGTAATAGTTTGATAACAGAAATCACAAACCTGTATTTGCGTTTGGATTGGGACGTTGATATTCAGCAATAGTATGACTTTCCACAATTCTGTTTCCTGGAATGTTTGTCACTAGCCAGTATAAATATTCACGGTGGTTTGGAGTCTGAACTGAGGGCTCATCTAGACCTAAAGAGAAGATATGATTTTATAACATATCTTATAAGCTTCTTAATTCCGGTATAATTAGTCATCTTGACTTACATGCGGAGAAGATATTTTATACGAGCGTTATACCCTGTCACTGAAAGCAAAGGTAGGTTATAGTTTAATAGCATGATCTGCAGTCATTAGACTGCGTATATATCCATGGCCACTAAGTACGTTATCTTAGGCTTTATGGAGCTTTTATGGGCGAAAAAAATGGTGGATGCAAATGATTCTAATTGACCAAAAGAGGTTTTATTAGCTCTTACCGCCATCAATTTATCTCAAATTGCATAGTTAACCGTATTTTCTCGGTTTTAAAACCAAGATTCATCACAAAACAGTACCTCTTTAATCTCATGTAGCAGGAATTTTAGATCCTCCCCAATTTTTTACGGATATAGTTCACTAAGAGTTCGCCTTCACTTTAAGCTCATAGGCGACGAATTTTCCTTAGAGTACAAATGAAGTGAATGAAACACCTACTGAAAAATCTCACTTCAATATCGCTCCATATGCTTTGACTGGTGCGGTATGTGCCATGAAGGCGTGAGTGTGAATCGTCCATTTTAAGTTCGCCTTCAATTCGTCGCTTATGCAACAAACTTACCGGAGAGCGCGGATAGTTATCTATTCGAAGAATGATACACATTTTCTCTGCCCGTAAGCTTTGCTTGGACTGAGAAATAATGTTGCGAACAATGAACATGTTGTCAAGTGTTGTATGTTTGAAGTTAGCCTAAAATTTTGTTGCACGGGCAACAAAAATATCGAGGAGTGCGAATAATTATCTGAGTAAAAAACAAACATTCACGTGGACCTAGTTCAACAGGGCTTTGATCATTTTATTTCCTCACTAACTTTTGAGAGAACTGGAGGCCAGTAAATTTATTTGCAAAATAGTAATGATATCCTGTTTTATGTGAAACCACGGTTTAAGTTGAATAGACTTGAATTGCCAATTTACGCAAACTATTGTCTTCTTTTTTTGCCAAACGTATCTTTTTTTTAAATCTCGGGCTTAATTCCAAGATGTGTTATTAATCATTGATTTGCTTGTGCTACACTTTTATTTACGAATGTCAAGGTCACGTTTGATGATGGCATGCATAGAGTAGAGGGGCGATTTTGAAGAGGTGTATCTCTAACACTCTATGTTACACACAGACGTTTTTGCCAATAGTTCCATACCTACTAGCATCGCAGAATAGTAAACTTTTAGGTCTTCTGGTGTGTTGTTCCAACGCATATTCTGAGTGAGCCATGCCATGCCTGCTGCAGGTTTCACTTCTGTACCAAATTTGATGGGAATATCACCCTCGTGCTTTACCTGTGGGAAAACAAGTAAATTACAGCTTTACGTCTGATTATACTCATTAACTCTAATCATGTTCGAGATAAGGCATCTTTCGACAAATCTACTTAGTCGATACCATTGGCGGATCCAGAAAATTGGCAACATTGTCTTTCCTCCATTTAAGCGTATGAAATGTATCGATTCTTGGAGGGGCCAGGTGCTCCGACAAGAATCGATTATTTAGCATAGATTTAAATAGAGGCAATCCGGTACTGCCACATTGCTGGATCCGCCTCTGGTCGATACGGCTGTGAGTCGCGGTGCAAGCAAAAAAATAATTTAAAAAACGGTGAAAAAGAAAAAGAACTTTTACACAAATTTATAAAGGGGAAATGAAAAGTATTTTTGAAAATCCTCTTATGGTACGGGGAGCTGTTCGTAATTTACCCGATTGGACAAAGCAGAGGATTTTTTCAGCATAGTCGGAACTTAAATCTAATTTTTTGGCCGTCTCTTGACAAAAAAAGATTTCCTGAAATATTATCTTCCGCTTACGGAGGCCCTTATTAATTGTCATCTGGACGGGCAAAGTTACATGTAATTACAGTTAGAACTTTGAATGCAATTGTTTATCGTACCAGAACCTCGTGACGTGGTTTAATGAAAATACATTCGGGAATTATTTTCCATTTCTTCAACATCTTAATCCTTTCCTTTTTAGGCATCTCGTCCAGGATTCCATCATCCGCCAGTGAAAAGTTTGTGACGAGGAACAACACCAAAATACATGCAGTTGAGAGGACATACCCCAACCCCAAGTTTGGGCAGTGTAAGGACATTTAATTATCCTTTGTATCAGCTTGCCTTATGAATTATTTTCATAAACTTGGTCCCGCTGAAAAATATAGAGCTCAAAATTAGACTTTAATATTTGAAAGATGAATGAACCATTCTGTTTTTTAATCGCAGCAAATATTTCAGTACTCGCAATAAAAATTATTCGTCCCTCATTGTTATCTCTCTGATAACCCTCATTAGATCAATTTACCCTAGGCGCATATAGGTACTCATAGATTTTTCGCTTTACAATTAGATTCAATTTTAATTGCGGATTAAAATCAATATATACTAAAGCGGATCTAAGGGGGGGGGGCTTAGGGAGCATACTTCCCCATTTATTAGGAAAGAAAGAAGAAGAGAAAAGGAAGAAAGAAAGGAAGAAGAAAGAGGAAAGGAACAGATGAAAGAAGAAGAAAGGAAGCTTATATAATTGGTCATTATTCGTGATAAAATGGACTTAAAGAGCATATTAGATACTTTAAAACTTCGAAAATTATGTGTGAGAAACAAGAGTAGGGAGAGTACTGGCATGCTGATATTTTGAGGTTAGGTCATAAAGCTTTTATGGCCCAAAATGGCAGTCAACCTATGAACTCATATTATACAGAATAATTTATGATTACAATTGTTATGCCCCCGTTGTTTGTAAAGCACGCATTTGATTTAGCCTTTGCGTAAATTTACTCTTTTTTTGCGGAATGACGCTCATTAGATTATGAACGTTCTTGGCCATCTTGATTTGATATTGGAGTTTGAAGATTGGCAGTGAAATTTTTCGTGCTCAAAGGTTGGCCACCCTTTTGGGCCCTAACACCTCCATATTTTGACGTGACCGCATTCTCCTTATGTAGGCATTCTATGAGGAACCCCCCTCCCGCCCCCCCCCCCCTTATTTGAAGTGTATGGATCTGCTTATACATATGTATCATATCCTAGAAAATCCGAGGTCGGCTCTTGTTTAAACTCGTATTAAACAATTATTACCTAACTCGAGGTTAGACTCGTATTAAATAATTCTTATACACGCAGCACTGAAAAAAAGTTTCACTAAATGCCTCAGCATTAAAGTCACTTTTGTCAAAATGCTTACATTCTTCACTGATGAAATATGTGTTTTTAAATGAATTATAAAGCAACTTCGTTCATGATGAGTCACCAAATGCACGACACTCTAAATGCCGTCAGACAGAATGCAGACAGCGCTTACACGGCTTACACCTACAATCAATTGGATCGCATTTAGCGAAAAGGAACCAGCGCGATTACACTGTTATCCAAATCGTGCAACTTCTTCTCTACTTTTAAAAATACCTAATATATGTACAATATTGAAATTTACACAATTATTTTCCTTTAAAATGAACAATTTTTTTGGTAGAAAGCATAAACTATTTGCTATTCTGAGAGATTTTCAAGATAATTATCAGGAGGCAACGTTTCTACAACACTGCAATCGTGTTGGTTCCTTTTTGCTAAAATGCGATGCAATTCAGATTAATTTAGGGGTAATTTAGTGCCATCGATTAACTCGTCACTACAAATGATTTCAACTTTAATCTGATATTCATGTTATTGAAGGTCTCCTTTGTTTATCGGTAACCATCCAGCATTGGTGATTAGATATTATCAGTTTACGGCATCAAAAAAAAAAAAATAAAAATAAAAAAATAAAAAAATAGAAAAATAGAAGGATGGCAACGGAGAAATCTCGTCAAGAGTACATTGAATCCAATTGTAAAACGTCGGCCGTGGACATGCCTCTGAGTAATTACTTCACTCGTGGTATATTCCGAAAAATCTGCGTGTTTTCAATTTGTGCACACTTGAGTTTAGCGGACAATAAAAACGGCCATGGCAAAGGCCACGATAGTGGATCCAGAAAAGGAGCAAACGAACAGAATCTCACAGCTGAGGCAGAGAGAGCTCACAAGATTTTGTCGAATATGTTCGACCCGGAACTGCACAAGGACGGGATTGACTATCCATTCAAAAACCACAGTGAGATCCTGCATTCACCCCCAGACCCCGACGACGAAGTTGAGCAAACTCGACCTTTGCCGAGGGATAAAACGCTGATCTGGGCTTATTTGAGGATGCATCAAGTTGTTCCCGATGTTGTGCCTCTAGTAGCGAAGGATGCCATTGAGGTAAGCTCAGCCTTGTACTAATTGGACCGAGTTAATCGGAGAAAATCCGGAAATAGTACTGATTTTTTTAGGGTGGTACGGAAGTACTGAGAAAGCACGGAAATCTCTTACAAAGATCCGAATTTTTTTGCTTCATACCACGAATGTTTTTTTAAAACAGCCTGGAAAATATGCACTCCATTGCGCAATGATTCTTGGTGCTGCAATTTACCGCTTGATCGAATCGTACAGCCAGTTTATCCTCAGGCTACGATTAGGCGTCGAATTTCCCAGGCACGCCATTTTTCTCGCGATTTGCTCGTGAATTTCGACATTTTCCGAATTTCGTCACTTAAAGGTACCAAAAAGAGTGCTGCATTTTCTTGCTTATGAGGTACTGAATTTTTTGGAAAAGTATTTAAAGTACTGTAAAAGTACATACTTGATATTTGTCAGCCAGTGTTAGTAGACACCCTATTATGCGACACAAAAATCCCGAAATGAAAAGTTGGCAGTGTTGAAAACGCCTTCAATTAAGGCGTGATACCTCACGAATTACGGAGAGTGCAAATAGTTGTATCTTTGCGCCTTAGCAATGCAATAGAGGGTTAATATTAAAAGGACCGAGTTCATCGGGAAGGAACCAACCCACATTAAGCTGAAACTGAGAAAAAGAGATTTGAAGTTTTATTCCTGCATAAAGCTCAGCATAGAAAATAAACTTTAACTTCTCCTTTCACAAACTAATTTCTGTTTTTCGACTTTCAGTTTTTGGCAGGAGAAAATATACGGCTAGTGGAACTTAAAAACATTCTCAACTCAATTTTTAAGAAAATGTGGGTTGGTTCCTCTCTGATGAACTCGGTCCAATTTGCGACCGTGCATGGGGAACAGGTTCTTCGGGCCGATTATTGAAACTTTGTAAGCACGACAAGACGAGACATGACCCTATTATTTATCTCTTCATTATTTTTCTTGTAAATTGTTTTAAAAGTTTGGACTCTGGATCCAAGAGACTTTTTTTTCACGTGTGTGATGATTTGAGGCTCATACTTCAAAGACGTAGTTTTTTTCGGGAAATAAGTAATCGAAATTCTTATATCCGTCTCGCATGATGGACGAAATTTCCGGCCTTCAGTTCAACTTTACGCCCTTCATTAATACGAAAATGATCTGAACCGCTCGTAACATATTCCTTGGGACTCCAGCAAAATTTTCCTGTTGAAATGTTAACAAGCAATTTTTCGATCCAACTCAACAAAAATCTCTGTGCAAAAAAGTTTCTCTCGAGGACAAAAGTCCCGGCCTTTCCTCGTGGAATTTCAGACTCAATCTTACATCTTTTGATAGTTCGGCGGTACCATGATTATTGATGCATAGCCTGATTGTATTCATGCAAGGGTGGTTAAATGCATCAAAATGTTTCTCGCGATCGAAATTCGTCGAAATATCACAAATTAGTACAACAACCAAGTCTTTTTTGCAGGTAACGTATAAAGACGACGCGATTGTGGATTTTGGTGCAGAACTATCCGAAGATCAAGTAGAAAATCAGCCAATCAACACAACTTGGCCAGTGGAAAAGGGAGCTCACTATACATTAATTCTTTTCAGTAAGTTTTATATATATATTTGATTATTATAAGGTATCATCCTGTTATAACTTAATACGCTCCATGTGCGGTTTTCTGACCCCTTCCTCCTCCCATCCTCTCTAATTCAAAAATAACGCTATTCAACAACTCCATATCACCAAAACTCTTTTCTTGAGCATAGATTTCGGATAGATTTGCGAAAAATGACGGCAAATTTTTCAGTTTTAAGTCATGAAGTCTATTTTCATTGTTTCCGATCTTGTTAAAGGACTCTTAACCGCTGCACGTTAGCCTTTTCTGTAACATGTAAAATAGAGAAACTAACAAAATTTGAACTTATGAGATGCCCTCAAATTGAGCTATAAATTCTGCAATAAGGTACTAATATGCCCGTATGGGGGACTGTTGTCACAGGTTTAGCAATCCTGCGGACCCCAGCTGGTAGCCCCTGCCTCAAAGGGGGCAGTGGAGATGGTCACCGGCCTCTGGGCGTATGAACCACCTGCTAGAAGGGCAGACAGGGCTCTGAGCTGAAGTGAAAGCAACCTGTCTAGGAGAGGCAACTCCGAAATCAAACCCTGGTCCTCCAGGTTGGGGGTTGAGTCATCGGGCTAACTCCCCGGTACTTGTAAAAAGTTTTACTGTTAAACGACCTAACAATACATGCCTCGGTACCACTAGAACTAAACGGACACGTCGACAAAAATTGAGAAAACGGACAATGGTATTTGGGACGTGGAATGTCCAAGGCATTTCAAATAAGTTACCGGAAGTGATATCGGAGATTCAGAAACTTGGAGTGGATGTCGCTGTTCTTACTGAGACCAAGAAAAAAGGGCACGGGTCAGAGAATTACGGTGACTATGATCTATTCTACAGCGGCGTAGCCAAAGATCAGCGTGCTCAGCAAGGAGCAGCAATACTTTTGCGGAGAAGCCTACGTAAGTTCGTGGGCACTTGGGAGGCCGTCAACCAGCGCATTATCAAAATGAACCTTAACCTGTGCGGACATAAGATCACGCTGCTCGGAGTATATGGTGTAAATGATGATGCCACTGTCGCATGTAAGGACCAATTCTTCGAAGATCTGAATGATGAAATACTGAACGTTGGTGCTGGCAGGGAAGCCATTCTTATGGGTGATTTGAACAGCAGAACGGGACGACGAGTAAACTGTAAAGTTGTTGGACCGTTTGGGGAGGATGCTGTTAATGATAACGGTGATCGGCTCATCTCAATTTGTTCTCAAACTGAGATGAAAATTTTGAATGGCTTTTTTCAACACAAAGACATCCATAAGTATACCTGGGTCCAGCCAACGCGAGGATTGAAATCCATCATCGATTATGTAATTGTAAAGCACACTACTAAGTTGAAATTGCAGCAAGTTAGAGTGTGCAGGGGACTCTCTTGCGGCAGTGATCATCATTTCCTCCGAGCAGACATAGCGTTTCCCGTTAAAGGGATTAAAGATAAAGAGCCAATGCCTGAGCAACAGCAGAGTCAGGGAACGCAAAATCATGAAGTATGGTATAACATCGAAAGTTTGGAGCACCCTAGTGTCAAGGCTCTGTATCGGAAACGCTTAGATGAGAAGCTGGGGGATGGACTCTCGGGTACCACGGAAGAGCAATATCAGTTCATCAAAGATTGTATCCACTCTGCAGCGAAAGAAGCCCTAGGTGTTCACAAAACCAGTAATAAATACCAGCATCCTTACTGGTGGGATGAAGAAATTGAAGACGAGATAAATCTTAAGAGGCAAAAACACCTTATATTTCTGTCGTCTAAAAAGACTGAAGATAAAGTTGCTTACAGGAAAGCTCAGTCTAAAGTTAGGAGCCTCATAACACGGAAGAAGAATGAAGCTTGGGAAAGCAACTGTTCTAGAATTAACACCTACCTAGGGGGGAGAAAAAGTGCTGAGAGCTGGAAGTTAATTAAAGGTTTACGTAGAGACATGAAGCGCGACATCGTTTCTCCGATATCACTTAAAAAACTGGAGGATCATTTTAAAGATCTTTTGACGGAAAGGCGCCCAGAGTTTCGAGACAACAGCACGGACAACGGAAGAATGAACAACTTGGAGATCCACACTTGTGACATAATTAAAGCGGTTAAAGAGCTAATTAATGACAAAGCACCGGGTCCTGGTGGGATTCCTGTCGAGTTGGTCAAGTACGGGACTGCCAAGCTCTTTGAGTGCCTCAGAAAACTGATGCAACAATGCATCAGGGGTGACGAGGTACCAAGGGAGTGGAAGGAGTCTTGGATCAAGGCCATCTACAAAAAGAAGGGAAGGAAGGACGACTGTAACAACTACCGGGGGCTCTCAGTGACCGGGACAATAAGCAAAGTGTACGGGAAGATACTGAAAGCGAAGATCGAGGACGAATGGCAGGATCACGAAGCAGAGGAGCAGGCTGGTTTTAGAGCTGGCAGGTCTACGATAGATCACCTCTTTGTTATTGTCCAGGTCATTGAGAAGAAAATGGCCGTAGCTCAGGAACTGCATTTAATTTTTGTGGATCTCCAGAAGGCGTATGACAGCGTGCCGTTGGTGAAACTTTGGGAGGCCTTGGAAAAATCGAATTTTAACGGGGGGTTGATTGACGCTGTTAAGCGATTTTATAAAGGGAGTTTTACCAAAATTAAGTGCCATGGGGGGTTGTCAGCGGGATTTTATGTGACTAAGGGTTTAAAACAGGGATGTTGTTTGTCGCCAACATTATTTAAAATTTATCTCGAGTGCGTGCTAAAAGAATGGAAAAAGAAATGCTCTGGCATGGGTGTCCCCTTGGGTGATCTCGAAACTCTGTTTACTCTGTGCTTTGCTGATGACCAGGTGGTGGTTGCTCAAGATCAAGATGACGCGGAATACATGATGCGCAAGCTAGTAGAAGAGTATCGGAAGTGGGGTTTGGAAGTCAGCATATCCAAATCTGAGAAGATGACTTTTGGCGGTGATCAGCAAAGCATTGAGTTGGAGGATGGGCAGCAGATCAAAGGCTGCGAGCACTTTAAGTACTTGGGAGTGCGGTTGACCCAGGATGGTAGGACGGATCAAGCTATCAGGGAAAAGAACACCTTAGCAAGGAAGGCTATAGCGATGTTAAATGGAATCCTCTGGGATCAGCGGATTTCCAAAGATAACAAGAGGAGGATATACAACGCTGTAGTCAAAAGTATATTAACATACGGATGTGAAGTTTGGCAGCTGAAGGAACGGACACAGGATATGCTAAGAGCAACGGAGATGGATTTCTGGAGAAGGTCAGCAGGAATTTCTAGGAGAGATCGGGTCCGTAATGATAGAGTGCGTCAGATAATGGAAGTCGAAAATGACATCGTGTTCGACGTCATGACCAAACAACTTGTTTGGTATGGTCATGTCAATAGGATGACGGAAGAGAGGCTGCCATAAAAGATGCTTGATTGGGTTCCTCCTGGGAGGAGACGTAGGGGACGCCCAGTGAGAGGTTGGCGACAGGGGGTGTTAAATGAGATAAGAGATTGTCAACTCCCTGATGACCTGTGGGAAGACCGAGCTTTGTGGCGATTAGGCGTCGCACAGCGCCAAAGAGCGCTATAAAAGCGACTCATATGTATGTAGGTACTAATATTAGTTCTGGCTCATTTCAGAAACAAAATGCGTGTCATTCGTTTTCATGGATGAGGCAGAGAAAGTGGTTCCTTTTTACAAAATATGGTAAAATTATTTTTCAGCTCCCGACTCACCATCAAGATTCGACCAGACTGAGGGTCAATTCGTTCTCTGGTTCGTGGCTGATATCAACGATTCTTGCAAAGCTAAATCTGGGAAAACTTACACAAAGTACCTGGGACCAAAAGCGTGGACAAAAAAACCAGGTAAGTTTATTGAATGAATATTTATCGAAAATTGAGTTGCATACGTAAGTAAAAAGATAACATGAAAGTCAGGTTTGGTTCAATTATGTTTGAGCGTAATGTGGCCTAAAACTACAAATGCATGCGTTATTGTTAATTACATATTCAATAAATCTATAGAATTTTACTGATCAAGTGAAAAAAATCAAAACGTTAGTGATTTTTGGAGGAATACTTTTTCATCTTTAGAAGAGAGAAAGTGCGGTGACCGTTTTTCTTCTCATCTCACGAGGCCAATTTTCTTCTTCCCTCTATAGTTTCATGTATTGAAAATACCTAAAGAGGAGGATGTTTTAAAATGTATATAACATGTATGTATACACCAGTATGAGTAAGGTAGGTGATATGTAGGTATTCTCTTAATTTCTTCTTTTTCTTCTTCTACTGCTAGTTCCTTTTTTCTTCTTCTTCTTTCCCGTCTTCTTTCTTTTCAGAAAAGAAAAAATGTGCAGCTATAGGTGAAATCAAAACTATTTACTTCTAATTTGTTTTCCAAATGGCGACTTACTGCATTTCTCCATAACTCAGTCCATTCCGACAGTTTTGCCTGGTCATAGGCTCAAGTTTAAAGTGACCCCGCCAAGAATGGTGTTGAATTACAGCCAAAGTCGGAAAATGCTTATCTCGGCTGATTTCCGCTCAAGTTTGATTTTATATTGGAAATACAACTATCAAATTTCCTTTAAATTTGTTTAGAAATTTTCTTCATTTTTCTATAAAAAAAATATCGAAAAATTGTAAAGGAACAATTTGATCAGTTTTCTTCGAAGAAAGCAGAACACTATAAAAGATGTTTAATCCTTTGAATTCAGATAGACATTTTCTGCATTTCACCCTCCATATATGACCATGTGTTCTCCAATTTTTCTTCATGGCGTTGAAAAGCTATACCGAAGCAGTTTTGTGATATTGATTGATGATATCTGTTCTCAGAGCTGCTTGGTGAACTGCGGCGTTTCATCTATATTGTATTTAAACAACCAGAAACTCCTCTCCGTTATAAGATGGGAACCACTTACAAAGAGTGAGTAAATTTGTTTTAAATAAATTTATGTACCTTATTATGAGGATATTGAGTTATGTAAGTTACGGAGGAACAGTCGCAAAAATTTAAGTTTCTATTTGTTGTAGTTCTTTGATGATTTATCGCAATTTCCTCTGAGGTTACAAAAAAGTTTCCTTGAAATTAGCTTTATGCACCTGGTGCTAAATTATAAAATGAGATATCAGACGAATCCTTGCCGCAGTAGATGCAATGAAGCCACTTAAAAGTCTCACAACCCTTTAAAGAAAATACTGAAAATTGGTAAAAATTATTTTTGATTTTGTAACTGTTGAAAATTGTGAAAATGTTGAACTTATGTCCTCTTGTTCTAGGAATACCGTAGCTTTTGACAGCCGACAATTATTCAACTTAACAAAATTTGTGCATGAAAACAAATTAGGACGACCAACCGCAATTAATATGTTCCAGATGTCTACGGTGAAGCAAAAGCGTAACTGGACGGTAATCTAATTTAAGAAATCAAATAGGAAATCCTCTCTGGAGGGTGTGACACCGAATTCCGTTTCAATACATTTAGGAGATCGATGGGTCTTTAATAAAGTATACGTAGTATGCAACCACTCATTGGAAAAGAAATTTCATTCGTCCACGAAAGTTCTAAGCTGAGGCATTGATACTAAACTTAAAGAAGTGTTCTATGGAGCTTTCGGAATAAAAAGTGTCAAAATAACAATTAAAAGCAGAGTTATGGCGTTTGAATAGTATGTAGCTCAGAAATGCCTCGATGTGAAGCTGCGTAAAATACTCATCTGCCTAGTTCGAGGCACAAAATTTCCGGATTGTAATGTAACTTCACGCCCATTACTATCGAGACATGATTTGAATAGAGTGCAAAATATGCTTTAGAAAACTGCGGGACTCGGTTTTTTATGAAGTTTCGAAATCTAATGTTCCAACACTGCTCAACGTTGATAGCTTTACCGAACATTTTGTCTAATTTCGAACCAAGTTTCCTTATGCGGACGGCCACTTGGACTATTAATTAATTATCAAACACCAAAGCATTGTTTTAAATATTTATTCCATTGAAAAAGTACATATGTTGACAACAATGTAATTTTTGGTGAAAATGTAGAATACATATTTTTTCACACAAGAGCAAATGAATTTTTGACCATATTCTCTATAAATGAAAATATTACTCTTCTCTATTTTAAATAAATTGATCAGAAAAATTTAGAAGAAAATAATGCAAATTTTAACCGAAGTTCATTAGTTTCTCGTGGAAATACGTTCCCTAAGTCGTGAAAACAAAAGACTGAATAGAAAATCACAGATCTGAGCACTCTATACGCAGAATTTCAAATTTCACGCTCTAAAAAAAAAGTTCGGTCCTAGGAAGTGTATGGTGTTTGCATATCGGCCCTAAAATTCGGTTCATGAAATCGTGCTCTCGGTTATAGAAATCCCATCTTGGGTTTCGCGTTTTTTCTGTCGTTGGGTTTGGTTTAAAATTTCGGTTGCATGAAGAACCGTTGGTACGGTTATGAACTGAATAACAAGGCCGATATATTCGCTCCTCTGGCGTAAGCTCGTATCTCGATGTCCGCATGAGCCTCACAAAGCATGGATTTATATGTAATACACGGTTCACATGAACATTGAGATATGCCCTTATGTCAGAGGGGCGACAATATGCAACACCGTATTCACAGGTCATTAACGTCCTAATTTTTTCTCTCAGTGAGACTTTCTCCAGTGTATACGAGATACCCACTCTTCTGTGCTAAATGTAATAAAATTCATAAGAAAATGTATGTCAAAAATATAAGTTTGTGAAATATTCAATTATTATTATTTTTATTTTCTATTTTTTCACGGAGAGTTTCAATAATTTATAACCTCTTTAGGGTGTTTAGGTGCAACCCTCTTCATCTATTTCTTCTAAGACCTAAGTAACAATACGTGCACAAAAACTTGATACTCTTTTGAAAAACAAAACCAAGTAGGGAGATTATATTTTTAAGTGGGTTTACATTCAAGAGCTACGCGCAATTTTTATCATGACTTTTTCTTAAAAATCAAGTGAAACTTTATACCAGTAAGGAATTTACTTCAAATGTGAAAAAAAATGTAACCTATTTTTTTAGACTTTTTCTTTTCTTATTCGAGTGTGTAAAAAATAATCAATTAAATATTAGCTGTCAATTTTAAAATGTCTGAAACAAAATGTACCTTTCTGAGTAAAGTCATTAAATTGTATGACAGCGACTTGAAAATCAAAAAGGTGCATGTCTTGGCCACCTATTTTGATTGCAATGTTTCAACATTTCTGTACTTTCTTTAACTTCCTCAATAGAAAAATACGTAATATTTCTTAGCGAAATAATCAGAGAATATCCTCATACATACCTTCAGCCTCCTCATAATACCACATTCACCTTATCCTTATTGTATATAAAGAAAACTCGCATGCGATATCACAAATTTAAAAAAAAATGGCTGTTTTCCTAGAGATGTCGTCAGATAAGTTGACATTTGTTTACTTTCGGTTTGCAGGCGTTTTTGCGTCACTACTATCCATATGAAAACATCCGACTCTCTCAGGGGCGAGAACATAAGCTTAGATAGGTTTTTAATACTTTCAAACCTTGGACCACTTTAATTTTTAGCCACAAGAAATCACAACCACATAAAAGTCGCGGATCATAACCGATCAGTAGCTTTTTACGTTACCATCACGAGCCGAATGTTTTTACGTCGGATAGTATAGCGGACGACACTCGGTGTAGAGGCGTAAATTCGTTGTGCGCCTGCAAATCGAAAGTGAATAGATGTCAACTTATCTAATGACACCTCTAACGAATAATGTAATGTGGTAAGAAGTGTACAGCATCGCAAATCAAGCTAAGTGCTTCTCTAGTTATACCATCGATGTGCGTCTAAATAATCTCACTCTTTTTTTTAGCTCGGAGAAAAAAGAAAAAAGAAGTATAAATTACAACTATACGTGTTTAAAAAAAGCCCTCCTCTTTCATTAAAAATAATAATCCCCCTCTTCACCAAACAGTCAGCGATGTTACGGCAAGAAAGCAACTTGAGAAAACTCGGAGAGCTCTTTCTTCATATCATCATTCCTCCTTTGGATGGCAGGTGCGGAAAAAATTAACCGCATATGGTTCACCGAGGCCATCTTCTTCATACTTCTCCGTGAATTTTTTCGCGTTAAAATTTTCTCTGTAAATAGGCAGCCTGTGTGACAGAAAACACAGGAGCGTCAGCTTTATTCACTTTGAATTAGTGGGAAGTTATGTAAAACACACACCGCTAAGGTGAGAGTAGTAGGGCGAGTGTAAAATTTTTATTTAGAGCCGAAGTTTTTCGATCTTTGTGTTCATTATCACGGCTGAGGAAGTGGCACACTACATCGAGCAATAAGAAACCAAGCAGCACCAGCAATGAAACCTGGCGTTTTGTGTTTTACATAACTTCCTACTAATTCATTATTGGTGTTACGGTGATATTACGATGTTCAAATATTATTTACTGCAGTGAAAAATTTCAATGAAGCTTTACAAAACACTTTTCGAGGCACGAGTACTTAAATAGGCGATAACAGTCACATTGATATGCCTTTAGATTCTGTTTTAAGCCATTGTGAATCCTAAAAGAATGTATATTTTCATGGCCGGATTAAGGGGATGACCACATGGGCCGCGGCCCATGGCGGCAAATTTTGCAATCTTTTCGAATGTAGGTATCAAAGAAAAGAAGAAAAAATCGAATTCCGAAAATAAATTTCAAACGAGAAAATGCGACAAAATATCTCATTTTCTGAGAGTGAAAGTATATTAAACATCTAATGTTGTCGTCTTCCGGTGATACAAAAGACAACACCTTTAATTAGTCGAGTTAAGAGAGAAACAAAACACGCAATTTGACCTTGAGCAAGAGCGGCGCAGAGAGCAATGATGACGAGGACTGAGATGAAAAGGAGAAGCCTTCGGCGCGGCGGTCGGCATGAAGCGCGTAGCGCCTACAAGACTGCAAGAATACTTCACGCATTGCGTCAAACACATTGCGGTCAGCAGCAGTCGGCGTGAAACGCATCGCGCCTACACGACTTCATGAATACTTCACGCATTGCGCCAAACACAGGGCGGTCGGCGCAGCGGCAGAAGTTGAATTTATTAAACCGCATTTATGTTTGTTCTTTCATAATTTTTTCGTTCGTTTGTTATGAATGGAAGGCCTTGTTCAAACAGGTGTGGGTTTAGGGAACTTAACTTTCGCGTAAAGTTCCGCGAGCTTTTGTTAGTGTTGACGGGGCTTTCACAAAAAATGTGCCCAACACGAGTGAACGCGTCTCATACACCCCTCCCCCACCGGCACGTTCACTTAACGAATTAGAAGGGGGCGGAAAAATACAGGCGGCCCATGGGCGGCAAGTAGGTAAATCCGGCCCTGTATATTTTAAACATATATTTCTAACTTGTTCTTTAACTAGCCTCCTGAATCCGAGCGACACCTCATTGGCAGCATTGAATGTAGCACCACGAGCTCACGCCTCACGACTTCGCGCCTTCAACTTTGCAGACGCAACACGGACATCCATCGAGTACGAATACTTGTATCTCTGCGCCGTTATCAACGCGCGTTCCTTCCCTTACTCTATTTTCATATTGAGTTGGTTCCGTTTGTCTTATTTTTAAGGGTAATGCAAGGACCTTGTGAGCATGAGAGCTGTAATCGGGCCTCGTTTTTTAACTGCACCCTGTAGGGAGCTCGTCTTAAAATTGGTATTTTGGCGAGAGTTGTTTGGTGTCAGGGAATAATTTTTTTGAAACAACTACCTCTAGAGATCCGAAACCGGGTTTGAGGCCTAAAGACTAGGAGAAACACATTTTGAGGGCTCTGGAACAGTAGCGCCTAACTGACAATTTTGGCGAAAAAGAGTTAGCAACTTCACTGCAGTACAACGGTATAAAATACGCAAGCTCGTGTTTTTACTTGTTTTTCAATTGAATGCGGTAATTCATTTAAAAAATTGCATATCTAACCTTAAAATTAAAAATATGGCAGAAATCGTCCTGCAAAATCGTCAGTTTGTAGACAGGCGACATTGTTCCTTAGCCATCGATTTCAAAGTTTAATCCATTGTATTCCTATATGAGGCTAGAAACTGTCTAATTAAAATTCATTTAGATACGTCCTCTTTTAAAACAATAATATCCTAAGGCGCTCGCATCTCATTCTTTGACAAATAATAGAGTTTTCCATTTCCTTATTTACAAGTGACCAATTTGGCCCATGAAAAGATTGCAAGATTTTCTACAGGTTATACAAGAACTGAATACCTACCTATTATTCCGATTGAAACAATTGGGAAAAGAGCATTAAATAAAGAAACACTTACTGTCCACCCCTCACTCGCAGCTCTCGAAAATGAACAAAAGGATGCTGCCATAAGACGAATACAAATCGATGGTAAGCTGTAAGCAAAAATAAACGAAAAATAGTGACAATGATGGTAATTGTCAAATAATCACAGATAATTATTCATTAACCTTAACGATCAAGGTTTAAGCATTATGCGAGTTAATATAATCAACTCAAACTGCTTAATCCTCATAATATATTGAGGCACAGGTCAGGGAATCAGGGAGCGTAGAACCCGTACTGTCGTAAAACAGGGTCGCACGGGTGAAATGAAAAATACGAAATATCGAAAATTTCCGTAAAATATTTCATGAATATTTCACAAAGTTGTGGGAAAATATGAAAAATATAAATCATATTTTCAGGAGCTGGGTATGCAACATGCACTAGAAACACCAAAAAGCAAAAACAGTCGTCTTTCTTTTCATTTCGCATTTAATTTCGAAAAATATTTTTCATATTTGTCCGAAATTTCAGCGATACTTCACTTGAAATTCCATGATTTTATTTTTAATGAAAATTTTCAACCCTGTTGTAAAATCCTTGATATTCTTTAAAAGGAAAGTGCTCTCTACCCTGATGTTGATTTTCTTGAGGGGGGTCGAGGGAGGCAAAATCGTTGTTGGTTCGGACGAGTTCAAGTGATTCCTGTGGGTAAATTATACAATTTTTTTTCTTTCCTAGCTGGGTATTGCAGCAATTTTTCACTTCTGGGCTTATTTTCATTAATTTTCAAAAGACACATATTTTACCAGGACAACAACTCCTTTTTCAAACAAAAAATCGGGTTCATTTACTGATTTATTTCTGAATGATTTCTAGACGTATTGAACAGCTTTTATGGGTGAATTTAAATATTTAGGAGCGTGCAATTCTTACGGAGGTTGTCTTTTTCTGGGTTTGGACCCATGTACTCCGTGAGTAACTCTCCTGCTGAGATATTGTCTCCCGGTATGTTTAGAATCATCCATAGCTGATATTGAACTTTTTGTAAAACCATAATGTTGACGTAATCAGCATCTGCAAAAATTAAGCGCGTGAGTATTCTCTTCATGCAATCGGTGAAGATAAGTCGGTCAATTGGTCTGTTGTACATAAGATGTACTCAGTCAATTGCATCGACTTTCACACCTATTAAATCACGCGAAAATCATTTTGAGTATATAAAAAATATCTAAAAATAACTTCTTAACGCTGGATTTGCGCAAACCTTACCATAAACTATCGAATTTACCACACCAAACTGAGCACATTTTTACCAAACCACGGACCATTAGGTTTGTCTGAGAAAAATGTTTATTATAAAAAAAAAAAAAAAATGAGTGAACTTTTATCAATTCCTCCGGCGTATGACTTAGCCCTATCTAACGGGTTTTTTTCTTCATATACGAAAAATATCCAAGCAAATTATTTTAAACGATTGGAATGGTACGTTAAAAAGATTTGTTTGAGTTTAGGACATCGCCTATCAGGATTTGATCTCCTAAAATTACTATCTCTCTCTCTCTCTCTCTCTCCCTCTCTCCCTCCCTCTCTCCCCCTCTCCCCCTCTCTCCCTCCCTCTCTCCCTCTCCCCCTTTGCAGGCGATTATAATTAACGGTGACTAGAAAAAACAAGAATGTACTCGGTTTTTATAATGAAGGAGAAAAACTTATTTGAGCACAATTTACTCACGAACAGTTCTGTTGGTTTGCACAGTACTACTGTTGAAACCAAGCAGGAAAGGCGATTGCATATTTCCCTCCGCACGGAAAAATAGTTTACAAATGAGCTTTCTCCTTCGACCTTGATGTTCAAAACGTTGTACTCTCAATTAATCTTACACTGAAATCTAACTTTCGAGGGGCTAAAATACCAGCTCTTTCTAAAGTAGTTACAGCACAAAGTTTAAGAATAGTGATGCATGTTGTACGTGTTGAAAATGTATGAAATAAAAACAAATTACCTAATAAAGTGACTGTGTAGTAGAAATTAGGGTCAACTTTCCATTTAATTTTCGGCTCGAACGCTGTACGGTTAAGAGGTACAAAATTTCCCATTTGTATCATTAAATTTCCCTGATATTCCACCTAAAAGAATAGGAATAAAAACCATAGGATTACCAAAACTCTCAAGCAAGGATAAACAGGGATCAAGTCAGAAACTTCAAGATATATCTATCCATGCTCTTACATAGTTTTAAGTTTCAAAAATGTCACATGAAGCCTGCGTCTTCTTTGATGGACAGTAAAACTGATGTTAAAATTTACCACATACCGTTCTGGAATGATGTCCATTTAGTTCTCTTCCTTCACTTCATGCAATAATACTCGTAATGAACAAATCTACCGTATCATGTATCAACTGCATCATAATATGTAAATAGTATGTAACTCTACAAAGGGAACATAATTCTAAAGGGGTGAAATTATTCTAAAAATGTAAATTAATCATATAGGTTTCTTTTCAGAATGTATTTACAGGCCTTCGAGCTATGGCCTGTCTCCCATAGTTTCAACTTGTAAATAACCTAATAAATATTGATTTCTATAAAAAAAAAAAAAAAAAATGAACAAATCTCCAATGCCTCTTTCGTCGCATTTTCCATTATATCAGGTACAATTCTATATTTTTTGAGTCGAGCTTCAATTGATTTCCTTTGATGGGCAATATAACTGTCGTTAAAATTTACCGCACCGTTCTGGAATAATGTCCATTTAGTACCCTCACTGAAAAAAAGGATTGCTAATTCACCGATTTAGGTTGGAGCAAAATTTGCTTCACTTCGTAAAGCTTTCTTATCCGTGCACGGTGTTGAATCAAGTGAACGACTAGCACGAATTGCTACACCGATTTGCTACATCTGCGCGCCTTCATGCAGTTAATCTTGCATCGAGTGGCTTGGAAGTGTAACCGCATTTTTTGGTATTGGCACTTTGCGAACAGAAAAAATAGCTCAATTGTTAGTCTGAAATAGCGGAATTTACGGAAAAATAGCGAAATTTACGGAAGAATAACTAAAAAGGTAACAGGCGTAGCCTTTCAGAGAGCAAAATCACCTACACGCGTGTGTGTAAGTTAGCTGAAATTTTTGTAGCGATTTTACCTGCATGGTTTGCACGTTCGTTTTTTAGCTACACCATGCCATGAAATACCCGCGTGCATGGCAATTTCAGCAATATTTTTTTTTCAGTGCTTCCTGCACTTCATGCAATAATACTCGTAATGAACAAACCTCCATATCCTCTCTCGTCGCATTTTCCATAATATCAGGTACAATTCTGTATTTTTTGAGTTGTGCCTCAATTCCCTCGGGCGTATAGTGCGAAGCATAAGCTAATACATCATTCACATAAAATTGCACTAAATAAATAATTAACATCAGAGACTGCTGAAAACACATCTTCACTACGTTTCACTAATTAAAATTCTATTATTGCCTTTCTGCTAGCCACGCAAAAACTTTTGAGTCTTAAATCTATCTTCATATAAACCCTAAAATGTAACTAAAATCATGTTTTACACAAATAACGGAGTCTTGTGGATTATGATCGTGATAAAAAATGAAAATTTTATGAACCTGATATAATAAAATAGAATAAGAATTCGAATCACACGTATGTATTCAATTCTTGAACGTATCGTATTTTTTAATTGAAAATCGAAGTAAAAGAAATACAATTGATATTTTTTGGAATTAACACATTCTTGTCAGAGCACACCCCCTCCCCTAAGTTATTTCCACGTGGTGCCGGGTGATTATCAGATAATGTCCGTAAATCGATATAGATTTACATTTCCGTATTAACTACAGCCATGGCATATCTATGCAGGAGGCAGAGACTATATCATAAAATCAGAGAACTGTGGCATAACTCATATTAGTCAATCAATGATATCAATCAATGCCTCTGTTGTCAAAATTGTCGAATAATTATTTTCCAGTTATGATGCTCTCATCACTATTCCTATGATTTATACTAGAGACGCATGAAGCCTCTGAATGAATATGATGAAAGAACAGTTAAGCACATCTCTATGTGTTTACAGACCTTACCTTCCACAAGAGTAGCTCATTACTGCTGCGCGTATTATTCAGATAAAATTCCTCTAAGGGCTGATCAGCTGAGCTTTAAGGCTCTGAGACTCAAGTTTTACCACAGACTAAAGTAAAATTTTTTGCTCAACCGATTGCGCATCAATTATCATTGGAAGAAAAATAGCATTGACCTCCAAAGTTAACGTTTGCCTCTTCTTATTACCCTGTTTAGAATGTTAGGGTGGGCGGTGGGGTCCCTGAAAATATGTATCGTCTTTGAGTGTCCTTTGCGAATTGATTTTATAGATCGGTGACTTCAGTTGTAAAATGTCGTATTTTTTTCAAACTCTGAGATTCTTTTTCAAGGAAAACTAACCAAATCATCCCTTTGAAATTTTTCGCAAATACGTATGAATGACTACAGAAAAATCACAGGAAAAGCTCGAGGAAAAGGCGGCTTCGTTTTTGTTTAAAACATAGACCATGAAAGGAGATGTATATGTAATTTCACAATTGGAAGTACGCGTTTATAGAGTTTGGCCAATCAATTTGTTCACACTATAGTGTTAGTTCTCTGAAGTAACGGTTTTTCTTTTGTTTTTTTTTTCCCAAATTTTGGAAATGGTTAATTTTTTGCATTTGCTGTCGGCTCCGTTTAAAAATGCATTTAAAAACCAAAAGAACCGATCGTCGTCTTTAACTTTCAACTAAATAGGCGTTTTCCGGTGATCTTAGTGCCAACCGGCAATTACTCAAACAAAAGGATTCACACCGTAATTCTACGAGGTTTTTAAAAACGGAATAAAATTATGCTAAAAAAATTAAAAATTCTGTGAAAAAGCTACTTATAAAACCCATTAAAGATATTTTACATATTAAATCTGTTTAAAAAAAGAGCTCTATTTCTTCCAACTCGTTATGACGCGACGGCTAATAAACCATCGTCTCACGAACTCTGGTTTCAGGACATTCCGTCAACGATTTTTTGTCCGTGCACCTGTTTTGTCCAGTAGTTTACGTCCGCGCGTAAAATTGGCAACAGTGACTTTGTCCAAGCGTTCTATTTTAGTTCGTATGTAAAATTATATTGACAATTTCGAAATGAGAAAATTGAGAGAGGAGGAGGTGTTGTGGTAACTCATTTTAAAATGAAATATTACTCTCTTTTTCTTCCTTTGATTCATCTCGTTTATTTGTCATTGGTGAATATTTGGTTTTGTTTCTATCCTTAAACATTGTAATATGAAATATACCTTATAAGTACTTTTTTTTTTTTTTTTTTAAAAAATAAAGAATTACTTCATTTCTAAGACTTGGCAGATATCTGTATAACCCTTTCCAAGCGATGAAATCCATATTATTCTCAATAAGTAGTAGCTGTGTAGAGAGGAGGTATTCAAAAATGATTAAAAGAGAAAATACACCAAGATGCACGGAAGAATGTTTAATCAACCAAATTGTACATCGATCTCTTAGAGTCAAATACGACCAATTTTGAGCGTTTGATTGCGCGTACACCACGCTGCAGCACAGTAAAAGTGCAAAATATAAAAGAAAGAAATTAAAGTGCTATGAAAATCGATAAAGTTGACATGGAGCCACCTTAATATTCATAAAATACGCATTTTATTTTCCTTTAATACATATCCCCCTTCCCCATCAATTAAAATGAGAATAAAACATGCAGAGCGAGTAAACATTTTAAAATATTGAGTTGAAAAACGCTAACTCCGCGAGTGTAAATATTAGAAGCTAATACAAAGCGGAGCGGCGTGTTAGCAGCGCGACATGCGCATTGGCGCCTGCAAACCTAACAGGGATACTTCACGCATTGCGCAAAACGCGCACTGGCGCCTACAAACCTAACAGGGATACTTCACGCATTGCGCAATGCGTGAAGTATCCCTGTTAGGTTTGTAGGCGCCAGTGCGCGCTTCGCGCTGCGCTGGTCGGCCGCCCGCCGCGCCCCAGTGTGCCATGGCGCATGGCGCTTCAATAAAGCAACTATTTCACAGCAGAGATGTTGCATAGTATAATACAACACTGAAGGCACTCCAACATATTAAGCATGACAGGCATCCTCTAAGAATACGGGGTTTTCCTTGCGGTTCTAGGCGGTAAATTTGGGCATATTTTTGCTTGAATCAAGTCCTTTTTTTCACCTTTTAAGTTCAAAAATCATGCTAAATGTTATTGAATACAGATACTAGGGTTTAGTATGTTTTTTGACTACCGCTTTCTTTTGGTCATCGTCACTCGATTTAATTTGCGAGGGAACTTCGTGCTTTTGAAAGATGCCATCAATTGGACTGCGTTTAACAGAAAGGAACCAACATCAGCTATTGCCAAATTTAACGAGGCAAATTCATGTTTTACAAGAGATTGTTTGTGAGGATTCTTTTGAAAATTTTAAGGAATTTGCTTCGTATAATGGAGAAAATTCACTGAAATTCACACGAAATTCCGCACAACCGTTTTCATGTGAAAAATTAAATTGTGGAATTAAATTTGGCAATAGCTGATGTGGCTTGTGAGATATTTAGATAAGGAGCTTCACTCTCTATCTAAATTGCGCTCATTAACTTTTTTTTGATAAACTTATCGACTTGATCTGTGGGCTTGGAAGGAGCCTCAGCTCAGCGAGAACAAGGACTCTGGTCGAGAGCCTCGGCTCGACCACATCTCTCTCTCTTGATATCTGGACTCCTGGACACTTACGATTAATGGACTTTGGAAAACTATCTCGGTGAATTGTCGCAAGACCTTTCTTATTCCTTTTGATATCAGTATCTTGTCATTTTAGACGTTTTCAACTTTTTCCAAAATTAGTAATTTTTCATTTCTTCAAAATTCATTAAGTAATAAAATTTGTAAAACGCCAATTTTCTTGTATTTTTCAATTTGAAAGAAATCCCGATCGTGATACCCGTAAAAAGCATGAATGTTTGAATTTTTAAATTTCTATTTTCAATCAGTTTTCTGATATTGCTCTCCCACACTGTTTCAGCATTTGTATTTGTCAAAATACTTTGTTTTTCACTTCAAGGGTGAATCACGAAGTATTTCGTCAAATACATCTTATTAGCCGCTCCTCCAGTGATCGACTTGATTTTTATAAGAGTAAATATTAAATTTTTATAGAATTACGTCTTATGGAAATCGAGTCCATCTTTGAAGGAAGGATGACCTTTCCCTTATAGGGGTGGCCATCACAATTGGTGCCGAAACCCGTCTCTTAAACCAGCAATTTTTTTTTAAATTTTTCAGTAATTAGTTTCGCGCCATCACAAGTGGTGCCGAAACCTCGGTCTTCATTTTGTTTTGTTGAAGAACCTTTAATTTTTCTTTTATTTCCAGCTTTTTGAATTTTATTTCAATGCTATTTTTTGTTAAACATGCTTTAATTTTTCACACGATCGAAGGGATTTAAAGGCGTTATAATTTTGAAATATGACAATTAGAATTTCTTTCTGAATTTTTCTTTCATTGATTTTTGATTTGCATTTAATCTTTTGATTCATTCTTGTTAACTTGTCAGTGATTCAGTGCCCTCACAGGAATTTTTTTTTCTTTTTGTTGAGTGTTTAAACTTTTTTTAATTAAATTTTTAAACCACTACAGTTTGTGGGCATTGCTGTGTCTCTGGGCAGCCATTGCAACATCCACGAGGTGTAGTTTAACAACTTTTTTTTGGCTAAAATTCATTTGCGTCGATTTTTTTTATTGTTGTGTGCTCATGATTTCGTGTAAATTTAAGTTCTTTTCAAATTTCTACTCCTTCTCACAGTCGAAATCCAAGTAATTCTACAAATCCTTTAACTAACTTGCAAAAGCTTAGTCATAAAAAAGCTTGAAAGTAATTTTGATTCGCCTTTTCTCAGTACACAATTTGCAAATTCAACTTTTTTTTTATCCACAAATGCTCTTGTCTACAGACGAAATCATGGCCACAAACACTCTTCTTAAGAGAAACTGCCAATTATTGGGCTTAAAAATTTAGTAGTGAATCCTCAAGTATTCTACCAAAAATTTTTTTTTTTTTTCAGTATTAAACTGTAAATGATTTATATAATTCGAAGTTCTATTATGAGCCAGCAATTCATTGATGAATCAAAAATGATTCATTTGATTCCTTGCCTTTTGCAGGAACATATAATTTATGGAAAAAACCTGTCCCATATTTTTATTAGTATTCTTAGAAATACAGTAATGGGTTTTCTTTGAAGGAAAATTTTCACCTGATCAAGTAACCGTATCAGAATGCTAAGTGCACGGCAGAAAATTTAAATTCCGTTCAGATCCCATAATTAGAGTGAGCGCTCCATCTTAATAATTCCTCTAGCATTTACACTAGTAATTCACTGAGTGACAATAGTGATAAATTGCTTAAATTTAAAGAGGCAAATGATTTATTTAATCAACTTTTCGAAGTTGAAAGCGAAAGTAATTCACTGAGTGACAATTTCGCAATAAATCTTAATAATTCATGCAGGGTTCAGGTAATTCACTGAGTGACAACTGTCCCATAATGCATAATAATCCCATGAGTTCAGGTAATTCACTGAGTGACAACTGCTCTAAGGATTATATTAAATTAAACTCCAGTAAAACTAGTAATTCACTGAGTGACAATAGTGTGGAGAATAATAAGATACCTTCAGGTAATTCACTGAGTGACAACTGTCGGTATTCTTTTCTTGTAAGTGGCGGTAAATCAAGTAATTCACTGAGTGACAATTGTACGCCACAAGGGACTTTTATTAAAGGTTTTAATTGTATTTCCATAAAGGT